TTGGCATCAGTAAGTTTTATGTCCTCTTTACAGAATATTCAACCAAAAGAGTATAGCAAATGTGATTTCAGTGAGCTAACATTTTGCACCTTGATGTTTGTAGGTGGACCTTGTTCAGGCCCAGATGAAATCTAAAGGGGGTTACGTGCATGGTGGGTCTGAAGGTTCTCAGTTGTAACCAGGTGAGCAATTTTTTTTTTTCTATTCCAGCCGCAGAATTTTCACTACCCCAAGCTTGTTTTATGCAAATATTTCTGGCTGGTAAAAGGTCATGTTTGTTTGTGAGGGAAAATTTAATTAAAACCGATTTCACATGTAAAACCGAATGCAAAAAATATTTATTTGCGGCATTTAACAGAGCATTTTTGATAAACACTGCTCACTGCTAGCTTTAACACATTTTATTGTTGAGAAAGAACACTGGTATTGAAATTTTGAGACTTTCCAGACAACATCTTCAGCTGAAAGTGTCTGACTTGACTCCACCCATTCTGTGTCATAAGAAATGACGGCAAATCATGCTTACACCAAACCATGAGCTTGTCTGGTGAAATGCCTCACACCAGCACATATTTCTACTGAGCCATGTACACTTGTGTGGTTTGAAATAATTCATCCCCCCCACCACGAAGGAGTGAATGTCCTTTTTCCTCTTGATTAGCTTTGCTGCGCTGATAACCACTTCCATTTTCCTTGTGACGGTGACTCAGCTGTCAGTAAAATTTATTGTTTTTTCATTAGTAAGGGAGGGGACTTTGTGTACATTTAATTTTGAACACTGGCCTGAATGGGATCTTCTGCTTTCTACTGGCCTCAGTCAACTGGTTAACTGTTATTGCCCCCCCCCCCCCCCCCCCCCCCCCCCCCCCCCCCCGCCTTGTTTTTAAACTCCCACTGGATGTTGCCACGGTCACTTTCACTGTTAATTTCACTGCCTAAACAGCCCAAATGATACACTCAAGCCTGTTCACTCTCAAAGAGCGAATGTCCTCCAAACTTTGACCAACTGTGCTTATAGATTTGATGGTAAAATTGTGTGATTGGGCTCACCCCCACTCATCAGTATCATTTGAGATCCTAACTTTTGTTCCTTTTTGTTTTGTTTCGCCCCTTGCAGCCCTTCACATACTTGTGGAAACTACTGTTGTTGATATGAGGAAGCAGTTCTGTCTATAATGGATGCAGGACCAAAAGATGAAACTACTGCTTTTCCATAATGTTGTATATATTTTTATTTTCCATTCCTTTTTTTATGAAAGCACTGCTATCCATTTGCTGCCATACTGTTGCACTGTAAAGAGTAACTGTTAAGAGTAGATAAGAGGGTTTAGAAAGCTCACAATCTCAGTCAGATGAATGCTTGTGTGTGTGTGTGTGTGTGCGCGCATGAGGAAAATAGTTTAGAAATCTATTCGCTGTTGTAGCTCATTTGGATGCCTGTATTTATTATCTGATTTGTTAACGGACCTCATGGTGGCTGGGCCACACTGGAGATTTGGAACATTCAGTTTCCTTCTTTATTCTCAGAGGTTTATCAAAGGACAGGTAGAGGGAGCAAGGCAAAAAGCTTTCATGGTTTTATTCTGAGAAATACTCATTCTGAGTTGCTTTCAGGGTTGAAGATTGCTGTCTCGTAATAAACTTGAAATGAGTAGAGTACACTGGACCATACATTGTACACTCACACTTGCTTAGGAATTTTGCATTGATTTCAACTTTTTTTTAATTTTATACTCATTTAGATCGAACCATATAGAATTTTAATAAACTATGAACTTCCTAATCTGCCTTCTGAAGTCATGTTCGTTATTTGTTTTACTAGTGTCATTTGGCAGCTTGATGCTGCAAATACTGAGCTTAGTGGTTTCAAGAAGATTCTTGTTTTTTGTATATGTATTTTCTTCTCAAGGCTTGTGTACCAACAGTAGTAGTAGTAGTAGTATCCAAATCACCACTGCAAACACCTGCACCAATGGGTCAGGTTTGACTTAAGTCAGCAGTATTCCCAAACCTTGTAGTTTACCTATTGTATGTCCATCACATCCTTTCTGTAAGCTAGTTCTAACTGCTGTTCCTTATTTCAGCACACTTTGTGTTACACATTGTGTCTTGTCATGACTTCTTAGAGTATTTCTCTTGATTTAAAAAAAATATATCATCTTTTTATTTTTTATTTTTTTCCTTTGGGCACCCTCAGTTTGGGCAGAGATGATTTTGTCCCGTCGGACCTCATAGAGCTGACAGACAGCTTACTAAATGGCATTCTGCCCAATGTGACCCACCTTTGTAGCGGGGTGTGTGTGTGTGTGTGTGTGTGTGTGTGTGTGTGTGTGTGTGTGTGTGTAAGCGAGTGATTAAGTTGCTTCAGTGTTTAAAGATGTTTTCATGTGATGTTAACATTATTTTGTCTAAAAAACATTTAAAAAGTACAAAATGTATTAAATCCCCCTTCTGACCCTAAATATAAATTTAATTACATTATTAGTGTGAGCAGAACTTTCCCCCTCCTTTTCCAAGGAGATCTAATTTTCTTCTCAAGTGAGCTCTTATTGCCTGATTACACTGGTTGTCAATTGTAATAGTGAACACACTTTGTGGTCCCTTTTTTTTTTTTTTTTTTTTTTTTTCTTTGACTGTCTGGAACATTTTCGTCCCTCCAGTATTGTCACACATACTCAAATTTCTGATCCAGGCTCCGTTGAAAACACCTTGATAAAAATTTCAGATATTGACGGAGCAGCCTGCAGTGTGAATATACAGTTACATAAAGGTGTACACTCTGCTCATAAATCAAACCAGCAGGCCTGGATCTATCAATGCACACAGTATTCGTCCTCCATGTACATCGTATGATCATAACTATTCCAACAAAAGAATGTGGTTGTATTGTTAAGTCAAGCAAAAGTCTGTGTAGATTGGTGTTAAATGAGTGCTGTCGTTATACTGTATATGATACAAGAATTCCATATTTGGTGCTGGTACCAGACAACATGAAACACCTGACAGAAAATACCTAATGGATACAGTCACATTTGTAAAATCATTTATAGCCTTAAAACCACTTTCCCAACATTCACCTACAGATTTTAATAATGTGATTCATCGGGCTAAAATATTTTCAGAGATCTCATATCTCATCCTCTTTAAATGTTAGCTGTAGTAAAATCCTTTGTGAAAAGAGCTCAACGTATGTGTAGACTAGTTTGTTTTTTCCAGCTCTGGGCTAAATGCTGTAGTAATGTGCAGACAACAGGATTGCAGTATATTATGTGACCAGCAGGCTGTGCTAGTGGACTGGTTGAATGTGACTTAAAAAAATTATTATGGGATTCCTGTCATAGAACTTATTTTATGATCATACTGTAAATACGTAACATAAAAGGAATGGATCCATGGTTTATATGTATTCAGGGTCATACATATTTTTGATTACTTTTCTTGTATAATCTTCCTGGGAAGGCAGTTGGAGTAGTGTTTTTGTTGTTTTTTTGGTTTGTTTCTCAGGAACTGCCTGATATGTAGTTCCCATTTGAAGGGAAATTCATCTGTCTTTTTCTGCAGTTTTCAGGATTAAAAAAGGAGAAATAAATGTTCAATGTTGATACTTGACCAACTGCGTGTGTTTCATGTTTTCATTGGGGCAAACCACCACATGTATGGGGGGTGAGAACGGGTGGGGTTGAGCTTATTTCACAGAACTAAAAGTATAAGTATAGCATTGTAAAAATACTCCACTGCAAGTAAATGTCCTGTTTACATTATCCCACTTAGGAAAAACTTTAACTGAAAATTATCAATTCTGCAGAAAAATGGCTCTGTGATTAGATTGTTGATACTGTTGTGTCAATGTGTAGGGTCACAAGCCAAATAGTTTGGGAATCACTGGTTTAATCTTGACAATGAGTTGTATTTCATCAGCTTAATCTATAAAAGTAACTTGTATCTATAAATTTCAAAATGATTTTTTATTAGACATTCAGCTGCATTTATCAGGAAAAGCATGTGTAATTACAGGCTGCATTACATTCAGGTATGCAAGTCTTCAAGGCCATAGTATTGTGCCTGCTGACACGCTGGCGTGGCATTGTGACACTTCAAAGGAACAAAGCTACTATTAGTGTTATTAGTTGCATCTGTGTTTCTGATAAGTCAAAATATCTACCATGAAAATAGCGTGTAAATACAGCGCCTTTATTAGGTACACCTGTTTAGTTGTGTAACACAAATAGGTAATCAGCCAATCACAAGGCAGCAACTCAATGCATTTAGGGATACAGACGTAGTAAAGACAACTTGCTTGAGTTCAAGCTGAGTGTCAGAATGGGGAAGAAAGTTGATTTAAGTGACTGAACGTGGCATGGTTGTTTGGGCCTGAAGGGCTGGTCTGAGTATTTCAGAAACTGCTGATCTATTGGGATTTTCTTACACAACCATCTCTAGAGAACGATCCGAAAAAAAAAAAAAGAGAAAATATCCAGTGAGCGGCAGTTGTGTGGACCAAAATGTCTAGTTGATGGCAGTAGTCAGAGGAGAATGAGCAGACTTGTTTGAGATAATTATATGATTAATGAGTTTAAGAAGGATCCTAGAGTGTCACCTGAAGACTCAGGAAGGAGGAGGAAAAAAGCCACAGCACACCGACATGAAAACATTTTCCCAACTGTGAGGTATGGTTTGGGGCTGCCTCAGGGCCTGGAAGGGTTGCTATCATAAACGGGAAAAAATGAGAATGTTTTCAATTGGAGCTCAACAGAAGATGGGTGATACAACAGGACAAAGACCCAAAGCACAGAAGTAAATCAACAACAGAATGGCTTCAGCAGAAGAAAATACACCAACAAGTCCTGACCTCAACCTGATTGATTGCTGTTACATGATCTCAAGAGAGCAATTCACACAGGACATTTTCACCTTCTTTGAAGGATCTGGGCTTTTAAAATATCTTTCTGAAAATTTTAAAATGCACAAATCTTTAAAAATCAATAAACCATAAAAGCATGTTACAGGTAAGCTTTTTTTATTTATCACATCAATTCAGTGGAGGATTGATTTTGGTGAGATCATAACAACAGTGAATTATACCAAATATGATTTATTCTCCCTGCAGGTTATAGATTTTATTGAAGTGCCAAAAAGACAAGACAATCTGTAACACTCCATGTTTCTGAGCTGTTCTGTCAATTACCATAATGTTTTTACAGGATTCAGATGAAAGGGGAAATATCTTGGGAAACATTTTTTGTTAAAAATAAAATGTCAAGCGAACACACCAAACAAGCACATATATATACGGCATGTAAAGGCTCCCAACAAGGTGTGTGTGCTTTAGCTGCTTTTACATTTTGTAAATGTAGAGTTATTTTTGAAAATACAAAACAAACACATAACACATTTTACAATATCACACACAACAAATTGCACCATCCAATGCCCCCAAAAAATATAATATACAAAATGATCATGAGTATCTCTGAGAAATCTTAAAAATTGGTACAACCAAAGTCAAAAAGGTATAGGAATCAAATGTATATATACGGACTAAAAATATATATGTATACTGCATTTATTGCAACTTGAGTGAGCTTACTGTGTACGATAGCAAAGCATGAGTCTTGAACTCCACTCAAACAAACACAAATCTGCAAACTGTGAAAGCCACTTATCCTGCACTTCATTTACTGTGTGTTGGCTAAACATCCAGTAAAACTCAAAGACACCGTAGAGCAATAACTGATCCTGCAGTGAAGCGAAATTAGATCTGTTTACTCTGTAAGCTGTGGTGTGAGCTTGGTGTCATTTCAGTGAGTTTGAGGCACTGAACCATAGTGAACCCAAGTGATGGTGACAGAGGTAAAGCTTGGCTTGAAACAGGATCTTCACCTCAGCATGCTCAGCAGAGAGGATGACCGCCTGCTCCTTTGACTGACAGAGCAATATTCTCTGTCTGCTCCCCCTCTCCTGTTTCTGGGTTTCAGCAGTCAGCTGAGCAGATAGACAGCAGGAGGAAATCAGCAAAAGGTTAGCAAGAAAGCCTGGAGCGGAGGGGGGGGGGGATGCTTTTTCTCAAGTATGTGGTAAACACAAAGAGCTGCAGGATAGGCTGTTAGCGCACAGCTATGGCATCAGTGTTGGCTGATATGTGGACCAATCGGAAAGCTCCTTGACGTAGTTGGGACCAAACAGATCGCTGTAGTTCTCCGTGTGTAGAGAGTACTGGTTATCATCACCAGCACCTGAGGAGAACAAAACAGCACTGAAACACACATGCAAAGACAGAAACAGATGGGAACTCTAAGCTTTATCTAACTGAATTGTGATTTTATATTGTTTTACAACTGCAGCATGTGATTATTCACACTCATACCACACACACGAACATTTCTTTTGTGGCTTGGTCAACTAAGAAAGATGTGCTGTCTTTCTTTTAATTTTCTCCCTCAAGTCCACAAAATCCACATTTTGTCTTCAATCAGCCATGAAGATACCATTCTTTAATTAACTAAATGAATCGATTATTTGAAGAAATCATAAAACTGCTAGTAAAAACTGTACGAAGTCAAGGACAGTCTTAATATACACAAATGCACAAACTGTTTAAATATATAAGGTTTACAGTGTCGTACAGTGCCAGTGGTCCCACAGTGTGTGTGTTCTCCATCCTCTCTGCTCCCCAGTTTGGTTCCAGAGATCAGCGCTGCTTAAGTGGTCCATCAACTATGGGAGACCAAATACCTACAGTCAGTCAGTCAGACACCACCTGCACAACCCAAACTGCACCCCAGGAATATACAACTCATCTCTAAGCAGTTAAGTCAAATAGGATGCAATTTCATCACATGCTTTTCTATCTCGTTTCTAGGATGTGAGAGAGTAACCTTCAAAAAGTTTGGTCAGAAAACCAAAATTCATTGTGTTTTGTCAGTAAGTACATTAAAGGTCTATTACCTTAAACACAGCCTCATTCTGCTCCTGGTCCTCTGCTTTGGCCTCCCACATCCCTGCACAAAATCAGTAACTATCATGATTACCAGGCTGCAGAGGCAACGTCTTTTATAATCAACAGACAGTACAACAACAAAACACTTTGACAACAACCGTCTCACCGTGTGTTTGGATGTTGCCAAATGTGTCTTCTGCGGGGGTCTCCACCTTCTGTGGTGTGTCTGAAACGGGTCTAGTTGTTGCGGGTTGCCGAGTGTGCATGGTGTATGTATCATCGCCTAAGCTCACCTGTCTTTCTCGGGGCCTGCTGAACAACCGCAGTCCTGAGAGAGCCGAGGACAGCACTGTCACACATGAGGTCTGTCTTTGAAAATGTCAGAATAGGTTTACTTTTAAACTGACAAATACATTTTAACGCTGTGTCTTACCTCTCCTACGTCTGTGTGTTTGTGTGCTTGGCAGCATCCTGTAGACTCTGTAGGCATTGCTGCCTCTCTTTTTGCTGTGCTCCTGCAGCTCACAGATATCAGGCAGAGAATTCAAGGCACAGCGGAAATTTGCCTTCCATGTCTTGGGATCTGGCTTGTCTTTGCCTGGATAGTACCGCCCTGAAGTGAGCAAGTGCAGAGACAAACATGGGTCTTTGTGTGTGTATTTGTTCTTGGTTTTTGGGTTAGGTCCCTATTTACTAGGCTTGAGCGAGTATCATCATAGGGCGCCAGTTGACTGAATGCTGAAATGAACACTGAATTCTGGAAAATAAATTACAATCATTTTTAGAATGATGTTACTGTCTGTAATGTTCCTCTATTTTATTTGGACCTGTATTTCCATGACACTGACTACCTTGCTGTTTGTAAATCACCCCATCAGCCAATGCCACTAAGCAACTAACACCAGACCCATGCCGAAGAGCCAAGATACAGCCAACTTCAGTTAGATAGTTGGCCCCTGCCTTGTTTCGCTCTTGGCTAGTAGAAAGCAGATATGAGCCTACGACAGAAATACACTCATCAATGTCAGAAAAGGGTAGGGACTGGATTAAGTGCAGCAGTACTTGACACAACCATTGTCCATGGCATCTTCCAACTATCTAGCCAGACCAGCCGGACCAAACACCACATAAGAGAGCCAGGATAAGAGCTAATCTAACCCAGTTTGGACCTAAGAGAGCGAGCGAGAGAGATGCGTCTTCCTTGATTATGCACACAGTATTTTGCTAGCGAGCTAAGGTTAGCCAGTTAGCTGCAAACCCAGCCATGCTGCAAACCCAGCCATGCTGCATGGTTCCGGCGCCGGCCGTGCCGCAACAGCAGCAACCAGCAACAGCATGCCAGTAAATCTACCAGCGAGATCAGCCCCAGGGGTCTGAATGGCCATAGCTAGCTTGCAATTTGTCTGCATTAGCAAGAAGCTAACATTAGCCAGCTAAAACCACAATGTTACAATTTATTTAACAAGCTTTGCAGTAATTTAGCTTTGACTTTGTGTTGGGTGCTGGTCGTTGGTTGACATTAGCAGACTCCATTTCTAAGCAGTTCGTATTGTGCACTGTTAATATTGTAGAGGAGTGAAAGGCACTCGGGAGCATGCATAAACCCCACATCCTTTGGATTTTCCTGGAAAAAACGTGCTGAGTCCTTTAAATAGAAATTACTCCATTCCTGGAGTACTCCTGTGCATCACTGCAGCAAGGTGAGAAGTTTGGCGAAAACAAGATTTTCAGGGCATGTTAAAGGAAAATCCAGGTATTTTCAAACCTCATTTCTCATAACTTTGCACTTATCACCTCCATTGCACAGACTTGCGCAGTAAAACATGGATTGGGGCAAGCTGCAGAAGGCTTTTACAGCTTTCCAAATTAACATGATTTTTACATCATCAACTCTGGATCAACTGTGTTGGCTAACTGCACAGGGATCTACTGGACACCTATAAGTTATTCTTTATAGACTAAATAAACCTGAACCTGAAAAGGGTTGAATTTGCTCAATCCAACAGCAATATGTTTTGATGAGAACAACAACCTCTGGGTAGGATTTATCGCTTTATTTTTATTCTCAAACAATGTTGTAACAGCTTAAACTGTGCTGCTGCATTTGAGTAAAATATTATCTATTACCAGCTGACAGACCATCATGTCTATACAGTCAAGTTACTTTATCCAGTGTGAGTCTCTTGTCCTATTTAGCACCACAGTGTGAATTGGATCTCAGTGAAAATCACTGGAGCGTAAGATATTGTACTATGGATCATTTACAGCAGACAAAGACTGACAGGAAGAAAAGGAGCACAGGTAGCACCAGCTTTACAATACACATGCTGCAACCTCCCACTGTTGTTAATCCTTTTTTGTTTCTTAATTGATGGTTCAGTTATATACTTTACATTATTACTTTTTAATCATTTTGTTTAATTAAAATCTCTTCAATATTGAGCTGAAATTTCGAACATACCCCTTTATACATTGTATCCATACATATTTAACTGCTGAATATGATCTTGTGAAGAGTCGTCCTGTTGTACTTTGACAGCAATACGATCGCCCTGCACATTGACAGCAACTGAACTGGAGCTTTCCCATGATGTGATGCAGACACAGTCATAAAGCATGACTTTCCCAAGACTGGAGTGACGTGATGCGATGCGTGTGCGTGTGTGTGTACAATGACTTTACTCATCTCGTTACTCAGAACATCAAGAAATTAGATTAACGAAACATTTGGTTATGAGATTATGAAACAAAAGTGATTTACAGAAGAAGATTATTAAATTATTATTATATTATAATCTATGAATTTGGTGTATTTAAGTGTATATTCTGGACACAACGTAATCAACAAGAAAGCAAAACAAATCACTCCATGTTATTTGTATGATTACTATAAGCAGGTAATCAGTAATTTGACACAGATTACTTTTTCAAAATTTCCTCATTCCTATGAGAGGGTAACCATTAAATGAACTGAGAGGATTATTAGAAAGGATTTGCACTTGACAGAGTGTTACATGCCTTGTGAACTTTGCACCTCAAATATAAATACAAATCTAGGCATCAGCAGGGGCAACTGCATTTGAAAAATTGTAAATGTGCAGCGTTTGCACACCCTAAAAACCCACATGAAACGACCAATCATCTTTTTGTTCCTCTGAATTCAGTTTGGCATTGAGCTGTCATTGCAGGGGAGTTAAATGAAGTAGACTGAGATCAAAGTGTCTGCTCCTGAGATTTGTTTGGCACACACTGTTGTTATTTATGGTTGCTGTGTATTTGTCAACCTGGGAATGTGGTAGATCTAGAAATGCATTGACTGAGCGATACACCTGAGGCTGCTCTTCTCTGGAAATACTTCTATTAAGCAGGAAACATTTTTTCAACATTTTTAAATTAAGTGAAAATAGCCAAGTGCCACTGTAGCTGCACAACTTTAGCTAGCATTTAGAAACATTACTTTTAAATTATGTAAAAATTAAAATTATGTACTGAGGATTAGTCTATGGTTTTAAGAAATTTTTTTTTCATTAATAAAGTCATCCAGTAAAACCAGTGTTGACAGATCCCTGGCCAGAATTGAACCTGGGACTGTCCACCGCCAGGATGCCAGGACAAGCCGTAAAACTGGAAAATTAATGTCAAATACAAGGTGAGGCAAGATGTCTTGTATATAGACTCTTAACAGGCAGTGAAGAATGTTTAACAACATAAGGCCTACTTATTCCAGAAACACATCACTTTAATATGCAGGGCTGAGGGATAACTTAACATGATTGTTTGTTGATTTGTTACAATAATATTATTACATGCAAATTCAAATTGCAAATACATACTTGTGTGAACGCATTAGTGGAATGCAGGTTAATCATAAAAATATTTTCATTAATATCATGGTATTGATTTTAGCCATTTTGCCCTGCTGTAGTGCGGTGACTGATCACAAATATAAGCTTTTTTAACTGTGGTTTTACTAATTTGTTGCTTTGCATCAAAGCTTCAGCAAAGAATGTAACACAAGCTTTCAGGTTTTAGATTGATAGAATAAGAGCAGTCAATACAAACAACTAGTCAAATTGACCAGGGGACCAACCATCTGGAAAAAAACGCATTTGTAACTGTGTGGGGCTCATACCTGTGTGCATAGCCCAACTCCTGAAGAGTGTAGCATCTCGGTCGATACTCCAGCCATGACGAGCGGCATGTTTCCATGGAATTTGGAAGATTCTCGCTGACTGTAGCATAAAGTACAATAAAAGAGCATTGAATTGGTTCCATTGTTGCCAAAAGCATTTCATTAATTCATGCTTTATTTCTCTGAACGTTGCCCAAGCTGATTTTCAACAAAACCTTTTGCACCTAGGTCTGTATGTGTGTGTATGGTATGGGATGAGGGTGAGATGGAGTGGTCTACCTGGTCCAGCCAGCTGACTCCTGGATACCTCCCAGACTGAATCTGCTCCTCCAGCCATGGCCTCAGCCTCAGCCGGCCTGGTTGTTGCATGCTGCAGTCTAAGCTTGAGGTGTGCACAAAGGAGTTCAGTACTGATATGTCACCGGTTACACAGGAGTTTCAGCAATAAAAAAAATTCTTAGGAGCTCAGATTAAATCAGAGTCTCTGGGACACACTTCCTCCTCCACTGCATTCTTCCAATCAAAGACCTTGCAGTTATGACAATCTTGCTATGCTCCTCCAAAACCCCTCCTCACAGCTTAAGTGGCTCCTCCAATTACAGGAAACACTACAGGCTATACAATGCAGACCGAGGTGGAGCAGAGAGCTGTGACGGTCCTTGAACAGGTTTTTATGCTGAATATACAGTGTATTAGGGTGTTCCATTTAATTCTGGCATGCATGTGTCACCTGCAGGGTTATAGTCAGTGCTCCAATATGTTTGCGATTACATGGTTTTCGCGTGGTTCCACATGACGATAACTGTGGCAGCAGTGAGACAATGTATATTCATGTAAGACCACCAGGTGGAAGCAGAGTTAATGCTGTGTTTCGCAGATGAGCTACCTTACATGTTGCAACAGGTACCTTTACTTTTGAAATTCATATGAAACAGTTGTTATTCTGTATAAATACACAAGCGCAGTCTTTTAAACTTGTGTGCCTCCTGTTAACACCATTCACATTTCTTGAACATGCAGTGTGATACAATATTACATGCAGTGAACAGTCACATTATAAGATGAGCATGGGAAATGACTATGTAGGCCTACTGTATATTAAGTGTATTCTTTGTACATAACTCACTGTATATGCCTGTCAGCACTACAGCCATTGTAAAACACTGTCTTCACTTTTTAAAGATTTGTGTATTTCACAGGACAGTGACACTACAAACATATGATGATCTTATATAATAGAATGCATGGCTGTAGATTAAACTACCCAGCAGTATGTAAAGCAGTCAAAATTAGCACAACCTTAAACATCTACAGCAGAAAAAGGCAACATTCGCATTAATGCAGCAGTAATATTAATCCAGAAACATCATAATATAATAGTAAAACACCATCAAAGACCATTTTACTTTAGAATGAGTTTACTTTCACTTTAAGAACATTTTGCTGATAATATTTACACACTTTTACTTAAATAAGATTTTGAATGCAGGACATTTTCAGTCTATTATTAGTACTTTTACTTAGGTAGAGGATCTGATACTTCTTCCACCACTGCAAATGATGTGAATGTTCCTTTGAATTAAGTGAGTTAGCTTTGATGAGTATCATCTACTGTGTGATGGTGATGGTGTGTTTCTGTGGAAGTGGCTTAACAGTTCCAGAGAAGAGCTATGAGGAAGTAATTTCCCAACCCAGAACAGCACTAAGTCAGCATGACTGATTGTTGTGGCTTGTCTCAGACACAGCGTTAAGTCAATGTTTTCCCCTTAAAAGGCTCAGTGTTAATGGGCAAATTCGGTTTATTTGCCATTTCCTTGTGATTACTCCCCTGGTCAAAGCAAACTCCGAGGAAGATTGAAATAATCTAATCTAATTATGGCTTTTCTGTTGATTTATATTTCACAGAAGTTACACATGATTTCAGACAGTTTTCCTCTCAGATCATTAATATCTAAGGAATGCAACACCAGTTTCCCATGAGCTAAACGTGATTGAGACAGATACATCAGCTAACTGTGGTCGTTTTGTTCAAGCATTTGCAGCAAGCACACTTTTCAAACTTTATCTCAAAACAAGTACATGGTTTCTGAAAGAAATTTTACATGAATGTTTTTATGTACAAACTTTATGGATGCTTCACATCAACGGCTGTTATGCACAGTTAAAGAAATTAAGTGTTCTTAAGCTACAAATGTTGGGATTTCTTTGAATCACTATAGCAAACAGAAAGCATGTCAAAACAGTTCTACTAAATGAACCTTGAGGTGAAAGTTTTTTGCTGCTGTATCCAAGTTTGACACTTGAGCCATATGTCAGACTTGAACCCCACAGTCCATTAGATCATCCTCTCTCTCATCTTCATAATTTTCCGCCAAATGAATGCATGAAAATTAAGCGCTACACACTTTGATAGCCACTGTCAGTGATTACTGGCATAGACTGGCCAGCAGAGATAAAAGAGGGAAAAGGTCTTTGGAGCTCAGAGAGACACTGGCCACCTTGGACATTATTAATGGAACCTGGAACAACTGGGCCACAGAAGCTTTGAGGCATGTTGATGAATGATTCCTCAGGATATTTGCTCAAATTTTCCTCGCCCTCAACACTTCTCGTCTCTGAAAACAAAAGATCGGCATGATCCACTAGATTTTGAAATGCCTGGTAGTCATCATCCACTGGAGGACAGCTGTGTAAGCCTGCAGGCACACATCTGTAGCAGGGATTGTCATCACATAGGATGGCCTCTTCAGCTTTTCCATTTAGCTTTGTGGCACCAATGACCACCTCATCAAAGCTCTCAACTCTGGATATTGGATCACATGACGCAGTTGTGTTGGTTTCACTAGAGATGGAGGACAAACTGGTGTCTTCGGCAGGTGAAAATCTCCCAGAATCTGCATTGCACTGCTGATATGACAAGTCTGTTGTCATAAGAGATGAAACCACTGGTAGTAAATCATCAAGAAGACAAGCTGGTACCTGTTGGTCGGGACAGATTACAATGACACCCTCACTAGGATGGTATCCAGAGTCGCAAAGTATTTCAGCCTGCTTCTGAACCTCCGAGCTGTGTGTCATAATCTCATTTTGGCAGCTGGGAAGGAGGATGGAATAGGTTTTATTGTCAAAGCCAGATGATCCAGAATTAATGTCATCAACTCTGACACCACAAGCGTTGTACGAATCTGAGAATAAACCACTCTCTTTGTTTAATTCTGTAAGTGGACTGGTGGTCAGTGGCGATACAGGGCTGATATTGGGGAAGACTTTATCAAGGGCGTCCTTAACAACGGCTTTGATGTCAGGAGGTTCTGTGTTCGCATAACTGAGACAAGAGGAGCCAGTGCTGATTCCACTGCTTTGCTGAAGGCTCCCACTGCTGGTGTCTCTCAGTGACTCCTTTGACCTGAATACAGAGAAACAGGTTACTTAAACTGCCAATATAATCACATAGAAATCCTTAAGGCAATGTGTTGTATTGTTGATTTACTAGTAAGGCCATACAAACCATAGTTTGTTGTCATCTGGAACCAGGGGCTCAACACATATGGAGGAGATGATGGGTGGCATAGGCTTCAAGACCTGTAACAAGGACAATGAAAATGATTTAAAAAACAGGTCTGAAAATTTTCAGTTAAATGGGTTAGAAATGTTATTTTCCATTAGATTCAACATTGACTTTGTAGCAGTGTATTAAAAAACTTTTAAATTGGACTTCTTCATGTTTCTTATCTTAAATATCTGGGGAGGTTTTAAGTTTTTTTTAAAGATGTCACTTGTTGGTTTGGTAACAGTCGTGGTTACTGGGGGTAACAGCAACTGTGGCTTAATACTACAGCAAAAACTTGTTGAGCAACTACTTTGTCTGAAATACAACACAAGACCAACTGGTGTTTCGCTTTACAGTGCAGCCAAACAAACTCCGGTTGTTTTAATAAAAGAGCAAGTCAGTCATAATGGCAACCTGACTTCATGCTGTTGTTTTCCAAAATAAAATATTGGTAGCACTGTATTACATGCTCCATTGTTTCCTGTGAATGCCTCATGTGTAAATCCAGTGCGTGAATGGCCGACCCTAACACCAACAACAAAAACATCGATATAGAGAAGTAATAACAGAATAAAGATGCATGGCTGAAAAATGGCAACAATAAATGATTTAAGAATTGTAACTTTACTGTTAATTGGTAATTAAGTAAAATGAACAGGTGCAACAAGCTAGCTGCAGGTTTTTTTAAATTATAGCCAACATCAAGTTTACATCTCTGGGTGCCTCACCTCTTTCTCACTTGGAAGCATAATAAGAAGTTTTGGATTTGGACATTTGGCAACTGTGTCCCACCACTTAGTTTTGAACCTAAAATCAAATGCACAAATACATATCAGAATTACACACAACGCATAAACACAATACAGAAGTTACAGTATCTAATGAGAAGCCTTACATATAATTCACTAACAGAGAAACCAAACAATGTTTTATCTGCATGACTTACTTTACATAACAGCCATATATAGCACCACTGATGATGACTGCAGCAATACTGAGGCTGATGATGATAGCCAATTGCAGGACCTTAGGGGACACAGCTGTGAAGTAATATATACAAAGTGAGTTTTAAAATCACTCCATTTGATGGCATACAGTAGAGAGATAAACTAGAGATAAATTTTATAGTGTTTGCCTTTAGATCTGCACCAGGCTTGTATCATAATGCAATAGGATCCACAATGACAGCTCATAGCACATTCATTAATACTCTATAATGCATGTCTTTAAAGTGATTAAATATTTATTTTGATTTCAGTGCCTGCATCTCATTAGAGATATTCAAATGGGCCTAACATCCACCAGTCATGTCCACACAATCACACACAGTTTACAGACAAATTAGATGAAAATATGGATCAGGTTTCATCAGGAGTGCAACAATGGGTGTGCCCATAAGAATGAAGCAACATATAGATATAGAATAGAGAGAGAGAAGAGACCACTTTGGCTAATAGACCCAAGAATATGAAAGCACATCAGACTCCAAACCACCGCACAGCAGTTTAAAATACTATGAAACTCTGGGGTTTGATTCCAACCCGGGGCCTTTTGCAGCATGCCATCCCCTTTCTCCCTCTCCCGCCTTTTCTGTCTCTATGTACAGGTGTCGCTGTCCAATAAAGGCAAAATGCCCCCCCCCCCCTAAAAAATGTATACATTAAAATTTAGAAAAATGTTTTGATTATGAAAAGAGAAGCATCAGCATACATCCCTCTGTGCACTGAATTTTTGAGGGAAAATTTGTCTTGCAGCCGATATCAGCACTATCGTGATACAGCTGAATGTGAAGTATTAACACTGTATATTTAAGCTGTCTTATCATGTCTAAGAAATATACATTCTCCTGCTTGAAAAGTGACAAAAAAAAAGACTGTGAGAAAGACACTTACGGGTTGTGAATTCCCTCTCTTCACTGCTGTCACTGAAGAGGCCACTCAAGTTTGCTTGGCTTTTCACGCTGACCACATATGTCATACTTGGCTCCAAGTGTTGACCAGGTATTTCACAGTAATTGAGTCCATCTGTCAGTTTGAAAGGTGTACATGTTCCTACCTGGTATGGAGAAACAAGAATTATAAAAAGGAGGGTTCTGCAACCATACAGCAACCTGACACAATCAAATGTCCATGACTATGTCTACATCTCCAGGACAAATGATCACAGTGTTATGTCAAACCTACTTTTTCTGTGTCTCCTTTTTTATGGTAAGTCACACAAGCCTTCAACCTGTTACCACAAAGGCTCTCCATGTTTGTCTTCCATCGGACTTCAAAATTCCCGTTGGATTCATTCACTGAGATGATTGTTGGGGTTTGGGGCTTCACTGTAGTAGAAGAAAGATAAGTAAGTGGAAAGTTTCTTAACCTTCATCCTACCCCTAACCCAGTCACTTTTATTCTGGCTCTGGAACAATCTATTTTTGGCAGCTGCAGATTTATGTACTTCCATTTTAAATTAGTAAACCTACTGGTGTCTGTGACGCTGATGTTTTTGGACTCAATTTTTTTGCCTCTTTTTTCGCCAACTGTTGCTGTATGAGTCTCCCCTGGAACAAGAATCATTTGGACAGAGCAACAACACAGTCCAGTGTGGCACTGCTTCAGAAGACAATGCTTCTCCCTGTGTAATACAACATACAGCACGATGTGAACATACTGAACATTTACATTTCTGGCTTCTTGGAGTGATTCAGTTGATTTTAATATTACATACATAATATTGAAAATAACTATTTTTGTGAAATAAATATTTTTATTTGATTAATTTCTCACCCAAAACTAAGCTAAAAATGTACAATTTTTACACTATAAATTCACTGGCTCTGGAGAGAGACACAGTAACTAAATGAAAACAACTCACCCATACCCGTCGTTGCTCTGGAGAATCAGATTATATTCAGAACAGTTTTGCGCTTCAAACTGACAATTCATGTCTGTGCAGTTGTGGGTACAGTCAAGATTTTGGCCTGTTTTATTATCATCACCTGCACGAAACAGAATTACGATGAGAGTGGTTATGAGAATGAGGTATTGCATAGATGGACTATTTAAAAAGCTGTCTTCAAGTCCACTATACGTACCAGAAACAGCTAATGCAGTCGCAATACATCCTAATTTAAGGATTAGAGACATCCAATCGCCAACTCGCCTGAGGGCAAACACAACAGCAGATATTGTCTTTACTTTAACGCGACTAACTTGATTTAAGTAAAAGACGAGTTCCAAGGATCTAGATTAACGTTACCTCTTGAACTCCATGCTTAAACGATGTATTCCACTTATTTCCTTCGACAAAAGCAACTCAACTCAGCTACGATCCATATTGTGTGAAAGTGAAGGTAGTTTGTTCCGTGCTTATAAGTAGCCTACAGTCTGAGACTGTAAAGAGAGTATCTCTGTCTTCCTGTTATGGAAAGCTGTTCCTGTAAATGCTGCTCTATCAATTCAGGGGAAGTGCGTCCCACTCCTAGCTCTTTCGTCATGAAGAAGGCATAGACTACACGCACTTCAGCCAACAGCAGATTTTAGTATAATATTGTGCAAGTGGAGCAACACAAATACGAAAATACATTTAGAATAAAGAGCGTCATTTTGTTGAAAAGTGACACTTCACAAATTCACGATATGCGATATTAGGTTCACGAGAATGAGACAAAAAGATCCTTAAACTTTAGCCTGTTTTAACACTTAATTTCCTGCATTCTGGTGAAAGTTTCTGCACCAACTTATGGAGGAAATGTTTTTATTTATGGAAAAGGAAACAAAATTCAGGTTGTACATTACATTTCAAAATATATCACTATAGTTATATAAAAGTGAACCGTGGTGGCCCAAAGGTTTGAGAAGCAAACATGTGTCTGTGTTAGGAGCACCACCAAAGCTCGTTACAATGGAGAGTTCGTAGTTAAGTAGACAACAAGCTACAAGTACATCTTCATCTAAATGAGTCGTCCTACGAGCGGCACAAATAACACTGGTCTCTACGTGCAGCCGGCTGTGAGACGAGAGCGCAGGGACCGTCTACAAATTGCAACGCCGAAAACACATACTCAATAAATATTAAATAACTTCCCACTTATACAATGTAGTGCCCCCAAAATCACCTTACACATTCATGATATACTGCTGGCTATACTACAACACTTAGTTTCGGGAAAAAAGACTTTTGCATACCTAATATTAGGTTGGCCTATTTTTAATAATACAGCCTGCTGCACGTAGAGACCAGTGCTTTTTGTGCTGCTCGTAGGACAACTCATTTAGGTGAAGATACTTGTAGCTTGTTGTCTACTTAACTACTATAGTAAAGAGGAGTTGTTTGTATTTTAAAAACGTTTTGCTTATGAGTTATTGATCCCGGAAGATCGAATCTGTGAATATATTTCCAACTTTACCGAACTACAATGGAGGTCGAACATAATCCAAGAGTCCAGGAGTTAGGCAAAAAACATAAGTTTATTGAAATAAACATGAAATAAGTTCAAAATTTAATTCAAACAAAAACAAACAAAATAAAGGGAAGCCCTCCAGACCAGCCCACAAAGAGCCGTAGGATCTGGAGGCTTCCCCTCTACCCTAAACCAATGCCTAACTAAACAAACAGAAATAAAGCCCCGAAAACTAAACTACCAGTCCCATCAGAAATATAAGAAAATAACAATAATCAAAGGAATACAAATCAGTTGCAATCTCTGTGGTCGGCTGCTGCCAGGGCTGGAAGGTGGACAAGACAGGGAGCCAAGCACCCAGCACCCTCTTATGAGTTTCTCCCCTCGTCACCCAAACCTAAAACACCTGAGGGAAAAAACAGACACACGAGTCACCATCATGTAGAGTTGTACGTCATGACCAGCAGCCAGCAGAGGGGGAATGTAACAGTCCGGGAGGTTGCAGGTTCAATCTCCGGCCCGGCAGGATAAAATCTGGGTGTGGAAAGTAACAGTAGTATTAAAGCAAGTAGTAGTAAAGTAGTATTGCCTCCCTCATTTACCACCACTGAGGTGCCCTTGAGCAAGGCCCATAATCCCAGATCAGGCTGTGGTTGTACATCTGGGTGTGACTGTTCAATGTAATCATGGTCTTCCTGCAAAAGAGAGGCTTCCTTTCAGTGAAAGCCCTGAATAAATAAAGGTAAAAACAGAATCTGTGCATAATGTATAATGTCTGTGCATTCTGTGTTGCTTTCAGATCTGTTTTCTCCTGCATTTTCATTTGTTGTTTAACTGTAAGATATTTTAGAACGTTTTTTAACAAATTATTAAATTATCATTTAAAAAAGTGATGGGGACAAAATCAGCCATTTCCCAAATTGGTGGGGACATGTCCCCAGTGTCCCCAGTGTAAATGATACCTATGTTTAGAATTAGTGAACTTGTACATGATCACTGAAAACATCAAGCACCATTCCTTACCGCCTCCCGCTGGAGTGGGATGGAGTGGGGCGGGTGTGGTGGTGTTGAGGTTGGGCGTCCATTGTAGTTTGAAAACTGTTGCTGTGTGGATAATTAAAGGTGAAAGCTATATCTCTGTGTGCCTCCTGTTAACAGTGTTCACAGGAACTTTTCAAATGTAGAAGTGCATTTCATAAACGATGTAGATGTAGTGCAGTCATGTACAAATATTGTACACAGTCATTTACACTGTCCGTTACTACCGTTTAAGTAGGCCTATGCACTATAGCCTATATACAATACTGAATTAACCTGCATGCAAGGTAGCTTTATTTATGTGGAACATTTCAAACACAGAGGCAATTTTAAAGGTTTGGGGCGCATTTGATCTAGTCGGGAAGTTGGTTCCATTGTGTGCAGCATAGTAGCTTAAAGCATGTTCAATCTATCTGTGTTTCCTTGTTTAGCCTACACCTGTGCAGGTGAGGAATTTAATACTGATTAAAATGCCACCCTATACTTATCCTGTGTCCCTTTGATACATGTTCTGCTATTTATATAAGTAGGTGAAATACATATCGATACAAGCTTTTTAATTTTTTTTTTTTTAGATTAAAATTCCTACAGATTTAGCAGTGTATTGTTTTCCTTCCAAGCCAGTAGGTGGCGGCAATGCACCTACAAGCTAGCTCTCAAACCGCCAGTAAACCAAAAGAAGAAGTACTTCGTATACACAACGCTGTAAAGGCAGCTGAAGAAATGGATACAAATTGTTTGTTTGTTTTAAAGCTTTGAATGAAATTTGGTTCTATCTTTATGAACAATTGTTGGTATCGACGTTGTTGTCTTTACATTTAAGTTAATCTAACACTCGTGAGAGTTTTAGTTAACGTTAGCCTCAGGTTAGTCTGCTATCTGCAGAGTAACAATATCTTTGCAAGATAAATGTCTGTTAGACGCGCTCTGGTAGATTGTGTTGTGTTATCTCTGCAAGATGCCTGTGTGGTTTATCCGTGCTGCAAAGGCTGCTTCTCCAGGATTTATGTTGAACAGCAGGACACGACAAGGTAAAAACGCAAAAGCACAAGATTTGTTTCACTGGGGGGGGGGACGTACTTTGGATGGATTGTACTTTCAATACTGTGACTAATTACGCCAAACAAATGAAATTTAAGTAAAATGAATACAAGTAAGTTACCTTATTATGTCAAGGTTGTGAAAATGAATTGATTACTTTACCCGGAAAATGCTAAACGTTAACCTACAATGCAAATCAACTCTATATTAACTCCCTCCCAGTCAGTTTCACGTGGGCATATTTGTCTTCTCTGTCTACCCACCACAGATGCAGATGCTCCAAGTGTGGTTACAGCTGTCCAAGGGAACAGGTTGAGCACAGATACCGCCTCTCACTGAGGGTGGCCCGGGAAAGATGCATATTTGGAGTAACAGTTTTTGGAACCTGCTTGAATGTATTCTTTGGCCTTCCTGCAAGTGGTTTACAGAGGTGAGTATGGGGAAACTATCTTTCAAGCAACTCCAAATCCTGTCAAATTCCATCAGTTGTATACACATTTTAAGTATGAACATCCTTTTTTGTGTCTTTGGATTGAATTTGCTGGAATTATAGTGTAATCAGCCACAGCTCTTTCAGTTTTATTTAATTGCAAGACATTTAACAGGCTGAACAAGGTCACTCTGACCATGTTGCTCTGAATCTGAAGCATCGCATCATTCTCTGTGTTATACATCTAGACTGCAAATTGAACATCTTACTTACGTACAAGTCTGGCTTCAGTGACCCCTTCAGTTTCTGAATTTTTGGAAAAGTCTCATGAAAGCAGTATATGCCGCAGGGTTTCCTTTAGCAAATTATAAAGCACAGGTGGTAAGCTACCCAGATATTGACAGTTTAGTTAGTATATGGTGCCCTAAACAACAGTGATACAAAATATCTGGCAGGTTAATGTTTTATTTCAGAAACGTTTTATGTTTTAGTAAAAATTATAATGCTGTTGACCAGTCACTGTTACTCACATTGCCTATATGTTACCAGTGTTTAATGAGACACATTTAAAAAGCTCAACTTTTTATCAGTGTCCTATATGTCTGTCAGCAAAGTGAAAAGCATTGTGCAATTTTGTTTTGTCTGGAATTTTGTAGGTTGGTGGAAAACTCGGAGGGACCAGCTGGAGCATCAGCCAGATCCACATTTTTGGTGAAAGCTGTCGAGGACTGTTTCATTGGCAGACATTTCGTCTTTGGTATAAAGGTACACTTGCAGTGGGGTATTGGATATTGTATTGGGATGTGCATGTACCAATACTGATATTGATACCAGGCTGAAATTGGGTTGTAGATTTTCTTTTATTACCAATTATAGTTTAGTATTATTTCCAATTTCATTTGTATAACAAATCTTGACAAAGACCACTAATTTTTGTTTTTTTTTTGCCTTTTTACATGTTCTTTGATCTCACTAAGTGATTAAACTGTATTAGACCATATGTCCAACTCGTGAGCCTTTGCAAATCTCTTTTTAGTCATTATTCTCCAAATACAGCAAGACGCACATGTTTAAATGTCATTGCATATTTGTTGAAATTTTAAACTACCTGTAGTTGCAAAAACAGCTCACAGTTGTAAGAATATTTTAATTCCAGCTATATGTAACTATTCTCACAACCCTGGTTTGTGTTTTTTGTTTAGCTTTGCCTCACACTAATGCTCTGTCAGTGTAACAGCGGTTAGAGCATTTCTTACTGTATGTACCCAACTTACGTAAAAAAATATAAAATAGTCTATACTGGTTAGTTTTGCCACTGTCTGTAGCGGTAAGGGTTCGCTCTTTGTCCATGTATACATGTATTATTAAACAGAGACAAATGTTACCCCACAAACCTGCCAGTTTTGAACCCCCACCAACTAGGACAGTAGTAACAATACAATTCCATGAAATCGTAGAAGACAGTGTTATATGTTGGCCAATAAGTAACAAAAAATGGCAGTACAGAAATGTCAAATTAGGTCTTTTAGAAACAATGTCACCATTACATAGTTTGTCCATTAGAGAGCACTGACGACTAGATTTTTCAACTGTGCAACAACCATTTTAGTATGTATCTTGATCACAATTTTTTAAATCAAGACTAATAGTCTACAGCCATGCAATTAAACAAATAACAATTTAGACCTGATGGGGCTAGATAAAAAGTCAGTGGATCACCAAAACGAATGCCAAAACGCTGGTTCACGGTTAGGGTTGGCCTGAGAGACGAAGCCATTGCCTACCACCATATGAAAGCAGGTTTTAATCCCCACAAACATTTTTATTTTTAAGTTTATTCTACCTACTCCCCACACAAACCTACACATCCGGTCTCTCACTGCCATCACACTGGCTTGCCCCGCCTTTCTCTGTCGCACTCTCTCTGTCTCTGTGCTTCCCTGACTATATCCATCAGCATTATGTTTTATAAAGTCGCAGAAAAGACACAGAACCTTTTTCCAGAGTTTTCCACGGGAGCCTCATGCCGGCTTCTTAATGATGCAGCCTATCAAACAACCAAGTTTTTGCCTATAGATCGAGATCTAGACCCCACCCAATGTCATTGACAATCCTGATGTTTCTTTGTAGACATCGTCCGATGGCCCTATTCGCGGTGTGGGAAAACTGAGCAGATCATGTTGCAGTAGGAGCTGATCAATGATGAACAGCATTTACCTTTAGTGAAATTACCAAAACACAAAAACAAGGCGGTGGCGATGAAGGAGAAGCCAGAAATGTGTAGGATTAAATGTGACCAAGAACCACAGTTCTTGTAGTGTGTGCTGCTATGAAGTTTAGTTACATTTTTTTGTTTTTTACATTTCTGGGTAGGTGCACGTCAGTCTGGCCTACCTACGACATAGATTTGATGTAGAAGTATATATTGGCCTAAAGATGGACATCTCTACCAAGTTTCACAGCAGTCCATCTGACAGTTGGGAAGACATTTCACTAAAAACCACAAATGGCACCCTCATGGTGGTGCTAGAGGAAATGTCAGGAGATCACCAATGTCATTAGGATTTATCCTCTGGACACCACAAATTTATGTACAAATTTCATTGATATCCATCAAGTAGTTGTGAAATGATATTTCAGGACCAAAGTGGGAGACCTACCAGTCGACAGAATGCCATTGCCGTCCCTAGAGCCATGCTGTCAGTATGGCTAAAAACAAATCTCAGTAATCCATATTAAGAGTGCTTGTTTATGTTTAAAAAAAAAAAAAAAAAAAGATTGGTAAATATATTATTGATTATTATTATTTTTTTAACCACTCAAATGTTAATAACATTTAACATATTGGCCTCAAAACTCCAGGAATGGTGGGGTTATAATTATACATATTTGAACATGTCCAAAATGCATGTTTCATTGTTAGTCAGGCTGCTTGCTCTAAACCACACATGGTCTTGTCTTTGTCCTTCAGGTAACCGAAACAGAAAGAAGGCCTTGGTTAGGAGGGGCTGTTGTGAATGGCTCCAGCAGTAAAAACACAGTCCAGTTTATTGCCAGTCAGATGATTCTCCCCAAAGCTACAGGCCTGGAAGGCTGCACAGTGGTCAGTTATTATCGAATCCTTCTTCAGAAAGCTGCAGAACGTGAGCTGGGATCCTCCAGACCCCCAGCAGCAAACCTGCTGCTGATTCCACGTCTTTCTCCAGCCGGCAGTTTCAGTAATGCCTCACTTTGTGCTTCAGGTCTTCTTTCCCAATCACTGCAAAGGTAATGACACGAAGAAGCTACTGTTGATGAACTATTGCTTTCTGATAATTCTCAGTATTTTATATCAAGGTCCGACTCTGTAGGGACCAGAAACAAACTAGAAATTAGTTTTACATTAGCATGTTTGTTCTGCAACACCTAGGTCTCAAACTCACAACCTTAGACACCAAGAGATCTTGTTGAGCTACATGCTAAGTGAGAAACCATAGATGGCTTCACACTATGACATAGGCAATCACAAGGGTTTCAAAATAGCCTAGACATAGAGACAACATAGACAAGTCTGTAATTCAAATTTTATAAAGATTGACTTCGCCATAACTGACAAACTAATGTTCAAAGATGCTCAATTTCCATTGATAGCTATAGCTTACATGAGCTCACCTGGCCTACATTTTGGTAAAAGTTTCAAATTGGTGTTATGTACAACTGATTTGTTATGAATTTGGTGGTGTTTAACTTTAGACTGTTGCTGTAGCGCCACCATCAGGAATAGTAGCACACAATGCCAGATGAGGAAGTTGTGCATAGGGCTGGACAAAGTTTTGATTATTTGCATGCATAGGAAGGCAGATTTCTCATAGGAATAATAATCCAGAGGAAATATGGAATATGGAAGCAAAATCAGAATATTTTATGAATGTATATTTATGTTTGTTTTGAACTCTGCCCACTGTTTTTCAGGCCTGTTAAATATTTAACAATGCACTGAAACCACGGTCAAGCTGTGGCTAATTAGCCTATTTGCACTTCTGACGTTACTGTATTTGTAAACAGCCCAATTAGTGAGAATGACTCAAATCAAAGTAAAAGCAACACATTGGCAGCACAAAATACAAGCTCAGTAGTTTGACTAGTGACAAGTAAATGTGCCTCAAAAACTTTTTCCTCACTTGAAAGTGTTCTTTGGAGTGGAAGAAAATACAAATTAAATGTAAGAACAATTTCAAGGCAACGGAATTACAAAAAAATAAACTTGAAGGTCATTATTATCTGAGTTATATTTATATACTTCACACCACCCTTTTATTTTGTTTTCTTATATTTAAATCAAGTTACAGCATTTAATATGTTAAACGATCATTTCACTACATTTACTAATGCAAAAGCACCTGTTGAATTGTTTCCTTTTGCTTTTGTTTTCATCCTAGATCACAGTACCAAGACTGCTCTCTAACTCCCACTCCTCCATGGCAACAATCACTAGGTCTAGTTACTTCATCAGCAGAGCAGGAAGAAAGCTATTGTACCCAGGACATTGGAGATGAGAACAGCCGACCGACAGACAACAACAGAACACCACATCCTACGCAGAGAGGCTGTCTGGAGAACCATAAAGGCACAGACGAGACAGAGCTGTCACCTCTTCTTTCTTTAGAGTGCAGTTCTAACAATAGTCAGTCATTAGCCAAATACCCATACTCATCTGTTGAGAAAGCTGTTGGAAACACCTCCATCCTGAAGAGTTGGTTTAGTACCTCCTCGCCTGGCCACAGCTGCTCCAAGGCAAAGGGGTTTTCTTCCAGGCAACACCCAGACGCATGTTTGTCAAGCTCCTTGGCTTGGGAGGATTTGCCTTTTTCTGAGAGTCTGACAGAGTTTTTGTGTGAGGAAAACCAAGATGTCGCTTGTCAAACAGAGCCGCATATCAATTTGCAAAATCACAAAAAAACAGCGAGGAACAACCTTGAAGTCAGATCACAAGACAAGAACTTACAACTAAAATCAGCTTCTGTTTGTGAAGGTAACACAGAGATAACCGATAGCCACTCACAAATATTATTGGACATCACAAATACACCTGCAGTGAATGAAGGTGACAGACATGGTTTATCTGAGCAGGTATGTGAGAGCACTGTTGGATGTGTAAGTCCAGCCAGAAACATTTCTTCTCACAAGTATAATCAGGGAGATGAGAAAGCTAGTTCTCTGTCTTTTGATAACGAAGAAGAGCAGCTTGAAGGGGATACCTACAATTGTTCAGCAGATCTATTCAGCAGCTCACTGCAGGTCGATATGAACACAAACACGCTCGACTTGCATGCGGAAAGTGTCAGGATGACCACAGATGCTTGCTCACTACTTTCCATGCCAGACAAACCGCACGTGAGGAGTGAAACGTCTAATGTTCCACATTCAACTCCAGACACACACAAACTAAAAAGTAATAAATTCAATAACAGAGAGAGTTTAATTCCACCAGGCACACACGATCTTGACTTCATCCCTCCCATTCAGTCCACCCCCATTGTAAAAGTGGCTGTTGCCGCCTCATACAGAACATTGACAGTAGGTGAATTCATTTCACAAGCTGACAGTCGAGATTCTTTAGCTTTTTCCAGAAGTCTGACTGAATTGGACAGTAAAAAGCCAGCCAAAATCACCTCCTCTCTTTGCAAATTAAATTACGTCAGTGCTAACCGGCTGCCTCAACGTGGCAGAAAGTCTACGAAAGAAAGCAGACACAGCCACGGATTTACCCTGAAAAGGAGGTTCTGCAAACCAGACAAGCATAAAAACCATCTGCTGACTCAGCACCACCTGAGGACCCAGAGAGACGTTCAAGTGACAGGGTCAACAGGAAGGACAGACCACAAAAGTGATTGTGATGTGACTGTGTATGATTGGGAGGACAGTGAAGTCATTATTGTTCCTCCTACTCCAGCTGCTAAAACAGGACAGAGTCAGAAGCACAGAAGAATGCAGACTGAGATCAGCAGCAGTAATTTGGGTTGTACTTGGGAAGGAAAGCGGGGAGATGGAGTTAATTCTAAAAGATCTCTGTTGGATCAAACTCTCACATCATCACAGAGAGATCCGGCACAAACAGGAAATTGTGACAGTGAGATTGATGAGGGGAGTCTGAATGGATCTAATTGTTACCTCCTTGATGATCAGAACGAGGCATGTGACTGGTCTAGAGATCTGTTCTCTGACTCAGTATGAGAGGTGCTGTTGCAGATGGACTTCACAAATGATTTAACGTTTTTATTTCTTTTATTTTTATGTATTTCAGGCTGGCATCCAAAGTTATGATAGAGCTGCTTTTGTGTTGAAAGAGTCTTATTGCTGCTACTACTAGCAGTACTGTTGCTGGTATTCCAACTCTGCTGAAGGATCCAAGAATAAAGCACATTTATTAAATACTAAAGATAGCAAAGGCACTAAAGGAGAAGGCTTTCTTTCCCTGTCTTTTGTTAGTTGCACTGTATGTCTAAAAAATTAATAATTTGTGTGTTCTGCTGCCTTGCTCACCCCTTGCTGAAAAATGCACAAAATCAAGCATACAGCCATGCGATCTCCTTTGGCAAACATTTGCAGCACTAAAGATCCCAGCATGCAGCTTCAGCTCCTAACCTCACTGGTGATCTTGTAGCTGAGTGGGAGCACATCACTGCAGTCAGATTCCTAAATCTTGTGGAAACCTTCCCAAAGCAGTGAATGCTCTTGAGAGCAGCAATGGTGGGGCAACTTAATAACTACCTTATTAATTCTTATGGCTTTGGAATGTGGTTTTCAAAGGTCACACGTGGGTGTAATGTTTGGATAGCGACATGTTTTAGAGATTTATTTTTAAAGAGGTGGTGTGCTTTTTGGCTTTTCCCTCTCCTTTATTGAGTTATATACCTTTTTTGTGCATGTAATAGGTTTGCAAGGTGAAAAAGCCCAAGGTCCAGTCCAAAGGGAGTTCCCATTTCCCACAGAAAACACTGCTCTGAACAGCTCGAGACAAGTATCACTCCATAGCTAAAACGAAGCCTTCAACACACAGGGTGAAAAGAGGAGCTGGAGCAATATGCAGTATGAGGACAAATATGATGTTTTTTGAAAATTTAACCATATAAACGTGTTCTGGTACAACCCCTAAATAGGATTTTGAACCTGAAAATGAGCATAATACCACATATTTAAAGGAAGAATCTTCAATACAGGCTACTTTTAAATAATAAATTTGAAACATATACACTTTTCGACGTTCAGGTGTGTAATCTTTACCTTGTCTGAGGTATTTGGTGTTCTTTCCGCTGCTGCACCTGTATTGTCATTGCTGGCATCATGTACTCATAACCCTGTCTGAATGCTCTTTAAGGGAAGTGACAATGAAATGATAATATATGTGTGATTGGGTGGGTATCCAGTAAATTAACTGCTGCTTTTTTGGTTTGCATTTTAGTCTTCATTGATTAAAAAATAGAGACAGACAGAAATTACCAATTGAGAGGAAGGTGTGTGAGTCCCCAGCTGGAATAGAACCAGGGACGCTTTTCAGTATATGGTTTAACTGAGAACCACAAGGCTAATTTTAATCACTCTACTCCCTGGTACTTCTGTTGGCAGCTGAGTCCTTAAGTTGATGTGCTGTTCTGCTGCTACTGTGTGTTTTTGCAGCGGTGTTAATGTAGGTCTGAGCGTGTGCAGTGTTATGCCAAAAAGCTAAGAATAGCAGCCACCACATTTCAAGACTACAATGTTCTGGATGTGCCAGTAAAAGAGAGAGAAGAGAGCAAGATGAAGATGATGTTACATGTGTAAAAAGGGAACTGGGACAAGAAGGATGAAGCTGTAGCTTGGTACTTCATGTGTTGCAGAAGCAGGGTTGGTATGTCCATATTCAGATGGCATGACATCTGTCTGTGTGGATAGTAGCGCATATTATTTGGCTGATCTGTATTATTTGAAGTGCCATGTACATTTTGGCATTGTACATCCTGGGAGAATTCCTGAGGTACACATGAAGACTATTTTGCCATGATATGTGTTATATAGGTCAAACGAGTTTGATTTTCTTTACAGTGAGCATCACAACCCCACAGAGGCACTAGCATAGCTGTAGACTCTTAATCCTGTTTATCTCCTGTTAACTTTACTAAATTGGGAGCTTAAACAAAACTCAGTATATTTGTAAGCTACTGAGCTATGTTAACCAGCAAATATTCCTCAATATGATGCAATTTTACAAAACAAGTTTGATGTCTGTGTGTTGTGTTCTTGCAGTGCTTCTGCTGGTAGAGACACTCCTGTTGAGTGCTGTTGAATTTACGTGTGTTTGTGTAAAAAAGAAGACCCTGCCCTTTGTGCTAGAAGGTCTATGGGAGTACAGAACAACTTCAGACATTGATATGCAGTCTTTATGATATTTGATTTGTGCCAGTGAATTTTGGCTTCAGTTGCTTCAATAATAAATAACTGTCAGTAAATATAACCACAAGTGTCTGTTCATGCACTTTGAAACTGCCAGCCCATTGGTGTTTTATAGTATTTGGATGTGAATTGTGGCCTGATGGTGGGGTTACAGGAAAATACCCACACATCAGAAGAAATACTTTTTGTTTGACTTGATGACTTATTACAAGGCAGATTGTCTGCATTAGCTGATGTCTCCCCCTAGCTTGGTCTTGAAAACTTTACCGTTTGCAACTATCTCTTTAAACTACCTTTTAAACTTGGTCCTTTCCCTTTAGATGCCTTTATAAATACGGGCCCAGAATGATGTGTGCTTCCAAAGATTGCAGCTGTGTGCGTGTGTGCCAAGGGAGACCCTCACTCGCACAAGTGGTACAGTACGTGAGCAATGTCACCAAGCACCCAGTGAATGGAAATAGTCAGAGACAATATTTTTTGAGCATGTGATTAGTTACTGCTTGGCTGTTTTTATACAGGGTGGTGCACCTGAATGTTTTGAATGAATGGGGACGTATATATATGTATTGTGGCCACAATACAATATACGTTAAATAACTTAAATAACACACCCAGAAAGCACTGAAATACATATAACTTGTGATAGTTATAACACTATAACATGGGGAAAATACAATACTATGGAGAGTTTTAAAAAATTACAATTGATTTGGTTGAGTCTGTTAAATTGGTTAATTTTACAATGAACTAATTATTCTTTCAATCTGTTCTGTCTGGGTTTTTGAATGTATGTCACACCAGAAAAAGTAATTTGCTTCATTTTTGTATAAATTGCAAAAATGATAAGTATTTTGCATAATACAGTATATGATATACATCTTTTATGTATATTTGTATTTAGCAGCAACAATTATTGTTAAAGTTATTATTAACTTATTGTAATTTGTGCCACAAGACTAATTTTAAATGGTTCAGTATGTGATGGTGTGTGTTGCTGTAGTAATTCCATTGCAAAGTTTCCAGGGACAATGTACTACTGCCCTGTATACAGCGAGTGCCTGTAACATTAGAAAGCTACAGAGATTAAGAGGCGTGACAGGCACATGGTGTGGAAGGGTGGAGAAATGGCTTATTATGGAGTTGTCAACAAAGCGTCAGCCAGGGGGGCGTCAAAAAGTCCCCAACACAGGAGAAGCTTTCCTTTGTAGAATTAAAGCAGATAGAAATGCTTAAATACAATACATCACAGATTGTGTTTAACTAGAAAGACTGATGGAGACTCCAAGTTGAAAAATTCAGCCAAATAATCCTTTAATAACAGATGCAGTTTGACACCTGTTCTGCTCTGTCAACTGGGGTTTCATGTGTTCAATCTTTAACTCCACAGTTCAGTCTCACTGTTTATTAGAGACTATTTTGTAACTGACTATGACCTCTGACCTCCCTGCAGGAGAAAGACAAGAAAGGACTTTCCTTTCATAATGACAACTTAGAATGTACTGAATATTTGTTTATATTATATTTTAAAGAATTTCATTTTTTGTGATGTGAATAGAAATATTGGCTCTATTTGCAACAGTTCTGTGGTCTCCTGTTGGTTCTCTGTGGGATGGTCTCAATCTCCCTCCATAACAGGCCATGGAAATTCTGACGTTAGATGCCAGTGCTCCTTATAAGCACCTGTCCTTCCGCGTCATGCCACGCTCCCAATATGAAAAGCGTGTGATTGCTTTCCGAATGAGACTGTGCGTAGATAGTAGACTGGGACTATATAGCCTCCATGGAGTTTCTTTTCTCCTTTCAACTGCAAGCAAGGCCTGGTAGGACACTGCACACCGCAAGATAGAGGGCGTTTGTTGTTCCTCTCCAACTATAATATGGAGGTAAGAGAATATTTGATTCTTCTGCATGTTCAAGCACTGTGTACTACTGTAATGACTATGTAGTGCTATGACTTTATTGATAAGTTAAAATAATCAAGTAATAGTTTGCTTAAATTTTGTTTCTAAACTACACAGTAGTTAAAATAAAACTGGTAAACCATATAAATAAATGTTTGTAGCATAAAAGAGAGGGCTCTTCGTGCTTGAACACTTCTAGATGTAACTGAACGAAAGGAAAACGAGTAAAACGAAACAAGTTAACACAAACTATTTGAATAGAGTTCTTTTTCAGTGTCCTTATTGATCTTCATCTAAGCAGCAATGACTGCTATTGACAGAGCACTGTACTCTCGGGGTGACACCCTCTCTACAGGCAGCTAGTACCCACGCAGCATCACTGCTGGCAAGTCTAAACCTCCAGAGAGAGCGTGGTCAGTTCTGTGACTGTGTGGTCACACAGAGACAGAGCCCGAGTCAGCTCTACCCAGCACACAGGTGAGCAACAAAAACGTTTTTTTTTCCAATCGAAACACAAGCAGCTTACATATTGGCAAAATATTTGACGTTGTTGTTTATATTGGTAGTTGTATGTCTTGCATAATGTTCATGACTTTATGCAGCATCACACATCTATTTGCTCTTTGCTCGCCCAGGTGTGTCCTGGCAGCTTCTAGTCCAGTGCTGGCATCTATCTTGTCTTCTACTGGTGCCCTGGTGGAACTGAAGGCTCCATGTCTGTCGGACCCTGTACTGGCACTTCTTTTGGACTACATTTACACAGGGGCTTTTCCGCACACTCATAACCAGCAACAGTGCTACAGTCTGCTTACAGCTGCCTGCTACTTGCAGATGGATGAACTGCAGGAGGCTCTGAGGACTTGGAAACACAATGAGGTGAATGCTGGAGATTATACAAATGCTTACACCGAGCCTGAGAATCAGCCATATGAAGTCATTAACAGTACTTGCAGTTTAAATTCACCAGAGGGTGAGGGTCATCAATATTCAGCTAATGTGGACACACGTGATGAAATTCAAATGCAGACAGCCAGTAAAGGTTTCTGTATGAAAGACATAGAAATAGATCCATGTAGAAGTAGCAGTAAAAATGGTAAAAACTGCTGCGGTAGAAAAGATGCAAGCAATATAAGCACCTGTTGTGGTGCCTGTCAAAGCGCTGAATGTAGTGTAAATACAGGTACCTGCAGGCAAGCAACTTCACCTCAAAATTTGATTAACAAAATCCCTCGCACCGCTAAAATGCATAGGGTGTCTAGAATGGACACAGAGGTGCAAATGGATCAGTTTTGTTCATCTGGCACTGTAAAACCAGAGACTTGGCAGAAGAGTGCAGCGGAAGAGGTAGTAAGAACTGGTGAGGACAGGAGTAGCTTGTATTTACTCTGCCCTGCTGAGGTGCAAGAGGAAGAGACAAGCAGAGCCGAGTTGATGGGTTTAACATTGAAAAGTAAAGCGGAGGAGAAGCAAACTAACAGAGAAGAAGACGACAAGACTCGGGTACATCACTCTCCCCTTTGTCTCTCAACCTCCCACCTTCGGGACAATGTTTCTCCCTCACAGTGCTCCTCCTCATACTCTTCCTCACCACCACAGGCGTGTTGTGGGGCAGTTCCTGTCATACGTCACATCAGTAGAGCAGATATGCTCCGCCTTGCAGGAGGGTCTACAGTGCCTCCTTTCCTCCCTGTCTCTCAGGCCACAATCAGCTCCAGTGGTGACCCTGACTCACAATTAGACAAAGACAGCATTGTTGAAGGTATTACCCCTAAACACAAAGGTCACACTGGAACACAAAGTTTGGATAACAAGGATAGATCAAATCAGTTTGCAAGACAGGATTTATGTTACAAATCCAATGCAGATCAATTGGACATCCTAAAACAGGATTACAACAGCAGCAACACAGATCAGGATGAACATATGGGCAATGGATTATCCCACATTACAGGTCACACAAAGCATTTTAGGGATGATTCTTTTCCAGTGAATAAGGATTACCACAGTTTCACCAGAGGATTAAAGTATAGAACTGATCTCAGCTTTGATGATTTCGCTTCCAAACAGCAGCGATTGGATTTCTCCGATTGCTGCATTGTTTCGATGGAAACTGCAGCAGAGGAGCAGTCAATTTACTCACAAGATCAGAGAGCTGTAGTTTCACTTCCTGAACAGGACTCAGACACAGGAAGTGACTCTCATCGTCAAGATTTGTGTCCAGAGGGACAAGTGAAAGACAAACACAGTTACTCAAGTGGATGTCAAGCTGAAATGGATGGACAGGACAGGCAGTGTAGCCTCTTCGGACCTAAGACGGATTGGTACCCACACTTGCACAGAGTCAAGACAAACACAAATGATGCTGCCTCTTGCCAGCATGAACGTGACCCAAACAACAAAGACACAGCTATGACAGACAAAAGATACAGGACTGATGTTTATCTCTCTGTCTCCAGCACACCACAGTCATGTTTGGATGATGTCAGTGGCGGTTTCTTTGCCTTTAAACACTGCACACCTCTGGAACTTGAAAAGACCTCAGGCACTGAGACCACAGAGCCACACTTTACTTTTACAATACCTGTGGACAACAACATGTCTGGTCCCACGTATAGTGCTGTGGGGCAGTCATATCGTGGCCAGCTTCATTATCACTGCCTACCACAGGAGAACATTCACTTATCACATGGAGACTCTGAGCACCACTACTCCCACCCTAGCCACCTTGATCAATCAGGTCAGTCCAGTGATGATGATGATGATGATGATGATGATGATGAGCAGGTTGGTACCTTTGCCATTCAAGCTCAAAGTCCTTTGAGCCAACACTTTGCTACAGGGACTACAGACCAGGTTGTACTGCTAGACATTAGCGCCAAACCTGCTGAGTTGCTAGCGTCCTACAAACCCAGATCTGACGAAGGAGAAAAAAGGGATGCACTCGGCCACAAGGACACATTTGGAAATAGGTTTGGGCAATGGAATGAAGCAACATCTGTAGCAGGGGTTGACAGTAGAAACATTACAGCTTGGACAAAATGTGGGGCTGAGAGTTTAGATGAGGCTCGGTCTAAATCTTGGGGTGCAGAAACAAATGTTAAAGAAAGAAAATCTGTTGGTAAAGAGCAAAGCAAGTCAGGAGCTCACATTAAACATAAAGCTGGGGTTGTGGAAGGTAAGAACCAGACCACTACCTTGACAGTCTGTTCACCTCCTAGTGTGCCAGATTCTGTACAAGCCTCTGTGTCATCTACCTTGTCTGTCAGCATACCTTCTACCCTTTCAGCGAGCTTGCCAACAAATATATCAGCTCATCTGTCAACTCCTGTACACCACCATTTACAGTGCTCTCTGTGCGACCGTTCCTTTAGCCAGCGAGGCTCTCTGAATAGACATGTGCGGAGTCACCTTGGCGTACGGCCCTTCCCCTGCCCCCGCTGCCCTATGACCTTTTCTCGCCAGTACCGTGTCACAGAGCACATGCGTGTTCACCAGCGCTGTGTCCTTGGGAGTGACTTTCAAAAGCCCCCTACTACATCAATTTGAGACAGCGAGGAGATGCCACCAACATGACATTTATTGTCCTGTCACTGAAGACCAGTATCATTCAAATGTGTTGGTTTGTTTTTAATTGCTCTGCACAATGAAAATGTCCTTCCACATTTCGCAAATATATAGAATTAGGACATTTCTGAGATAAAGTTTTGAGATTAATTTCAGATTTCATGGGTATCTATGCCCTCAAGAGGCCAACAATGGGAGTTAACCCTGATAACACTGCAGTTCCATGAAAATCTGGCATTCCAAATAAGGACAAGGGGGAAAGAAAGAAATGAACTATATGCTACCTGTCCAGCACCAAACAGCAGACAGACACAGTTAACAACTATCTGGTGAACATAGTGGAGCATTAAGCAGCTAAAGAGAGATTGGTAGAGACCAAAAACAGAGCTGAATAAGAGTGAATATTGGACTTAACTATTGCCAGGTTTCCAGAAACATGACTCCTAATGAATGATGTAAGTAAGCAAGTGTCTATTTACAAATTTTAAGTTGCTCCGTATCTGCTGGATTTGTAAATATGCAAATGTTTGCTAACAAGTTAGCCATATATAAACATGAAAGGCAACAGTATGGTTTTGTTTTCACCACTTGTTTTCTCAATGTTGGTAGCTAATTCTTTGTCAGATTGACATTTTGATGCCATTCCATTAAGTGCCCCAGAGTGCATGTATTCAGCTGGCGTACATTTTAATTAATCATGAGGTTTCCTTTTGCAAGTCTAAATCCGCAGTAACAAAAATTTTGTTAAACAGTTGCCTTTCACATTAATGTGAGCCATTTTCTCTGTTTAGAGGATGTCAAGAGTTTGTTTTGTGTGTAATAACAATAAATCAAATGATTTAAACATTTAACAGAATTTCATTCCTGTATTGATGCATGTCATTGTTTCCATTTGTTCATGGGATGCTATATGGTGTGTAAACTAGAATAGATTTGAATGAGAGATTAATTACAGCTGCTCATTTTGTAACATTGATAGAAAAGCTGATCTTGTCTTCATGAAAATATATTATTTTTTATGTTTGATACACAATGTGTATATGTATATATGAAGATGTGATGGACACTTTTGGGGGATTTTTGAGATTTTCACAGCAACTTTTAAATCATCATAATATTATATATAATTATATAATAATAATATCAATTTGATTATGATGTTTGTATTACATTTAAAAATGCAATTTGAACCCACTGAAACATAATGAATGTTATATATGTTTGCATGTATTTTAACTTGATTTTTTTCCATATATATGACAATTTAATTCCTACACCTGACCCTGTTGTACATACCTTTAAAACATAAAAACAAAAAAAAACTAAAATGCCTTTTGTCACTTGGTGACAGTTGCAAATGAAGGGTACAGACATGTCATGATTTGACTAACATTGCACTCCCTGTTCTCTCTGTTTACAGATATATTTATTAGTGATATGTCTCACATGCTGTCCTCTAAGTGAGGACAATATGTAGGGTATCATAATGTGTGTACTTAAAAGTTTTCTCCATTGCTTAAACATGTTTCTTGAAATTATGCCTCTTTTTCTTGAAACTCTAAACACAAATCCATAACTTGTCACCTAATTCCCCAAACACCCTATTTTCAGGTCAAAATGAAGCTCTCCACTCTAAACCATTCAATCTTGCTGAAAAACCAAACTTTATCCTCACACACAAGCCCTCAAAAGCACACACACTAAAACACAATCTTACACACTGGTGAGTTAAATTCAGTACTACAAAAACTAGATAAAAGTAATGTTGCTTGTGGTTCTCTCCCTCAAAAAACTTTTTACACGAAGAACACAAAAGGAATAACAAATGTAAACATTTACACATTTTTTATTCCTTTAGTGTACAGTACAGTACAACACACCAAAAAACAAATTATTCTGCCCCAGCATCCTGTCTTTGGTCTGGGACAGGCCAGAAATTCTCATCCTCTACCTCCTTCTCCACCACCTCCTCCTCCCTACTCCTCCTCCACCTCCTCATCTTCCTCCTATCCCATCTCCTCTTCCAACTCCTACCGTTCCTCTTCCTCCACCTCTTCATACTGCTCTTCCTACTCCTCCTCTCTGGTGTCCGCTACTTCTTCCTTCATATTTCTCTGAATCCATTGTTCCAAAACATTGAATGAACTGACTGTGGCTCTTTTATCTATCTATTGAAGCTTCTGATTGGTGTGTTATCAGTTTTGACTGTTTGTGTTTCCACCTGGGTAGCTGTGTGCTAATTGAGCTCAACAAATGCTGGCTTGAGTGAACAATATTGACTGTTAGTGCTTTCTCAATGACCACATGGTGTAGGCACCGAGAAATTAAGGGATTTGTGTGTACAGTTTAGGGAAATAGGTGTGCTTTTTGAAAAATGGAGTTATGGTTTTGAAATTTTAGTTCAAAAGCCTGGTTATAGTGTTTTAAGCAATTGAGAACTGCAATGCTGCTGAAACATGACTCCCTTTTCTCAAAATACTTAGGGCAGCCATGAGGTTCTATCCATGTTCTGCCTAGTCTATGCCAAAGAGAAGAGGTGTTCAACACTTCAGGTAGTAAAAAAATACAGAACAGTTTTCCAAAGGTGACATGTTTATGGTTGGATATGCTGACAACTCTTTTTGAATAAAGAAACACTCTCTCTTCTCATAACTTGTTCCACAGTTAGCATGGCTGTGTGTTTCCCTGGCATGCAAACTGGTCAGGGGTAAAAAAGGTGAGAAGGATAAGTAAGCAGAGAAACGCACAGAGACATTGTAAGAATTCTTTTTTTAAGCTTACATGTTGTATAGATAATGTGCATTCGTCTACTGCAACAAGAGAAACATACAAGGGTGTCACTTTGTGTTGAAAAGTAGTGGACATAAGGGCTCATATTAGGTATGTGATGATCAACCCGTTCTGATCAATATGCGTACAAATAACAATACTTTGTAGATGCAGAAGATGTGGCGATGCACCATATTGGTGTCACTAGAACAAGACGTGATGATAATTTAACAGTATTTAATAGAAATCATCAAAGCTGAAATATGAGTTGGGGTGTCTGGGGGTCCTTCCCATGAGAATTTTGAGTATTAAACACTTGATTTCCTACATTCTGGTGAAATTTCCTGTTCTGCCTTTCCTACATTAATTTATGGAGGAAATGTCTTTATTTATGTAAAGGGAAACACAAAATTCAGGTGGCAGGTGAAAATTCCAAATCTCTAAGTACTACAGAATCTAATGTGGTGCAGCTCTCATTCTGAGTTGCTTTCACATATCTTTCTCCTGTAGATCAACTTATCTCATGTTATATCTGCCCTGCTGAACTAGCACACATGCAGGCATGATTTAGTCTTCCCTCCTCTTTTGTCATGTTCAGAGGGAGAGAACAAAAAATTTGGCCAAATAGAAACTGTGACAAGAAGTTCAAGTTGCTGCATTTTTTCTTAATTAAAAATGCAAATAAATTCTCAAAGCACTTTCAATGGTTCTTTTCCATTTAATGCGGCAAGCTGTTTTTCAAAGCATTTTTAACAAACGCTTTCAAAAAGTGATGGGGATGTCCCGAGCGTCCTCAGTGTAAATAACACAGATGCCGATATGTTTTATCCTGTTGATGTTAGCTTCCGGTCAGCAAACTGATGCGAACGCAGAAGTTCCTTAAACCTGCATTCTATTGAAGGGCCAGCAGGGGGCGACTCTTCTGGTTGCAAAAAGAAGTCTGGCTCCATTTGATAATAATGGTAAAATGAGGCTACTTCTCAGCTGATTTTTACCTCAGTAAACACTTTCCTAATGACTTCAATCACTAGTTTCAAGTCTTCTTCAATACAATATGATGTTCACTTAATAAATTATGGTCCCATTTAGAGGAAAATAGAACATAAAGCAGAGTATGCTTCAGGGTGGGATTATCTATGATTGACAAGTCGTTACCATTGCGACCTGTCAATCAGGCTAGAGTGACTCGTACCCACAGCTGTTGAAAAAGCTTATTAGGAGTTGGCTGTTAAATTTCTGTTAGACAAAATTGTCAGCCCTGTCAAAATGACAGTTAACGTGAATTACAGATGCACCTAGCTAAGCAAGCTAGCTAGGTGCACACAGGGCTGTTAGCTCCACCATCTCGTCCAAATGTGCTTCACGTCCGGTTCCGCTGGCTGCAAAATATCAACATGGCGGCTTCAAAACAGCAGTCCACAAACCAACAGGTGACATCAAGATGACTACGTCCACTTCTTATATACAGTATCTGAGTAAACTACTAATTATAATTTACACAACAATCCATTTTGTAAACTACTAATTATAATATACAACATAGTCCATTTGAAAACTATTAATAAGTAGTAAATATGTGTGAGAGTTGTCAGCTGTTAGCTGACTGCTACCGCTGGTGCTGCAAAGTACTGCTACATCAGCAATTTTTAAATCCTGTAGTGTAAAACAATCACATGCTATAGACTAATACATAATATAATATATATATATAAAGCAGCCATTGTCAATCACAAAGTTTGGGACAGATGTGAGCATGTACATTTAAGTTATAACAAATTCCTGTTTCATGGCGAATCATTGATATTCCACTCCACGCCACAGGCTGTCCCGGTCAACCAAAACTCACCATTTGTACAACGTGTAATCATCGATGGGCTACCACTGTATACGAACAGTCACACGGACTCATTCTCTAGGAGGAGTTCATTAAAGTGCAGAGTGTGTAAATCGCCAAATGTGACAATTTAATCCAAAATGGCCGACTTCCTGTTGGTTGTAACCCGCCTGCCGTGTGTTGAAAGTTTTGTAAGTTTTCATGAAGGATTAGATTAGGCCGTCAAAAATGAAAAGTGTTTACAGAAATATTTCCCCAGGTCAGTATTGAAGTCAACATGCTGTGACCGGGGTTCTAACCAGCAATCTTTGGATCTGCAGGACAATGACTTAACCACTGGACTGCTTAAGGTGTTATTCACCTTTTCCTTTCATTGTGTTTGGTCACATAACATGTTATGCTTCAGTGCACCAGTAGAAGGCAAACTATTACAAATGCCTGGCACAGCACCGTTTTCCTTGTGCTTATTTTTTCTGTGACATCTAGTCCAGTGTTGCAAAATAAAATGAAGACACAGAAAGCGACTAATCTTGTGAAAAACTTATTCCATGTAAACAATTACTGCATTTACAAAGACAATATACACATTTAAAAACAACCACTACAAGTCGGCGGGAAGTGAACAACACAGCTGTTTGAAGTTGAAAGCAATTATCACTGCTGCTGGAGGTGGGATTCAAAGCTACTAATTATAATATAGACCAGACTTCATTTGGAAAACTACTAATTATAATATACACCAGATGCAATTTGGAAAACTACTAATTGTAATATCAGCAGAGTCAATATGAAAACTAGAGCCCGGCCGATTTATCGTCTTGCAGCTATTATCAGCTGATATAAGCTACTGGCAGATATATCTACATCGGCGTTTATAACAGCCGATAAGAGTATTAAAAATGAGAAATAGAGGATCCTTCCCTCAAGTCATGAGTGTTGCATAGTTTGCCCACCAGAGGGCGCGTAGCAGTTCATCTGTTAACAACACTGCAACACCACTAAAAAAAACATCAGCTGACCGGAGTCTACCAGGGTCCTGGTAACGCTCACTGTTTATGGTGAGTTGATAATTTGTCACGCCAATAACATGACTTAAATAATAATAAACAGCCCTTATCACTTCTCCTCTCCTGAAAACATTCATACCAGACTGGCCAACCCCCCCGTTTTTCACTGCACCCTCCCGGGTCACAGCAGGATTAAAATGAATGTGAATGGCGGAGGCTAACGTCACTTCTAGTGAACGGTCCTCGCATTTCTCATTATTTCTAAATATTATTTAACATAACTCACTCACTGCCCGTTGCTAAATTAGCCACAAAGACAATGCTGTGTTAATCAGTCGAGGAGCGATAATGACAACGAGCGATTAAACTATAGTGTTTGACGTATTCTAAATATAGCTGCCAGCTGCTTGTCTCTAGTCACAGTCTGTGTGTCAGAAATGATTGAACCACAGCGGGCTTGTGAATAAACGTGAGCTGTAGCCTACACGAATCTAACACCACTTCCTGCCTAACAAAGTTCTTACGTTACCTCTTCTTTTGAATGTGAAACGTTAGTGTGACATCTCAAAGTTGCAGCTTCCTTGTAGACTGTCATGTAGTATTAGATTAATTAAACAGCAGCATTTCCTCTGTCACTGTACCATAGATGACATTTTTTTATAAAGTAGTCAAACTACTTTTTATAATATACAGCAGAGTCCATTTGGAAAACTACCAAATATAAAATACTCCAGAGTCTATTTGGAAAACTACTAATTATAATATACACCAGAATCAGTATGAAAACTGACTACTAATTATAATATACACCAGTCCATTTGAAAACTACTACCGTAAGTATACCAACATCAGAATCTATTTGATAAACTACTAAGTGGTCGTGCAGCTGGAGATGTGAACCATTGCAGTTTTTCTCGATATTTTCCATAACTTTATCCACTTCTCACCCAATTCACCAAATGTCCTATTTTCAGGTCAAAATTAAGCTCTCCACTCAAAACCATTTAATCTTGCCGAAAAAAACAAACTTTTCCCTCGTTGTCCCAAAACAATACTACAAGTTACCCTGGACAGGTCGCCAGGCTACTTGTGGTTCTCCCCTTCAAAAACCTATGTACATGATCAACACAACAAAAGACACAACAAATGTGTACATTTTAACATTTTTTTATTTCTTTATGTATTATACAGTACGATACATGGTGGTGCAGTGGTTAGCACTGTCGCCTCACAGCAAGAAGGTCATGGGTTCAAACCCCGGTTACCATGTTCTCCCCGTGTCTGTGTGGGTTCTCTCCGGGTGCTCTGGCTTCCTCCCACTATCCAAAGATAATAATAATAATTGGTGTCTCTGAAATTGTCCTAAGGTGTTAGTGTGAGTGGTTGTTTGTCTGTCCGCCCAATGTCAGCTGGGATTGGCTCCCCACGACCCTGTACGCAGGATAAGCGGTTGACGATGGATGGATACACCAGACAACCACAAAATAGTCTGGGACAGGCCTTCACCTCCTCTCCCTAATGCTCTTCCTCCTTCCAAGTCTCTGGACCCATTGTTCCAAAACTGAATTTACTGACTTGGGCCCTTTTATCGCTCAATTGCCATTGACTTTTTGTGTTTTCACTGGGGTAGCTGTGTGCTAATTGAGCTCAAGTTTTGCTGACTTGAGTGAACAATATTAAATGTTAGTGCTTTCTGAATGACCACATGGTGAAGGCAATAAGAAATGAAGAGATTTGTGTGTAGAGTTTTGCAGTGACAGTTCAACAAATCTGAAAATCTCAAAACAGGGAAACAGTGTTTATAGTTTGGAGAAAGGGGTGTGCTTTTTTATAAATGGCATTATGGTTTTGAAATCTTAGTTTAAAAGCCTGGTTATAGTGATTAAGCAATCGAGAAATACTGTAAATATATATAAATATAAATATTCACTTTTTAGTAAGTGACATGTCTTTGGTTCTAAAAGTGATTATGCATTAATAAAAATGGTTTCTCACTTGTGAGTGTTAATAGGTAATTAATGGTTAATAATTAACAAATATAAAGGTTGCAGTTAGAAAATGTGTTCATAGTTGAATTGTGGTACAGATGTTCTGCAAAAGTGGTCAAACAATGGCCTGATCAGACAAAATCCCAACGTTCTGAATACAATATCTGAATTACTGAGGAAGTGTGTGCAGTTATTCATAGGTCTGGAACCAAGCTAAGCAAATAATGTCATGCTAGCAAACCAACAGCCTCTCAAGCCAAAGGTATTTCTTATTAATGGCAGATAGATGATGTATCAAGTATTAGTGAATTTCTATCAACAATTAATAAAGTTATTAGTTACAGCTTATAAACCCTTTCTATAGGGTGCCTATCAGGTGGAAAGAGTACAAAAATATTCAAGTACAAGTAAAATTACTGGTATAAATATCAACTCAAGTAAAAGTAAAAAATATCTCATTTAAAATTTACTCAGAATAAAAGTTTAGTTACTTTTTTAACCTCCTAAAACAACTTAGGCTAATTATATTTATTTAATATCTTACATTGGCCTACTTAACTAGAATGCTCTCAGACTGCAGCCAAGGAGGCAGTTCACTGAGGAGTGATGGTTAAAATCTGTAATTGTAAATGTAACTTTGATTGGCATGATATATTAGGGTAATTTTGACGCTATTATGCAGCTGCGCCGTTATTGTGCATGAGACACCTGTAGTTAGTGTTGGTAACACCACAGCAGATGCTTTTTAATACCACAGGGCACAGAAGTCTGGGGCAGCTAAACAAACTCTTGCTCAGTTACTGGTATTTTCCATAATTATTTGTTGCAGTCGTGATCTGACTTTTATGCTGCACAAAAGATGAGTCTGCGAACAGCGAAAGTGAAATGAGTTGGTTACCTGGCTGAGAAGGTGGAGGTGTGCAGCCTGTGGCCAACTCACTGTGTCTGCTCCTGACTGTTGCATTACTCACTGAAATATTTCAAACCGTTCCTCTGTCAGAAAACTTTTGAAAATGACGACTGTCTTGTTGTGTAGACGCATTTTTGATGAATGAGAGCGGTCAGCGCTGATCTCACTTACAAACAGATTGCATTTGATTATTTCAAAATAAAAGTCAACTTGTCTTTTGCTATTTAAATGCTTTTAATGTGAAGCTGCTACAGCAGGAAAGGTTCAGTTTGCATTAGCAGTAACTTAAAACAGCATTTTTTCACAGCTTACACTGCATGATAAAGCTGTTCTCTTGCACTTGTGTTCGTGAGTTTTAGAAATGTAGCAAAGTACAATACTTTAAACAAAACATACATAATTAAAAGTAAAATTACAGATTTAAAAAACTACTTTAAATAGTACAAGTATACGAAAAACTACTCAATTACAGTAACGTGATTCATTGTAATTTGTTACTTTCCACCTCTGTCAGAAAGTGATATATGTTAACTGTAACCAGAGAACCAGCAAGTTTGTCTCAATTTAAGTCTGCCCTTAACTAATTTAATTGTTTTTGAGAGAAAAAATAGCCCACACGTGTTCTGATCTATGGAGTATAGCACAAACAAATAATGTGGAGAGTAGGAGGGTAAATAGCAGTTAATGGTCTATGCGGTGTGGAAAGTTTAATGTCACCATCCTGTGGAGTCTTTTGGAAGGTAATATAGTGCTCACATGATGGTGGAAGTAGTAATAGAACTGACTGTACTTAACAGAATTGAATAGAAATAATAGAACAAATAATCTGTATTGCATTTTATACATGACCACAGCATACTATTAAGAAGTGGTTAATATAAAGGACTCAGTTGTGCCCAGAGATAAATACTTTGCTGTTCTTGTATGCTTCATATTTCTTCTTGCTGCTTATTCATCACACTTCAGACCTTCCTCTCGTGCTTGTTATTCAACTGGTGTTTCATTCGGACTAGCAGTCATCACTACAATGGCCTGAAGAGAAGAGAAAGAACAGCACTATAATGCTTAACTTAACTGGTGATGTTGCAACTTTGTTTAAGCTTAGTAAATATTGTGAGACATTCTCCTGGCGAGTGGGACAAGCACAGCTCTCAGCACAGTCTGTGAAGTGTTTTTTATGCCTTTTTACCTGGTTCTTAGTGGAACGCAGGGCAGCCCCGGCCAGAGCTGACATTACTATGAAAATAATTCCACCAACAAAACTGTAGAACAGGAAGATCGACTCCACAGTCACGCCCATGGCCTGGACAAACACACATAGACACATATCTCAAACAGAATGTGTGCACACATACTATAAGCCATGGACCAAACTGAAATGTGTTACACCTTCAGATGATTATAATATTTGTGCCATAATGCATGGAGGCCGAAAGTGTTCATTATTAAGATTATTTATTTATATGTCTGTTTTTATTTTAATATTCCATTTTCCCCAATGGACCATTTTATTGCATAAAGCCACAAGTCTTGTCTGTCAATCAAAATGAACAATCACTGGGTAATTCATAATGTTTTTCTTTTTTTCATAAAGTAATACTTATTTAATGAACAGGTGCCAATGAGGGTATTTGTTTATAACTGAAGCAATAATAAATATGCTTATTAGAGTAACAGAAAGTTGAACTGGTGGTCATGTGTTGTAGATATATGCTTTCTAAATACCAGTTTGCACTTTTAAATGATGGATAAGTGCTATGACCCAACAATAAAAAAAGTGTAATGTAATGTATTGTCAGTCCTCAAGAATCACAAATCCTGACTATTTGAGTGTAAAGGTTTTAAACAATTTATATCAAGTCAGGGTACACAAACTGTATGTTGTTTGTAAGATTGTTCGATATCATATAATGACTACTACATTCCACAAAGAAATGTGAAATCTAAAGATTTTGATTTGTAACCAATATTATAATGGACACCTCCACCAACAAAAACAATACATAATAATAAAAAATAATAATCACCTCATAATATGATGCCCATTGTGCTTCCTCAATGTCTGTGTCATTGTCTTCAGCAAAGTATGAATAGTGTCTGTAGTTGTGTACTACGGAGGGCAGGCTGTGCATGACAGACCAAAATGTCCCCAGTATGGTCACAATACTCAAAGCCAAAGATATGGTTACCTACATGTAGACCCCAACAGAGATAAAGAGAGATGTAACTTACAATGTCGGCAATAGTTCATACAGTATATGGACAACAAGGAGAGCCCTGCCGATGCCTAAAAGAAACTTAATTCAATTATGTTTAATCCGTGAATAAAAAGAGGGATTGATTATAACATAAATAAATCCTAGTACATGTTAATTTAAAAAATGTTAAACTATGTATGGAAACACAAATTGTTATTCCAATCATTATTTGAAGGGGATCTGTAATAAAATATTTTATCTGAAGGGCTGTCTTGCTCCTCTAAACAGATCGGTTCATGTAAAATTGGCTATTGTTGCTTCAAAATATTACAACAGAGCTTACTTTTTTCTTGGTTGGGTTGTACTCTGTCAGGATATATAGAATTCCACATATGATGTACTGTGAGCGGAGTAGGGAAAAAAAACACAGCTTTATTTAGTATCCCTCAAATGTTTTGGGACACCACAGTACTGCATTAGACTGCAAACAGGGCAGCAGAAACACAGCCTATTGTTGGTGCTTAGCAACTGAAGTGAGTTCATCAGCCCTGAATCAAATCCTGTTCAAATTTTGATTATTGGTTGTTTCTTGTTTTGTAATTTGGCTGTTAAGAAAATAAAAAATCCATAAGTCACTATTATCCACTGATAAATAATTATCTGATCGTACTACCAACCAGTGCCCCAAGCAAGATGCTAGGTGGGATGACTGTCCACATGTGTTCTGTAGAGATAGCGATGGAAAGAATGAAGAAAGACGAGCCCAAGACAAGCAGGATGATCTAAGAGAAAATCAAAAACAACTTCAAGCATGACCTCTTCTCTTTTTCAATTTTATTTTGTGTAACAATGGAAGGTTGGGACCTTGGACAATACTGTAATATTTTATATGTTATATTGATTATGATCATCAATAAGTATTTGATTATTAGTAATTTGAGCGTGCTTGTGTGTGTCTCACGCCAATCGTCTTGGGTTGTCCCCTAATGAAGCGGTGTAAAGGTTTACTGCCCCCCACTGTGGTGCCTTGTAGTCTTGCATTATTCCCATCTGGTCCACTGGCAAAGTAGAGCTCAGCAGACATCTTACGGACAAACAGACAGGACAGAAGCAGAGTGAAAACATTAATATGGGCATTCCCTTGTATGTGCTGCATCCATGTTACACTGAAGGAATTAGTCATTTTGATTTTATTGAGTCTAATCAATATTTCCATTCTGATTCTGCCAGTCGAATCCTGGTTTTGATTCTTGTCACATTATTAAAATTATATTGATCTTAAACACAGTCCTTAGCTTCAGCAGATTTAGGCTGCAATGAACAATAAGTTGTCCTAAATGATGAGTTATTTTGTGGCTCTTTTTTGGTAAGATTAAATAATCTGTTTGGGCACAAATTGGATGTTTGCGGTTTTACACGTGTTTTAATGTCCCAGCATTAGTCTGGCATATATTTTTATACAGTTTGAGATTAAATGTTATTTCTTTGTACTTCAACAGAAAGTCCCCAAAAAGGCCAATGTCAATATCAGGCACTGACATCCGGACAGAAATAGCCACATATAATTTAAAAAGCCTTCAACAACTACACCTCCAATGAACCTCTGACCACAGGCCAATGGCTGAGACTCATGGGATATGTTGTTGTTGTTAAATGCTAACCAAATATGAGCCTAATCATGTAAATCATGTTTCATTTAAAAAAATAAAATAAAATTAAAACAATGTGTTCAAATTGAACTGTCCAATAGCCTACAGCAGTATACAGCCAACATATATTTCTTAGAACAAGGACAACATTTCCCAGGTAGCCTATATAGTTAAAATAAAAAGACCCATTATGTGAAAACAGGCAGATGTAGTGCCTTCTTATACACAGTCTATGTGTGAATTATAGGCTATCTAGGCTAAGTAGAAAAGGTTTGGTTCTTAATCTGCCTGTCTCCTGTTAAATAGCTACATATCAGACAAATTCTGATGTTGACATCAAGCAAAACTGATACACATTTTTGAAGGAAAAAAATCTGTTGCTCAAGTCGCATGCAGAAATTTTTAAATGTTTGGGTGTGAAGTAATACGATGTGAATTTGAACTGACTGTCTATGTAACTAATTACATAATAATGTAACGGGAACAAGAGTCGCTATTATTCAGTGTCAAACCCAAACAAACGTGTTATGAACAAAATGCGATGGTAGAAAACAAAAAGGGAGCCAGACCTTGTGCAGTCCTGCGGGCCGCTGCCGTAGTTCAGTGTTCAGCCGTTGTAACGACTCACATCACGTTCACATCTGGAGCTGCGTGATGGGTGATTGTGAACGATCAGATCATTTTGAACACACATCCACAACTCTGTTGTATGTGCTCACTGCAACTCATGATTGAGAGAAGCCATTTGGAGTGCAACTTGTTCAGTGCTTTAGCTTGATATTTTTGTAATAAATTTTATTTTTGTGATTTTGTTAACTTCCTTCACTGGTGTTCATTATTAAGAAGGACATAACTGAAAGAACTTATAACCATAAAAAAAACTGATTATTTACTGTAATTATTTGGCCTGGCAGAACTGCACCAGAGTCCTCCCAATTAAATGGTTAAATATGTTGCTTTTAATTGTAGTGTAATAAGCTGGTAGAGGTGGAAATTACAAATCACTTTGCTGATCCAAATCATTTGGTTTAGTTGAGTTCAATTCAAAAATTTGAAGTCAATGGCCATGAACTACATTCACTTTTTCACTTTTTTTAAGCTAATCATCTTTCAAATGCAGATCAATACCTAAGTGAACAGATGAAGTGTCCTGCGGCCGATAGAGGTCTTTGGGTCTTTCACTTGTCATTCTGAGGCATTTGCTGAAGCCACAGATGCTTGTCTATATTTTTTTTTACTTTTATACCCAATGAGGTGTAGCCTAATGCACATGTAAATAGTACAGGGTGATACATTACAATACATTGTAGAACACTGCAAAAAGTGAGCTCTCAAAAACAAGGGGAAAAAGCATTAAAATGGGGGAAAGATTACTTAAAATAAGCAAAATTATCTGCCAACAGAACAAGAATCTTTCACTTGCTACTTAAGGGGGAAAAAAACTTGAAACAACTGAGATTCTCTAACATAAAAGCCGCCTGGTAAGAAGAAATATCTTGTCAGACAAAAAACAAGTATATTTTGCCTTCAATTAAGATAATTAATCTTACTTAGCTTTTAGTTTTTGCAGTGAATAGGCATCACAAGAAGCACTGTGAGAACCAATAACATCGGCTACTTGCTTAACCAGTCCAAAATGGTCGACTCCTAAAAGAGAGTCAAACTTTCCTTCACTCTAGCAGAAACACAGGGGAGGGGAAGAGGAATGTGTGTGCCTGAGTGCCTGCCTGTGTGTGTGTGTGTGTGAGCCCCATGACCAAGGGGTTACAAGGGAGCAGAGCAAGTAGAAGTAGAAGGAGTGTGATGAAATAGTCAAAAAAAACATCCTGTTTTTCCAAGCAGCACATCTGTGTGCTTTTGTGTTACTCCATTCATGAAACTGAAATTGAGATAAAAAGGGCAGAGTGAGGGAAGAAAAGCAGCATGGGAAGGATAAGGTGGTGAGGGGGGACTGCAGAAATAGAAGATAAGGGGTTGGGCTTAATTTAAAAGAGGGTTAGTTATTCAATGTGAAACAGCTGCTTTTTTTAAACAATACAATAAAAGAAAGATTAAATGTTTCCTTTCCTTCCAGTGGGACAAGACATATTCAGATCCTATACTACAGTATAAAAATACTCCATTACAAGTAAAATACCTGTATTCAAAATTATATATAAGTAAAAGTACCAAAGCTTTAGCAACAAACTGTACTTAAAATATCATGAGTAAAAATACTTATGTTTGACTGGCCCTTCTGAGAGTTATATTAGTGGACCAGTATTAGTGGTACTTTAACTTTGTATTTAGTCAGGATGGAACTAGTTTTAATTGCTTCTTAATATTTAGGTGGATTAATCTGTAATCATACATCATATTTTAAAATCTGATCACATGTTTTTGTATGTATGTTTTGTATGTTAAGTAATTTGTAAAGTAATTAGTAACTATTTCCGCAAGTGTAGTGGAGTAAGAAGTACAACATTTCACTCTGAAATGTGGTGTAGAAGTATAAAGAAGAACAATAAGCAAAAAAAGAAGAAAAAAAGCAAGTACCTCACAACTGTACTTGGGTACAGTACTTGAGTAAATGTACTTAGTATTATTTTGCTGCAGTAGAAACGTGATCTGTGTTATCATCCTCAACATCACAGCCTTCTGCAAAGATTTGCAGCTTGAACAAAGTATTGAGGACCCTACTCCATGTTATTTCTGTTCAGTTAATGTTTTGTGTCTGAGGTGAAAAGAAGAAAGAAAAGAACAAGAAAGAAACAAGCATTGCATTGCCAGAAAGTAGTAATAACCTTTGAGTTTATTATAAAATGTGTCTTGTACAGATTAATTCAAACTGCATTGTTAACAAACCTGCACTACACACTGCTTGTTAGGATGCTGCTTAGTGCCCAAAACATAATCGTTACACGGGACAGCAAACTGGATCAACATCCATGTCAACAGAGAGACAGACTGGATAACTGGTCAAGAGTTCTAATAGATCTTTCACAGAAAGAATTAGGTGATAATCATCAAAAAGATGATGTACTGGGAAGAGCATTGCATTTAAAAGAAAAAATTTCTTCTTTTTATTCTTTAACTTCCATATTTAAATAAAATCTGGAAATAATTAATATATCAATTATCAAATGAAGTGACACTGACCTCACACAGATCCGAGTGGGCTTTTGGGCTAAATCATTACAACTTGACATGTCAGCACTTTTGACGCACTAATAAGAATACTTAAGCAATTTTCAGTGATCATGACATCCACATACATCTTAACATTACAACAGCATGCGTCCTTTGCGTCTCTTCCTCTTACACAGATTACACTGGACTCCCCAAAGGCATGTGAACATCAACAGTTTTAGATCCGATTAAAGGTTAATTCCGGATTCCTAGTTTTCCTTTAAGCAAAGTCAATCAAAGTACAGCATCAGACGTATCTATCCTATACACAACATATATAACAGTATGATACACTCAGTCACAATCAATCAGAGGACTCCACAATATTCTGCCATTTTGATTTCACTTTTTTAAATTAATTAATTTAAATTTTTAATTTTTTTAAATTAATTAATAAAAAAAAATAACATTAATATCAGCACAAACATTCTAACTTAAATCCAGTGTTTTTCCAGATGATTTGAAATCAGGAAGGCAGTAGGAACATATTTCCGTTTCTTGAAGCTGTCAGACATTCAAAGCTATTTTCATCTGTCCAATTAACATAATTAATTAACAGGAGGTTTTATGTGGGTTGATAGTACTTTTCTGTATGTTGCAAGAAGCACAAGTATTTTCAAACACACTGTAGTTTGCACTTCATGTAACTAGCCATAGTGATGCCCATGATAAACCAGAGGCATCAAATAAAACAAAATGATGTAGGATTAACAGCAGGAAAGAGGTAATTAATGCACCCATAGTACTGCATGTTGATCTACGTATTGCTTTAGTGATCACATGTTGAAACTGCCGCCTTTGAGTACAACAGCAGGCAGCCGGTTTAAAAAGACAGTTACAGTAAAGCATAAAATGACTGCAAGTGCATTTGAATGAGCACCAGTAGCAAAGTATTTTGGACAATATTTCATCTCTCAACATATTAGCAGAGCTTTATTTATTTTTATTTTTTTACAATTAACTTCATGTTAATACTACTACTACTACTACTACTACTACTAATAATAATAATAATAATTTAAAGTGGTTTCCCCCATTTTAAATGATTTTTAATTAAAACTTGTTAAAAATAGACAGACAAGCTTTCATCTTGCATTAATACAGTACAGTAGAGTAGATGTTATTTGATCAACGGATGAAAACATAAACATTTAAAATAAATGAAAAAAGTGTGTCTACTGATCTGTGTAGTAACAAACTTAGAAAACTGAAAATATGACCAAAGTCCTGTGTGGTCTTATTCAGTAATTGCATTGATGAGCATTAGTCATTAGAACAACATACAACACTCTGAGAGATGTAGATACTACATTCTAGCATATCACTGGAGTTCATTTTTTTGCACATATAAAAACAGACAGAATGAACACAGACGGAAGTTATTTGCATTATCCCGCATTTATCTTGAGTCTTGTCACTAAAATATGGCAGAACCACATCTTTCACAGTAGTACGGTCAGAAGACCACACACATTTAGCTTGACCTTCAAAGGAGTTTGGCACAAAAGATGACTGGATACACTATCTGTGCTATTTTTGCATATTCTGGATGATTTGACTGTAATGTAATGTGGTGTTTCTGGTGCAAAGTGGTGTCCTGTATCTACTCTCGTAGCAGGTAAAACTTTCACCGAGGCTCTACTTATATTTGGTAAATATATTGCATGTGATGGGTAAAAAATCCAGTATTCTTTCCTAAACAAGATTTGGCTGATTTCAGATTTGAAAACCAAACAAATTTTTGTTTTAATTGTGGAAGCCAGTTGTGCAGACAAGAGCTGCTAGCACTGAATGTCTGCGAGGTACAGCAGAATTTCTGCTAATTCATTTGTTATTTAATTTAAATGGTGAGACCTTACATTTTAGTGCACTTCACTAAAAGGCTTAGGTCAAATCTGGACAGTTCATTATTTTTAGATAGACTAAAACACAGTTTTTGCAAAGAATTCTGAAAAATAATCAGCATCAGCGGATACAAGTAGGCATAAACCAATACTGATCTTTTCTATCCACCAGTATAAATGAAGAGCGGTGTGAGATGAAGTAGAGAAATGTAACAAGTCAAAAATGCTGTGAAGGATATCATCCTTGTGTTCTGCAGCGTTGTGCATTGTCTATGGACTTCCTTTGCAAGTCTTACTTTTGTGTGTGTGTGTTTGCGTGTGAGTCATTGCACTTGCAAATGTGTGATATGTGAGTCGTTGACCCTGTGTTGAGCACTCCTACGACAGAACAATCAGTTAGCATCACTCCTAAGCAGATGTTGAAATTCATCAGGGATTTTTGCGCTTTTTATAAAAAAAAAAAAAAAGAAGAAGTTTTATTCCCCGACACAGCTGTCTTATTTGTAATGGACTGTTATCTGCTTGTGTTCTCACTGTTGAATAATTTCTTTATGTGGGATATTGAAAACACATTCATCTACTTTGAATCAGTAGTCGTAGTTACTGATCTTAAGTAAAGTCTTTGAGCCTTGAAGGAGCCACGGAGCTCCATTAATTTATCAGGTATAATGTCCGGGAAATATCCATACAGTTCTTGGATAAGTTTGTGATTCTAAAGTAATCAGCATCTTCACTCTTGGTCTGGGCAGCCACCTTCGCGCTGAATCACCAAAACCACTGACCACAGCGTTGTGTCTGCGGTTGCTTCGAAAAGCTGGAACGTAACATCCTCAGTGCTGGATTTGATGGGGTTTACTCAGCTTGTCTCAAGTGGCTGTGGGTCTTCTTCTTCCTGGTTGGTGCTATCAGGAAGTTGTGTGCTCCAATAGTTGCATTGGCCAAAGGTGTCAGAGCAGGAGAAGTCCGCTCCCTCATCTCTAGCTAGGACCGGGAAGACATGGTCGACCACCTCGCACAGACCCCCAAAGCTGCAACAGAGGCAGACAGACAAACGATTATGGACTTTAACTATACAAAACCAGAATTCAGAAAGTCAAACATCTGTGTGAAACAGAGAATACAGCTTACGAGGAGATACTGGTTTTAGCGTGTTCCTGTGTCAGCTCCCCCTTGGGATTGACAGTGAAAATCCTGTTCAGAGGAACACCCACCTCCTTATAGGAATACACATCCTGAAATCACAAACACACAAACAACCAGCATCACCACCAGGTACCAGTTACAGAGAAAGTACATGCTTGTTGTCTGGTCATGTGCAGTAGTCTCACCGTAGCTCGGTTGCCAAAAGCAGCGTAGAAAGGTTCAGTGTTTGGGTAGAAAAGGTGCTTTATGTCTGTGAGACACTCGACCTTAAACTTCTCTGGTTTCTTCTCAATCACCTCCCTACACAACACAGCATGACATCAATACATTTAACACATTGCACTGGGAAAAACAATCAAATTTTCTTGTCTTTTTTGTAGTTTATCCATGATGCATATCTGTTTCCATTCAACTGGGTTTTGAAAGGGATTCATTAGCTAATAGATGCACAAGAATGAGTGAAATGAAAGCCTGAAAATCCCTAAAATTGTTGTTATGATATTTGTGTATGACAACAGCAATGTGTGTCGAAATAAACTAACTATTATTCACTACTGTTGAATATTTTCAGTTTAGTTTTCATGGCTTAAAGGCCAGATAAATTCTGATTCTCCAGTGTAGCATTGTTGTTCATGTGGTGTGTGTCTGACCTGTGCAATGCAGAAAAAAGACTGCTAGGGCTGAGCAGCACCGGGCCAATTGGCAGCATGGTTCCCCTCTCATTGACCCAGTGCAGGTAGCCTCGAGTCATATCAGCCATGCCAATGGCCCTCGCCGAGCAGTACATGAACTTATATCCATTCCTGTGACAGAGACAAAGAGAGAGAGCTTGTACTCTGCTGTGCACTATGGTTTAAATAAGAAATCATAAGAATGATGACCAGCCATTACGTATATTTCAGTTAAAGGAAAATAAATGTGATATTTGTATTATAAAAGCTGATTTAGCCAGATTCCCATAGCTTACTGGCTGACTTTGTGGTAGAGCCGTGCGATGCCCTGATGTGTCCAGTCTTTACCCAGTGTGGGGAGGATGTGACCCAGGGTATCTGACCTACAGCACAACACAAGAGAGGCAATATCACATAATCAATAGTGGTGCACTTGTGTACTGTAAATAGAGACAAACTAGACAAGACAAGCAAGACAAACAAATCCATGTATATCCTGACATCTAGTGGTGAAATGCTGAAACTGAACTGCCTTCTTTTATATACTGTACAGTATATATTTACTGTATATTATATTCTGCTATTGTCGTCGCAGGTCAATTTCAACTACTGGCTAATAGCATTGACAGTGAGACTATCTTGCTTTCCCTTACCTGGTGATGGTTCCATCTATATCAGAGATGACTATCTTGTCATCCCAGCTCCAAAGATAGATTGTGCCATGGCAGCGACAGGTGCCTTGATACTGAGTGGTCACGCTGAACACTACATCATTGGGACCCTCCTTCAGCTGCAGGCTAGCCTGTGAACACACAGTCCATGCAGAGGAAAGCACAAATTGAAAGACGGAAGGTTTTCTATTCAGTGTTAGGATTGTTATATAATCCACATAAGAAACAAATGTGATAATGTGTGGAGTATTCCCCTAATGTAGTAAAATTTGGTCCATAATTTGTAACAGGATGCTACAATCTGCTGCAACATCACACATTGCAGGGAGGAGCACTAAAAAAAGTCCATGTGAGAATAACACCCTTAATTTAAAGATATGTTAAATGTTGCCAACTATCTTTCATTCCAGTGTTTTAGATGTGAATTTAATCCATGAAGCCACATGTTCCATTCTTGGCTATTTTGAGAAATTTACATCCTGAGACCGGTCCAAGGGAAGACGATGTAATCATGTTTGGTATGTAATCACGGATACTAATTAGCCCCTAATTTTCATTGTGGACCATGTGTGTAATATGTAGTACGTCACTACAGAGCTCCAAAGCTTCTATAAACTAACATGTTTATGCATGTTTTTTTTTTGTGAACAATTTTTTATTTGGTTCCATATTAACAGACAAAAAACGGGAAAAAAAATATAAAAGAAAGGCGTATACATGTACAAAAATACAATGTACACACCCTCATTCCTTCACTCACTCACACGCAACCTACACACGCACACCCAACCACACACATGCACACACAGACAATATAAACAAAACTAACACAATTTGTACTTTATCTAATCCCCCCCTACCCTCCCTACTGAGTGATCTACCGTGCGATCTACCGTGCAAGGTAAAATCCAGGTAAATTATAGCTTTCCTTCAAATCTTAAAATGTACGGAGACCATTAGTATTGAATAACTGTCCAAGTAAATAAATTCCGTTGTTCGTCCACATTGGGTAAGCCACTATCCGACCGCCCAGCAGTAAATTACGGTTATGAAATATTGGAGTATGATAATGCCACTTTTTTTTATACTAAATTCTTTATTTAAAAAGGGACAGCGTACAGTAAAACATAAATGTTACCATTTGCACTGTACCAGATTATAGCTTCAAGCTAATTCACATCTGCAGTCCCTTGGCAGGTCATGGGTAATAACAATACAATAATAATACATTTGCTAAGGCTGACACCACCCCAAGCCAAATAGCTCAGCCCCAGCACACACCAACAGCACAAGGTTCCACAGAAAAAGACACAAGACATACAATGTGAACTACTCACAATAAAACAGTGTCTCTAGATTTCATCAATTTCCACACTGTTTCATTAAACCATGGTAAATTATTATGGTTTTTTTTTTACATTTTTTGTGGACTCTCACATTAAATCTTTCCCTCACTAAATTGATTTGTTGATTGAAATTTTTACAGCCCATATCCAGATCATCAGTTGACAATATATAATCCCAGTTCAAGGTTTTAATTTCATTAACAAACTCTTCTTGCTTAGATCTGGGTATGCACTGAAAAATCTTATCTTATCTTATTTCCAAATCTATTTTTAGTCAACTTTCTGGCACATAAGGTTAAATTATGATCAGACAACCCAGTTATTAAATTATAGCTTTTAATTATTCGTTCTGGTTTGTTGGTAAATATCAGATCAATTTGTGTACTGGAACATTTTGCAATACTAGTTGGACGTTTGATTAATTGTTCAAGGTGAAATTTCTCTGTGATCATCTTCAATTTCCTCCTTTTAGATTTATCTTCCCAATTCACATTAAAATCGCCCATCACTAATAATTCTTTGTTGGGATTACAGTCTTTCAATACTCCCATGAGTTGATCATAGAAAGTTTCATCTGCAGAGGGGGGCCTATACACACCAATAATGTTAAAAGCCATTTGTTGGGACAAAATTATTTTTAACCCAACATATTCTAGTGTGTTACCCGCATTGTAAATCACATGATGATCTGGCCAACTCACCACCGGTACCGGAGGAATTCCACAAATACACGGTTGTAATTCAGTACCGGCGGCGGAACTCTGCAGTACCCCAGGAGTCACCGGGCCAGGATTTAATTGAACATCATCGGAGAGCAGGAGCAACGTGAGAAGTATTATAGTAAGTGTTATTGGTCGCAAGCTTCCAAATTAGTATTAGTAAGATTAGAAATAATAGGCCCAAAACGCATTTTAGCTTCTTTTAATGGGACTTTTAATGGGACTAATTTCTCTTCCGGAGGGCGCCAACAAACAGATTTTGTGGGGTCTAACCAAGATTTTATAGTATGCAATACAAAACACCAATGATAGACTTTGAAATTTGGAACTCCCCAACCTCCAGCTGATTTCTCTCTCTGAAGAGTTGTGAGTTTAATCTTTGGTCTTTTGTTATTCCAAATAAACCCGGTGATTAGACTATGTAAAGTATCCCAATACTCAATCTGTGGACTTGAGGCAGCATAGAGCTAAGAAAATTTACTTGCGGTAACACTATAATTTTTATAACAGAAATCCTAGCATTGAAAGATATAGGCCTTGATGTCCACTTCCCTAAATCTTTTTTGATTTTTTCCAGAACTTTTATATAATTATTATTGACTGTAGATTCTAAAGTTGGGAAAATGTCAATTCCTAAATATTTAAATTGGTTTACAATTGGGATCTTAATTTGAGTTAAATCATCACCAGAGCTACTTAGGGGAAGGAGAGCAGATTTCTGCAAGTTTATTTTGTATCCTGAGATACTACTGAAGTCTGAAAAGGATATAAGGGAATGTATGCGAGAGTTTACTAATAAAGAGAAGCACATCATCTGCATAAATTGATACATGGTGAATGGTAGAATTTATTATGATAGGTAAAGTATTTGTAGATTGACGTACTTTTTGAGCAAGAGGTTCAAGGGATAAAATAAATAATAAAGGAGACAGAGGACATCCTTGGCGAGAACCTTTGGAAATTGTGAAATATGAAGAGCAAACATTGCCTGATAACACCATTGCACATGGATTTGCATACAAAACTTTAATATACTTAATAAATTGTTCACCAAGCCCCATGTGATCTAATAAGGCCCAAAAGTAATCCCATTCAAGTCTATCGAAGGCCTTTTCTGCGTCAAGCGTTAAAATACCACATGACTTCAGAAAGTCTGAGGACTTAGAGGTGAAACAGACGATGTGTAATAATCTTCTCATATTATCTGAGCTAAAACGGCCTTTTACAAAACCTGTTTGATCACAGTGAATAAGATTCCCAAGATGTTTATTTAAACGGAGCGTTAAAACTTTAGCATAAATCTTCATATTAATATTAATTAATGATATAGGACGGCAACAAGCACATGATATTGGATCTTTGTATTTTTTGAGAAGCAGAGATATTAATGCTGTATTTGTTTGCTTTAGAAAATATCCTCTTCTAATAGATGTATTTATCATTTCCAAAAGCATAGGACCTAATTCAGACCAAAAAGTGATATAAGTCTCAATGAGAATACCGTCTGGTCCAGGAGATTTTCCCAACTTCATTTCTTGTACTGGAGATATTTTCTCCTAATTCAGCTGCTTCTGTTTCAGATAGTTTTCTTATATTTACATCAGTAAGGAAATTCTTGTATCCCTCTTTATTAAATATCATATCAGACTTAAAGAGATTTTTATAAAAACAAACAAAGGCTGCATTAATGTCTGTTGGAGTAGTTACTATATTTCCACCTGGAGATTGTATTGCAGAAATGCAAGCCCGCTGTTCGTTAGAATGAAGGCGAAGGGCTAGCTGATGTGAGTGCCTGCTACCATTAAAATAATGATGTTCTCTGGATTTTTGAATTAGAAACTCAGCTTTTACTCTAAATAGTAAGTTAAGCTCACTTTTCACCAAACTAAGCTGACCTGTTCATAAAGAAGAAAAGGAGTTTTGTTGTGCTCTTTCCAAGGATGCCAGCTGCTTCTCCAACTCAACAATTCTTTGCTGATGAGAGCGATTTTGAAAGGAGGCGAATGATGTGACATTATCTTTTATAAATCCCTTGATCGCCTCCCAGATAAACCTGAAATCTTTCACTGAGTCCAAATTGAGAGAAATAAATTCACTCAATTTGGATTTAAATTGAGAGCAACAATTCATTCATTATTAAAGTGGCACCTCCAATGGGCTAAAATAATATCAACTTTTTTTACTTTTTGGCAAAGTGTCTTAGAAGCAAAAATATAATCTATTCTTGAATATGATTTATGTCTATTGGAAAAAAAAGTATACTCTTTAGCCACTGGATTATGAAATCTCCATATGTCTGACAAATTAAGATCTAGCATGCACTGCTGCAAGGCCTTGGAGCAGGATAACTGGGAACTGCTTGCTGAAGGGTTTGATTTATCCAACATAGGATTTATTATGGCATTCATATCTGCTCCAATAATTAAATAATACTCTGACAAATTCATCAGCATATTTGTTAATGTTGAAAATAATTTTTTATCATAATTAGCTGGAGCATAGGTGCTGACAAAAACAGCTCTCAAATTAGATATATCTGCTTTAATATAAGCAATCCTACCTTCCATATCATTGCCCATGTCGATAATATTTATATTTAGTGAGCGTCTGATTACAACTAACACACCTTTTGTTTTGTCATCTGCTGAAGATGAAGCTACAACTTCATATTTGGAGTTACTAAAACTGTTCACAGACTCCTTTGTAAGATGTGATTCCTGAATCAGTGCTATATCAATATGTTTGCTATCTATATACTCCAGACAAGCAGTTCTCTTGGTCATCCTATTCAGAACTTTGTGCTTGTTTTTTGTTTAAAAAAAAACAATTAAAGTCAATACAGCCAACTGTGGTAATGCATACCAGTTGCTCTGGGGTGAGCCGAAGAGTCTTCTTATAACAGACACTGCCAGAACTCACGAGGGGCTCTGACTGACAGGATCCTGATGCCTGATTGGGCGATCTGTTCTCCTCATCACTAGAGGATGACTCATCCTTCATCCTGAAAAATTAAACATACCAATTTGGTATAAGATGAAACTTTGAAAACTGATGAGAATGGGAGTGTTTGTGAGAGAAATATAGTGACAAACACAAACAGTCACCTGTTCACTGAGGGCATCTCTCCTCTGTCTTCTCCTGCCTCTGTCACTGATTCCTGACGTGCACAAAGTTAAAAGGTCCCAACTGGCTTAATCGACTGAAACATTATGTGGCGATGTTGAGTAACAAAAATGGCCCCCAGCCTTTGCCTCCTATGCTTTTCCCCCTTCTGACACTCTTTACTGTGCAGTAAATATAATGAAGGCTAAGGACAAATTATATTTGGCCACCGACAATGTGTGTCTGTGTACTTACTGATTTGGACTCGCTGTTCCTGCTCCTCCATGAAAACCACCAGCGTCCTCCTTTCTTTGGCATCTTCTCCTTCATGATGTTCTCCACTGAGGCCTGGAGACAACCGTGCACATACAACTCAAAACTGACTGAAGAAACTGAAAACGAAGTGAAGCGGAACACACATCTAAACCCATAAATAAATGCACAGAACGCAAAATAAATTTCCAAAATGCGAAGTAATACATAAAAACTAACATAAAGGCAGTCATAGGTCAAAATTCAATGGCACACAAACAAAGAGCAAAGGATGCAAAGTAAAACCTGAAAGGAAGAGAAACATTGTGACTGGATTGCAGTGGGAAAATGCATCGGAGAAAATGCAAGACACACCACAAGGATGAAGAGAGAGACATATAAGACAGAGAAGGGCAGATTGACAGGTTGACAATGATGGGACAGTAATGAAAAAACTACCAAACTGACAGACAAAGACATGCCCCGACCAACACCCAATTGAAGCAAGAAAAAATCATACAGGCTGTGGAGGGCTGGAGCCAAACAGACCAGGGAGGCAGTATGAGAAAAGTCCAAAAGCAGAAAACACATAACTCAAACACCAACACTTAGTACACACAAACATCGGATAGAGAGAGAAAATAAAAGAGATGTAGATAAAAGTGGGAAAATAACAAGGGGGATAAAGACATGACATTATTAAAGTGTTAGGAAAACAGATTTAAAGCCATATTTCACCGTGGTATAAGACTAGCAGCTTTGATGTGAGCTTCCCCATGTGTGTTCAAAACCGGCCAATTTCAATTACTGGCATATCAAACTGTGTATAAATAACAACATTATCAGCTTTGCCCACCTTGGTTATTGTAAAAATACTATATGTACTGTACACAGACAACCTTAGAGTCAGAAACAAATATGAACACACATTATCCGCTAACATTTGGTTTAATTTTCATGAAATAATGAGAGGATGCTCACAAATGGCAAAACCAAACCAGTGAAACATTAGATCAAGAAGTATTAATTGCAAAATGCTGGGAGTGCACAGGTTAAAGAGATGCAGCGGGTTGCAGAAAACTTTAAAAAACCAAACTCCACCAGAGAAATAATGATAATATATAATATACTGTATATAATCAAAATAAAATAATTTTAAAAAAGTTATTTAGAATTTATTGAGCCACTCATTGCTATGCTGTATAACATGACAACACCTGAAGTACAGGTATGTTGTAGCCTCAAGTGGTTCATTTTAATCCCACAATGAAAAAAAGTGGTGATGTGATGAAAAGAACACATCACGCACAATTAAAGCTGAGACACAAGGCAGGGTTATAGTTCCAAATAGTCCTAGGGGTAATTTTTTTCTCAGTTACTTTATTGCTTTCCATATTCTTTTGCATAATGAGTACTCTTACATTTGATACTTTAATTACATTTGCTGATAACACTGGCTACTTTAACTTAAATAAAGCTGAATACTTATTCAAGCACATATGCCGTAAACTGATAACATAAAGCATATAGTCAAATGGAAGCAAGTGAGAGTATATTTCACCATGCTGGTCTTACCTGTGGAAGTGGTTTCTGATAGACCTGCATAGCCAGCATGACAGGAGCTGCTGTGTTCCAGTTGTAGTACCTGCAACAGATGACAGAGACAGCTATAAGCACTTCTTTCCAGCTCAGATCTGCAAAAGAGAATAGGAAGAATTATGACAATTCACTTTTTTGCCAAGAGTTAGATGAGAAGTTTCCAGTCTTTGTGCTAAGCAGCTGCTGGCGCTAGCTTTAAATTTATTGCCCAGACATGCGAGTGGTGTCAGTCTTCTCATTTAAAAAGGCAAGAAAGCAAATAAGAGTATTTCCCAAAAAACGAGCTATTCCTCTGAAGGCTCCACCTCTCCATCTCTTATTGCAGCATGACGCAGCTACACGTTTTACATATAACTTTGTCCATACATTTTAATACCCATTAACCCCAAAACAAACACAAAATCAGGTTTGTGTGTCTTAATGTGTTCAGACTATTGAAAAACAGCATATGGTTGTCATTGTTTCTCCACTCAGTCTAAATGTGTATCACACTATTGAATATAGCATAGTAGTACATACTTGTTTCCTATCTTGACCACCAGGTTAGGGTCATCGATCATAGAAGGGTTTTCAGAGAACTGCTGGTAGGATATTGCCCTCTCCTGGAACTGCTCTGTAGCATGAAACACACGCAAACACACAGCACACAGGTTTGCAGACAGGTGTTTTACCGGCACTGTAACCTCTTTTGTAACCACTTTTTTCCTTCTGTCATCGCCTACTTACACATTCCTTATCCTACCTCTAGTGATCTCCCTGTTGTCAGTAAGTCCACCGCACAAAGAGATGGCAACATGAGGCAGGTCCCCTATTTGGTCGGACAAACTGTCTACACCACTGTCCATCCCACTGCTGCCCACTGACTGTGGGGACTGATTAACGCTCCGCACTCCCATCATCATCATCTCTGAGTCCCCCCTCATTGAGCTACTGCCTCCATCACTGTGGAGAGAGAGAAACACACTCTCTCACAGACATTGAAATTGTAGGTCAGTTTGATAATGTAGTCAAATAAACACTAGCTTAAAGTATCCTAAGGTACAATGTTAATGTTCCCATCAGCCAGCTACTACAGTTATTAACTAATAAATAATTACTGCAAGTATTCATAATAAGGCAGTGATGGTTAGTTATAGCCATAAAACACAAAATGAGTCAGAAAGTAATTACAGCAGGTTGGTGTAATTGAGATGGAGTGAGTTCTCATGTACTCATTTGAAGGCGTGCACAAACATGCTCCTACATGTACATGTCGGTTACTGAACCTTTTAGGGAAGTAAAGGGCAGCTACTTCAGGCTCCAGCTCTGTAATGTCATCGAGGTATATGCCATCAGCACCCAGGTGTTGACTTCTCTTTTCTAATACAAGACAACATCACACACAAACAGTAAAAGAAATAAGATGTGATACTGAAGCATATCGACACTTTGAGTTCAAGAAAATCCTTAGTATTGTTTAAGATAGAGCACTAATACCTTTCTTCTTGGATGGTGAATCAGTTCTTCTGATAGGACTCCCTCTGTTGCCGCCTTCATCAAGATGATCATGGAGAATCCTGGGAGATGCTGAGCAGGCTGTTAAGCCGTCCATCTCTGCAAACAATGGCCTTTCCACCTCTCTCCCTAAGGAAAAAAAACACAGCAGAGAATCAGTTTGTATATAAAAAACTCATTGGTCAACAGGATATACTGCTACATGAGGTTAAGAGTTGAATTTCCCTCTAGGATTCTGTAGTTCTAAAATCACTAGATTTATCACACGAATCAAGCTCTCCTGTTGTTTCAGGGTTCATCCATGGAAACGTTAACATGTCACATTTGAATCATTCAGAAGTCATATTTATATTATAAACAATCACCACTACCACTGGTGGTCACTAAAAGGCAAGTGCTGCAAGTCTGACAAAGAGGTGTTGTAGAGGCCTGAGCTGTTTACAACCTGCAAACAACTTCAACTGTGGCTCACAAGGCATTTTGCTAGATTGACTCCCAACTTCAAAGAGATTTGTTCAACTGCAGTACATTCACTTATAAAGGAACACAGTAAAATTTTGAATGTATAGACTGACAGTGTTGCTTTACCTTTGGCAATGTTTTTGTAAAACATGATGGTCGTTTAACTTGATAAATGAGTAATAATACAATTTACATAATTATTGGTTAATAGAGTATGGTCTAGACCTGCTCTTTTATGAAAAGCGCTGTGAGATAACTGTTGTTGTGATTTGGCGCTATATAAATAAAATTGAATTGAATTGAATTGAATTGAGTTATTTAAGATCTTTATGTCATTCTAGACGCTTGTAAGCAATATCGTCCTCCATATAACTACCTTGCTCATCTCTAGCCCTGTCCCCAGTGTCAGTGGTTAGTCCGACCCTAGCTTCATTTTTCTTTTCTTCATCGTCCTTGTCCCCACCATCAGCAGCGACTTGCACCGGCTGGGGAGCATAGTGAGTGTGGGAGGGGGGTCCAGTGTCCCTGATGGCTCTGAAGTGAGTGCTGGCAGACACCGGGATGGAGACTGCTGTGGCAGGTTCCTGCTTCTGGTGGGAAGTCAGGAAGGATGGCTGTGAGAGAGGGAGCCAAAGATTAAACATTTTACACAATATTTATTTATATTTTTGTATCTACACTTACTTTTCTTATCTCTATTTATAACTCCATTTTGGGAAATATGCTTATTCCCTTTCTTTAGATGAGAAGCTCTAGAGATCACTAATAAACACATTATATCTCATTTGTTCATATTTCAGTGTAACAGATAGTTATGTGCCAGATCATTTCCTGGTCCGGAGCATCAACTTCCTAGAGTCCGCTAGTTGGTCTTAATGCTAACCTAAGCTAACAGGCTGCTGGTGATAACTTCATAATAAATGTACAGACATGAGAGTGAAATCTAACCTTTGGCAAGAAAGTATGTATGTGTGTATTTCCCAAACTTTAAGCAGTAGTTAAATATTTACTAATGTACTAATCTGTAGTAGAACCAACATGCCTGCGGTTTTGCAATCTGAATAAAATATTTAAGCAAGTGCTGAGATATTTGCTTGTGTGTGTGTGTGTGTGTGTGTATCTAGATACCAGGGCAGCCTGTGGCAGCTCCCCCCAGGTCCACAGCATCTCAGGATTGTCTTTGTTCTGAGTGGTTAGCTCTGAGTCACTCTTAGGTGTTGATGGCCTTGAATCGTTGGGGCTGCTGGGACAGTGACGGACACTTGATTTAGACCCGTTTGTACTCCATATTTTAACTGATGAAGAACCTTTAACATACATCATAAACTTCAAAATACTAGAATAAAATAAATCAGAACTGAAACTGTGTGGTTTTCCTTCATTAGTGCACTATTTCATTTCAAGCTTTCAAAGTAAAATTGAAGGTGATACCTAACAGGGGAAGAGAGGTGAGAGGTCTGCTGAGGACAAGAGATGGACAGTCCACAGAGTGGAGGTATGGAGAGAGTCTCCTTAATCACATTACTACAGAAAAAAAGAAGACACAGAAAGACAGACAAAACAGAAAAAGGATATGAGAGGGGAAGAGAGAATGACACAGTGAATAATTATTATCTACTCATCGTGAGCACAGAGAATGTATTAAAATGCTTAGTAAAATATGAACAGACTAAATAGGGGTTAATAAGATTTTACAAGACAGTTGAATAAGACAAAAATAAGTTTATCATTAAGTGTGTATCTGTGCATGTGTGTGTGTGTGTGTCTTCTGTGTCAAAATAATACCTCTGTGAACGGATCCAATCAGTGCTGGGGTGTGTGCGCGTGTTAGCTGTAGACCCCTGATCACCATACACAGACCTGATCACAAACACAGACATGCAGGAGAGGTCAATCCCATACACACCCACATTATTTCAAAACCTGTGCACCCAATATAAATACACAATGTCTCTGCAAGTCCAAATAAAGTAAAACAAGTAAAAATGTCCTGAAACACTAATAATTCAATATTTCACCCTTTCACTGACAAAACACTTTTGCAGCCTGTTTGACTATAACCACATGTCACAAACCAGCCTAAACTTTGCATATTAAATACATATTAAGAAGCATGAGATGAGGCAGACACACATTCTTTCATGTCTTTAAGGGTTTCAGGAATTTTCCCACCCTGCCATGTGGTTAACTTCCTCAAAAAGCTTGGAACCCCTGCTTTAGGAGCCATTATTTAAAAGAGAGAGAGAACACTGTGGGAACAGAACAAATCCCTGGCGCGCATCCAACAAAGAGAGCCGGTTTTCAAAGGGCTTCACACACGTACATAAACAGAAACATGCACACACATGCAGACTCACATTAATTCTTATCTCCCTAAATTGTTCCTAAGCATTTAAGTTTAACTGTTGAAATGATTTTACTGAATTGAGAGAGAGAGGACATAAAACATGTTACACTGGTTTACTGGCCCTGAAAACATATTTTCTCAATGAGTAATGGTTTCTCCCATAAACACATCGTTTTCTGACATGAGAGCTATCTGTATTTCTTTTATTTTCCCCATGAGGCAAGTGAAAGGTGATGTCATTTATTTGTAGCTGGGTTTAGCAACATTTGAATCAGAATCTGATGACAGTTGGTGTATTGTTTTGTCAATGTCAATCAAATCTGAACAAAACCCCACCCACCCAGTCCCAATAAAACAGGTTAAAGCAGGTGTTAAACTCTTAATAAATAATTAATTTCCTTATTTGATTGTGCTTTTTAATCATTCATATTTAATGTTACAGAATAGCAAAAAGTATAAAGCCAAGTTTTCAGGGGTTTTACTGATTGTTATAAGATAATTCTCTGAATTAAACACGTTTCTCACAATAACAGTGCTTGCCATTGTTGGTATAATATTTACCATGTTCACCATTTCAGTTTAGCAAGTTTACATTCTTTTGGTAATTACAGCTGAGCCTATCAGTAATGTTATTTTCGCAAGTACTGATATTAGGTTATAAACATAAGTATTGATGATAGTGTTAGATAAGGAGTGAAGGAATCACCAAAGTCATTACAACTCATCCTAAGGAGGACATAATCCATCCGATAGTTGTTGAGATACTTCAGCCTGAACTAGGCCATCCATAGAGCCACACTGCAAGCTGCTGAAATTGATACATTCCAATTTCAGAATTAACAGAATGTCCTCAGTTTACAGGGCTTTTCTGTTCTTCTGTTTCATGTGGTGTAAAAGAACTGGAACAACCATTAACAGACTTTTTCATGAAAAACAAACACATAGTCTCTCCACTTAAAGCACAACTAGAGAAGTTATTGGCAGTGGTTCATCTGTTCTGTGACTGTTGACAAAGGTTGTTTACCACAGACTGACAGGTATTTAATAACCTATCTCACCCTCTCTCTCTCTCTCTTACACACACACACACACCTGCTGCCGTCAACCTCTCTCTCCTCATCCGAGCTCAAGTCAATAGTAAACATGTCCTCGTCCTCTGAGAATTCTTCCCCACTCTCCTCTCTCCTCCCTCCACCACTGCCTTCCTCTGGCCGTGCCTTCCTCCTCCTTTTCCTCCTCTTCTTTGTCGTCCCACCATCACTCTGCTGCGGTCCCAGAGTCTGGACAGGAAGTGAGCTGCAGGGGATGGCGTCTTTGTGTTGAGAGAGAGAGAGCAGCATAAAAACCGTTTTTTTAAAAAAGTGTAGACACATTTTCACAAATTCCAAAATATATTTTTGTCATCAGGGCCTACCATGGTGACGAGAACTGCCCCTGCCCAACTGGGACTCCATTAACTGCTCCCCAATTGACATGATGGGTGACGTTGCAAGGTAGGATGGAACTATTTCCTGTAAACAAAAGAACATGACATGATCACATGAGATCACGATATGATCAAAAATCATAAGTAACTTCCTATCTACAGTAAAATAAACAATTTTTGATGTTGAATGATGTGAATAGGTGGGGTAGCAGCAAGACTCTAACCCCCATGCTAGCAACTCTGTGAGGCTCTACTTAAATGCTAGCACTGGCATGACAAGATGCTCATAATAACAATGCTAGCATGTCTGCAAAGATAATATTTTACCATCTTAATTTAGCATGGTAGCAGCAACTGTGTTAATTTGCCACATACACAAAGTACAGCTGAGGCTGATGCGATTGCCATTAGTTTAGCTGGTATTAGGTCATAAATCAAAGTATTGGAAAAATTCTAATTTTACCTGATGACGGTGCTAACTGAAAAGTCAGAGTATCACCGAAGTGATTCTAATTCTTCCTGAGGGGGACATGAATGTGTGAACTTGATGGCAATCCACTGAATAGCTTTTGAGACATTTTACTTAAACCATAAATGCCAACATGCTGTTGCTGCTAGGGGAAAAGCCTGAAGAAGATGAATGTCTGTACACAATGTCAACCATATGCCTGTAACAGTAGTTGAGATTTTTCAGTTTGGACCAAAGCAGTGGACAGAACGATGACAAAAATATAATATGCATAAATGTGTTATACCATAAAAACACACTATTGTGGAGTGTAACCGATTGATGAAACAGAAATGCTTTTTATTCACCTATACGGGTCTACGTAATCTGATGGGATTTTGGGTTTGAGCTCAGATTAGCAAAGATTCACACAGATTTGCTCATCACAGTCTCGCTAAACTGACTATGCCAGAAAGAGAAATAGACAGAGCCACAGAGACAGACAGTGAACGATAAAGAGATGATCCAAATAGTGCAGATCCGACTGACTTGCAGTGCACGTGTCATAACACAGTCCAACACATCCCAATTCATTTTGATGGGAGTGAAAAAGGGACAGTGCTCAGATTGTACACTATGCCAGGACATAGCTCATCTGCGCAGAACTCTAGCCTTGCTGGAAACATCCATTCCAAAACCACTTTTAATTCATAAATGCTTTTGGATGATTCATTCGCGATCGATGAGCATAACTGTTTCTCTCAAAACTACATGTGTTATTTCTGTAAATAATAAAACTGAACCTACCTGCATCAAAGAAAGATGGACTATCTTTTGACACAAACCCACTTCACCCACAGAGTGAACTAGCAATACACCATGTTTATACACTGCAATAACTAGACGCCATAATGTTATAACTGAGATATAAAACAGATCACACAGCATTTTAAATAAGAGATCGGTCACACTGAATGAAAGCTGGTGATACAGTGAACTGATGAGACAAACATGAAAACAATCACACTCAATTTTTATGTTTTCACATGTAAGGCACAACATCAAGATAAATTACCCCATGTGGGTTGTTTTTTTACCACAGGTAGTCAAATTCCTGATGTTCTAGAGTGACGATTAATTTCTGCTGGAACATTTGGTTAATGTTTCATGTGCAGGATCTATTTGCCAATACACAAGCCCCAACAAATCCTCAAGCTTAACTTTACACTCTGAGGGACAGAGAGGGAGATAGCTAAAGGGGGGTTGGGTAGGAGAGGCACAGAAAAGTGGGCTTGATGCCAAATAGTTCCTTAAAAATGTTGTTTATCTTTGGAACGGAGAGACAATTACTGAGGCTGTTAATAAAAGACGGAACAAAAATACCAATGCTCTACAACACTAAATAATTTGAAACTGAAACAGAGCATAATATGGCGATCCTCAAGCTGTCGTATAAGACAGTGTTCCATCCTGTGCGTGTTTATCTGTGTGGAAGACACACTGTGCTTTACTGTATATGTTGTGTGTGCCTGTCTTGTTTGTCGTGCTCCTTTTCCACACAGATCTGTGACAGCCTGTTTCTGACTGCAGTCTGTGTGCAACCGACTGTAGATGAATTTTGGCAGAGCTATAAATAGCCCTTTGGTGGTTTTCCACTCTGCAGAGGGAGAGTTATGTCAAGGAGAGGACTGGACACAAGGCCCAAACACTGTGGCAGACATAGTCAAACAGAATATGTGAATAATTCTCAGTCTTTGTTTGAATTTCAAAGAGCATCTAAGGCCTTAACATTAAAAGCCTTTATTTTCCCATCCATTAAAGAGTGAGGCATTACAATATCTATAACACCTTCAGAGCACCTATTGATTGATTGACTGTAGAAGAAAGGTTTCCCAATCTTTGACAAAGACAGTAAATAATGAAAGCAGAATGAGACCAATGTAATCCTTAGTTTAGGAATTATATCTTCTCAGATTACGACATACTCCTCTTACAGTAAAAGTTTATTTTTTGCATTAATTATTGGAGAAAATGTCTTTATTGATGACATCTTGATTACACATAGCATAAATATTATGGAAAACCATGCCCAATGTGAAAACTGTGTAGTCTCTGTCTTTTTCACAGTACTATACCTACTACTTTCAGTACATGTAAGGTAATTTGAAACATGTATCTTGCGTTTGTTTTGGATTCACTGGTTGTTAAAACAGCCAAACTGAAAAGATATCCTTATGTTGTGTTTTGGTGTTTAAACTATTTGTTGTCATGACTTTTCACAAGAAACTTTTATTTTGAGTCAATGGCTTGTGTGCTGACAGATGTTTACAATCCAAATTAATGCACAAAGGTACGTTTTGAATTGCAGAATGGCTGTATTACAAGTGGAATGAGTTTGGAGTTTTGTAAGAGTTGTGAAATTTTACAAAATAATTGAGATAATAGTACTAAAGCAATCAACATAAACTGTAATTCCTGACTGGGAACCAGAGCCAACTCTCATCATCCTTCTCATCATCATTGTGTATTCCTATGGAGGACTGAAGCCTGAACTCAGCACAGGTCACATACACATGAATAAAACAGGAGATAAGAAGAGATGAGTCGGATTGTGTTTGAAAAACATAACCACCATGGCCACCACGCAAGATCCCAAATGTTCATCAGAAACAGAAACTAATACATTAACACACTCACACACCCTTTCTGGAGCAATGTGGGGTTCAGTACCTCGCCCAAGGACATTTGACACCTTCTGATTAGTGACCCGCTCTACCTCTTGAGGCACAGCTGCCCAGTCAGTTATTGATTATTTTTATGGTTTTAGACAACTCTTGGGCTGTTTTAAGTTGCCATTTCATTGATTTCCTGTTATCTGTTATGTTTTTTGTCTGTAACTCACTATTATTACTGCCTTTAAGTATTTGTTCAATTCATGGAAAGATATTGTCCTTGAGATCATTCAGTTTTGATTTTTTTTGGCCATGCTTCACACCGGTACAGTATGATGATAAACAGTTTTCACTATTAAAAGATTTTGAACAGTCCTCCAGCAGCTGTCTGACCGAACTCAGTCTCATGTTGCATCGCAGACTATGGGAGAGGAAGGGAACATGTCGGCCTCCTAGGATCTTGTCTGGGCAGGAAAACTAGAGATCTAAGCCTGATAGTTAAAATGACAACGGTGTGTAGTTGCAGATTCATCTGTAAGTGAAGTAAGTTAAAACTACCACAATGCAAGAGGGAAAGAACTGAATGTATTCCCTATGAACACCAGTCCAATTCAAGCGCTGCCTGTATTTTAGTTCAGCCTTTATGACCTTCATGTCAGTAAGTTATGTTCTGTCCTATATTTGTGTGTGTTTATTGACTCAGAGTAAAGACTCTGTCAATCATTACTCACCCGTGTGTTCTCAGTCTCTTCAACAAAGAAGGCCTCTCCATTCTCTCCCAGCTTCATGTGCAAACTCACTGGCTCTCCATTAATCTCTATGTCCACCTGCATGAGAATAAAGAGTCCTTGGCATGAATATAACAACCTTCAATTTAGGATTTTTCTACAACATGGTCAGAAACTTTTAAGTTTTGTAAATAATAAAAATAATTGTACACTATTATCACACTTCTTCTCTTAAGCTCTCTCAGTCTGACAATATACTGTATATACTGTATACAGATATATCTTTATTTTAAAAATATATCTCTAAGAATTTTTATGTGGGATCTATCACTTTTTTAGCATAACCATGTAGAAATGCATCCATATACGGTGTTGGGGGTGCTGTACTGTTATTTCTTTTAATGCACTGTAATATAACATTGCAATGCACTACTATTAGATTTTCAATAAGTCCAACATGGTCTCTGACCTGCTGAAAGACGTTACTGCTTTACGCGTAAAATTCATCAGACTTTTACAGCAAAGTGTGAATTTGTCATAAAAAAGTAACTAGGATTTTGAATGCAGGGCTTTCACTTGTAAATTTATTTACGAGTGAAAGACCTCAACGCTTCATCCACCACTGATTGAAACATGTGTCATCATTTGTTAGGAACCGCCTTTGTTTTTAGGCTGTTGTCAGAATACAGGGTCAGCAAAAGCCTCTGAGCTCTCAAATAGCTGTTCACACAAACCCACGCAATAAAACGCAAGAAAGGGAGTGAAAACGTGAAGGGGAAGAGAGCACCCTATAATCTCACCACTTTCTCACGGGACCGCAGCACACCCATCTTTCCGAAGCGGACGTGGAAGGGGGAGCACTGCAGGGAGCCATCAGGCTGCCTGACCACGATGACGTCTATACATCCAGACAGTGTTGCAGGGTTGAGTCCCTTGTACAGCTCCTTGACCTGCACGAAGACCTGGCCCGCCAACTGACCCACATAGTTCATGGTCTGTAACTGGAGACAGACAAGGAAGAAAAGAAGGAGGGAGAGAGTTTTGTTTCCATTTTTTTTCCTACTATGACTTCTCTACTTGTTCTCTTTTGTCCATTAAGTAAGGTTTAATTTACATTTCAGGCCTTCAATATGTGCAGAGCATCACACACAGGCAAGACAAATTACCTTTAATGGACTCTCTGTATCTGTCAGGGATCAAACACTCAACAGATAAGGCCGCCCTGTCAACCTGTCACATTTAAATACATTATTGATCCACTGTGTACAATTACTCCCCACTCACGCCAGCTAACGCAGATGAACAATTCTCATATTCTTTCCTCTGTTCTTGTGGTGTTGCTTTGTATGGGGTATGTCTATGTTTGTTAGTGTGTGGGTGCATGGATGTGAACACATTTAGCTTTTTAAACAACTGCTGAAAAAAAGTCCTCTGTGTAATGCCAATACATTCCAACGGGGATGAGAGCAATCATGCGGCGCTGTGCCAGTTTCTCTGATCCACATCCTCTAATGCTCTCTGTCTAAAATGTCAAATATGAGAGACGCAAATAGGGAAATGCATTCACTTGGCTGCGAGATGGGTGGTTGTTGATTCTGGACATTCAGAATACATTCAGCATCCAGGAGAAATCAACAGTATTGTTTATGCTGGTTAATAAATAAGTTGATTATTTCATGCAACATGGAAAGTTTACTGCTTGTGATTTCTTTTGGATTGAATGCTGCATTATGTAATACACCAGCTACTGGCCCCACAGCCATGATGTGTAAACAGATATCTTTATAGAGAACATTGCAAAGTGGAAATTTGCTAAATGACTAAAAACTAATTTAAAGGACAAGGCAACAAAGTACTAGGGTGAGAGGATGGAGGCTGAGGAGATTACGAAAGAAAGAAAGAACGAAAGAAAGAAAGAAAGAAACATAGAGGCAGATTTTAGGGAAAGTGAGGGGGGACTACAGGGGGAGAAGAGGGAAGGTGCAGAAAGAGAGGATGAAAGAGTAATAGGATGAGAAGAAAGAGGGGAGTTTTTAAGAAAAAGGAAAGAAACAAACAAAAGGAAGAAAGGTAAATTAATAAAGTTATCTAATGTTAAGAGGAAATTGGGGAGAGATAACAAAAGGAGGTTGTGAAAGAGAGGTGAAAGGAAGAGTGGGGGGGGGGGGGGGGGGGGCTCCTTGTACTTCTACAGTTGTGGGGACTCATAGAAATAATGCGTTCCCTGGACCCTTAGCCTAACCTTAAACATCACAACTAAAATGCCAAATATTACCCTAAACCTAATTCTACCCTAGCCCTTAAAACCAAGTCTTAACCTTCAAACAGGCCTTTGAAGATATGAGGACAGGCCAGAATGTCCTCACTTCCCAAAAATGTCCTCACTGTGTTGGTTAAAATCTTGTTCTGGTCCTGAAGTACAAGTACACACCTTCACATACACAATGCATGAGATTACTGTCTTGTCTGTAAAACAAACTGTCCCTTAAAATCTCCACCCGCCACCTGCTTGTGCTGACTCATAAACTGGCATCCTCTCTATCTCCTGAAACACATACACATACACACACACACACACACACACACACTAGGTGACAGATGGCTCAATATTTTGGCAGACCATGTAAGGACATCCTAATGATGAGGATAATTTGTTAATAACCATCAATTACAATGAATCACAGACTGCTCTCTGCTCTAATGACCCATCAGACCCATGTGAGAGATGCTCATCACAGGCTTGTTCTGACCAGCCCACCATAGCACCACAACACACTACAAAGCTCCAATTAAACCAACGAGCACGTGCTTAGATCACATCTAACAAAATTTGGGTGTATTTAAACAAAAATGTCACATGTACTTAAAAGTACACCTATTAATATGGAAACAAACTGTGGTGCCGCAGTAGAAAGTAGATCCAATTAAACTGCTCACAGTGGATTATCCAAGACACTGTGTCTGGAATTTAGCTATTGAATTGTTATTGAAAATGCTTTTCAAGGCTATGAAAAAAATTAGGGCAGCACTGTGGCCTCACAGCAAGAAGGTCGCGGGTTCAAATCCCCGTTGTCCCAGCATTTTTGTGTGGTTTGCATGTTCTCCCTGTGTCTGCATGGGTTCTCTCCGGCTTCCTCCCACCGTCCAAAGACATGCGGCCTAGGTTGACTGGTAACCCTAAATTGTCCTTAGGTGTAAATATGACCCCGCCTTTCACCAGATGTCATCTGGGATTGGCTCCAGCACCCCGCGACCCTGTACGCAGGTTGACGATGGATGGATGGAAAAAATCCGTTTAGGTCTGTTTCCAATGTCAATGACTGAAATGAATTGAAGTAAATAGTCTAAATATCTTGGCAAATGAAAATAACCTGCATGGCCACAGGAGTGAAATTGTGTTTTGCTTCCCATATGGGAGAACTGACCCTTTAATCTGCTGGCGTCACTTTTCTCAAGAACTGGAAGTGGACTTGAGTTTGACAATGATAAATTAGTAGACCTGTTGTCTCACTTGTACCTTTATTTTCGTTGCCTCACAAACACACACATGTACATGCCACAGCCCACATGGACCACGTGCAACCATTTGGGACCAGTCACACACACACACACACACACACACACACACACACACACACACACACACACACACGCCCGCAACCAAAGCCTTAGAGACCCTCCCAGGAAATTACTGTTTGACAGCCAATCACAATGCTTCCGTATTACATAACAACCAATCACGAGACACAATTCAGTGGGCCATTTGTTGTCACTTCAGCTGCTGTTTTGTTTTACAAAGGAAACACCACTGTCTGTAACAGAAATCCCACAGAGCCTTGTTTATATAAACCGCAGACAGAGGTGACAGAGAAGCTGAGGGACCACAGACAGTTGATGATGATGATGTGGAGGGTTATCCAATTAAATCAGTTTAACGTGACTGGTGCAGCAGTTACTCCAGGATTACTGACTGTTACGCTATAGCTAAATTTATGGTATGGTTTAATATTATGGTATATCATTTTGTCAAAACAACTTGTAATTATGTATGACCTTATCTTCTTTAAATTTGATATAGCCCAGAATACACATAGCCTAAATGGAAGGAAAGGTCAGTTTTGCTGACGTGAAAACGTTAAAGCTGAGTAACAAACGAGACAGAATAAAACAGGCTGCATCAACATGAGATTGGATAATTGGATCGTAGTATCATGCGTGGCCTGTGAGGCGATATGTAAACATCTGCACACGGGCTGAGGCTGCAGCCTGCACCGAGATCTGCCTTCATTCAAACAGCCACACATATTACGCCAACGGGAAGCAGAGCTCCAAGCCCATACTGAATGGGCTACATATAAATAGCCTATAAGGATATTTAATATTTCCCAACACGGCGGCTTACTGTACTGTCCAGCAATCCTACTTACATTATATTGTAAATTATTGATGTCGCTCTTCGCTCGGGGATCTTTCCGCCATCCAAATTTCCCACCAATCGTCCTCTACAGTTTTATCCGTAACGGGTCAGTCCTCAAATCAAACATTGTCGGTAAAGCTTTCTGATCTTAGATCTTCTGCTCAAGGGTGCTTCGCTATTTAACCACAGTTAAGAAATTCGCCCCCCCCCCCACCACCGGACTGTACTATCATGTAACGAGCGACCCGGTTGGCTGAGCCGGCGCTGACATCACACAATGTTGACTGAAAAATTCACTCTTAAAATCAGTTTTGTTTATGATTATATTACTGTGATTACGTTTTCTGTATTGTTTTCTATTACTTTAACGTATTTAGGCTTCTACTGTATAATAAGGTATAATTTGTGAATGATTTATAGGTTGTAGCTAACTAACGTTTAACAAATCATTTACTGATAGTCTGCTTCTGGATTGCCATTTTGTGTTTAAGTGTTCATCCTCATCCAGCATAACACGTTTCTTCGTTTAGCTTTAACTAATCAGGAATGGACTTCTGGGTTTTACTTCTGACCTTCTGAAAAAGGGCATGTGGACCAAAATGTATTTAGGCCTATTAATAAACATTAACATTTACAATTGGAAATTTGGACTATTGGGAACCCCTTGTTATTGATTGCAATTTATTTATTGCAGGATAGCTTTGAGATGCATCATCTCTTTTCAAGGGGATCCTGTAACACAAATACAAAATAAAACAGATACATAGACAGATCACGGCATAACTAATAAACATAACACAATAATTAATTTGTTAACATTCATAATGTCTTTTTTCTGATAAATTAAGCATTTGCAGATTTTTTATTATTATTCTTTAAGTAATAATGCTGTTAGTTAGAACTTGTAAACTCTGTCTGAAGTTGTTCAGTGTAAGTGTAAATTATCAAACAGGGCCACATTAAATCTATCTAATCTACTAATATGTAAACACTAAGTGCTTAGTTGTCATACAATAAGTTAATGCTTTCATTCTGTATCACTTCCCTTTTTAACTATGCAGAATAGTACACGACGTGTGAAAACCAAGTTACTCAAACTATATACAACGAAGTATATAGTAATGGTCTACATAAGTAAAATATAAGAATCTTAGTCCACATAGTTGGCTAAATCTTAAAAGCACGTACAGAACAGCATTCGTTAGGGCATACATTTCTCCTTGTGTATAACTGGGAGAAGAGCAACAGTAGACAGTATCTTGTTCTTATTCTAAAGAAATACAAATCTAGTATGTGGAGCAGAGGAGACAAGAATAGCAGTGACATTCAGACAGCTCAAAGGCATCTGTAGTTGTGCAATGTACTGACTGTGTCTTCTCAGTTTTCAGAAATGTAAATCTAACCACCTGCCCTGAGACATCGGGACAAGACCAAGACATTGTTGGTCTGTTTATTATTCTTAGTACGTTTTCACTCCCAGATGACAGATTTCACAGTAAATTAGGAATGTAAAGCGTACACAGTTTTTTAATGAAAAACTGTTCTGCTTTAGAAACCCCATTAATCGCAGCTCTGCAATTGTAACATTGTACCTTATCTATGTGGGAAAATGTCTTTTTTCAGTATATACAGCTGTCTGAAAAGTTTATTCCCCAAAATTTAAAGTTACTGCTCAACATTTTGTTAATGTTTTGTTTGCATGTTGTGGTTTTATAGAGAGGTTGTGTGGGTTCTGGGAGCACTTACTTCCAGGAGTCTCTGCTGATTTCCTGGCACGGTGATGACAATATTTTAGGAAATTACTGCATCTAGCCAAGACATAGTCTGGCACATTACCTGCTGTGAAACCACAGTTTATGCTAACTTGCTTCTATCTGTAGCTTCTTATTTAGCATACATTGTCATAAAAGTGGTATTGATTTTCTCATTAATCCCACGTCTAGAGAGTGTATTTCACAAAAAGAAAAACATTTACTTTAGAAATAATACTCTTTTATTGTCTTCAAAAAAAACAACTTTTATGTGCTGTACTTTTTATGTTCTGTACTATTTATGTCTGGGAGCAGTGACTTCCTAAAGTCTTATCTTTGCCGTGAGGTGGTCAGGCAACAATCTAAGCTGCTGGCTTCAGCTTCAGATTAAAATGACAGATAGGAGAGCGGTATCGAGCTTCTCATCTACCCTCAAGACATCAAACTACTCATATCAATTCCATACGAGGAAAATATCAAACGTTAAAATAACAGGCATGTTATTTGACATCTATTGATAGCAAGTAATAAAACTTGTAATGTAAATATATATCAGACAATAAATAAGTTATTTTCCACTTTACTTAGTCAGTAGTATAGTCACCTCATTATGCTGACATGTTGGAAAATTTATGGGCTAGAGAGACAAGTTGACTAAACAGAGTGCTGCAGACTATGATGATAACTGAAAATCAATCAAATAAACCAGAGCAAAATAAGTAATGACCTAAGTTCACTTCCGGCAACAGGCAAACACTTCCAGACATCCTTAGATTTGTTCAAATAAATATGCAAATGTTCACACACATTTAATAGCTTTGACGATGCAAGAAAAAAATAGCTCCTAAAAGGAACTTTTCTCGTAAGTCAAGATTAGACTTTATGTTTCTGACAATTGCTGTTTATTGTCATCTGTGTGTTCCTGTGATTTCTAGGTTTAATGTATGGCTGCAAACCAAACGTCAGTCAGGATAACAATGAAACTGAAGTCATAAACATTGCTGCTGCGCAAACAAATACTACTGATTTATTTTCACTAGACAGAAATTTATCAAAATGTACCCTTTTCAGTGTGTTTCTTAACTTTTATTTTCCTGACGAATATTATCATATTATAGAAAGGTTATGTAATGTGCTATACCCTGACCTCAGATCAGGATACAGGTTTCCCACTTCAGAAAAACAATCACAGAAGTTTCTCTCCTCACAGAGTGTCCTCTGTCTGAGTCTCATAGCTTTTTTGTTGTTGTTGCTCAATAATTCTAAGAACCAGTCCTCCCCACTTACACTCACATCCAAGATCCTACTGTTTGTTATTCTGGACCTTTATAAGAGAGTGGTAATACAACACAGTGCACAGCACTCTATAAACAAGTGAGCACTAAAAGAGAAGGAATATCTCTTGAAGAATGCAGGTCTACAGTACAGTGTGTGTGTGTGTGTGTGTGTGTGGGTGTGTATGTGTGTGTGTGTGCATGAAACTCGCTGACGGACACACTCACATACTATCAGCACCAGGGAGCCAGAGAGGGAACAAGGAAACACGTGTTGGGTTTTCTAAGAATTGAGCCATTCATCAGGGAGACACAAGGAGCCAAATAGAGGGGGAGAGAGGGGAGAGGGAGGGAGTGCTGGAGACAGACTGAGAGAACATGGAGGTAGGAGGGTAGGCCAGAGAGAATTTGTATATATACATTATTTGCAGAATGTCAATGTTTGTGTGGCTAAAGGTTGTAGAGGTACGACCGAGGAGAGATTATTACCCTACTGTGCAGGGTGATCACTGGGTCAGGTAGTTTTAATGAGTCTGTGGTGTACAGATGATGTTAACAGTAGAAAACAACACTACTTTGAATATCTAGGCTATATGATCATAGATGGATTAGCAAAAGAACCTTTTAATTACATTTATCTTCTATATCTTTATTTTGTCCCATATTTTGCTATTTTCACTTTCATTTTTAACCTCCCTAAAATGTTATTACCATTTAAAGAAATAGTTTGATATTTTGAGGAGATGGATACTACTGTAATGCTTCTATGGTAAATATGTAGTTGCATCCAGCAGGCGGTTGGTTTGCACAAAGAGTGGAAACAGCTAGCCTGGCTCAGTCCAATGGTAACAAAATTCACCTATTAGCACAAATGAACATGTAATATCTCGTTTAATCTGTACAAAAAACAAAGTCAGGCTAGCTGTTTGCCTGTTTCCAGTCTTTACGCTAAGCTAAGCTAAGCTCAGCTAACTGGCTGCTGGCAGCCTGTCACAGTTGGCTCCTCGGTCCTTCTCTTCAGCAACAAACTCCAGTGGTGAAATTCCAAACTGTATGTATTTGTACTTAACTTGAATATTTACTTTTCATGCCACTTTCTAATTCTACTCCACTACATCTTAGAGGGAGATATTGTACTTTTTACTTCACTACATTTATCTGACAGCTTCAGTTACTACTAGTTACTTTACAAGTAAGATTTTTACACACAAAACATATGAAGACTTAATAAAATATGTTTTGTTATAAAATAAACTACCCAACATTTTATACAAGTACAGCTGACACAGTTATGAGATCAAGCTGTTGGTTAGACAAAACAAGCATTGTGAAGGTGTCACTTTGGGCTCTGGGTAGTGACAGCATTTCTTAATAATTTCTTAGTAATAATCATAATCTAATAATCTAATAATTAATGAGCTGAATACTTCATTCATCACTGACACACACACACACACACACACACACACACACACACACACACACACACACACGACTGAGTAACTTGAATTATTATTGAAAGGGAAACCTGTTAAAAAATATGAAAGTTTGCCTACTAATTGTGTTGGTCATGTCAGCAACCCCTGACAAACATAACCAATAGTACTTTTTGCTTTTGAAATTTATATTGAAGACTTCCACTTTTAGTGGAGTAATATTTGGCAAGGGTATCTGTACTCAAGTACAGGATTTGTACTTGACACACTCTCTTTGCCAGCTCCCTGCATTACTCTATTTGTCCTGTGTCTCAGGCCATGAGCTTTCCCTCAACTCTCCAGACCTGTCATCCTCAAGCTGTCCGCCAGATGCCCTCTGACTCTCCCCGCTTTCCTCTTCACCTGACTGCCCCACCCATCTACACACCTGTTCCCATTTCTCTCATCAGCCATCAAGAAATATATGCAGTGTACTGCACTAAACATTTTTGGACCCCTCAAATGACAGCTCGTCGATGAGCTCTCTAGTTCCTTCCTGGGTTGAACCCTTTTTTTGTGTCACATTGGCTGCATGTCTTTGAATCCAACAAGGGCATCATATATAAGTGGGAAGGAAATTAAACTGTACACACTGACACAGACTCAATTTTTGTGTAATTTCAGGAATTTCATTCATTACAGCGTATGTGTGGCCGTGAGCTTTGTTTATGTGGGTGGGTGTATGCTAGCTGATAGGTCCTCTATCACTCCAGCTGTCCCCCTGCAGTGTGTTACCTCATGTCAGACACATGAGAGGGAGAGGGAGCAGAAGGTGGTTTTCCAGAAACAGGGGTAGCCTGATCTCTCCCAGGAACTCTCTCTGAGGTCAAGAATACATTCATTTCATCACCATGGAGGCTGGGGTGTTTTAGGGGGATGGGCTGCATGAACCAATCAGATGGCTGCCTGAGCAGCACAATACAAATGAAGACATGCTCCATGGTTTTACAAAAATCTGGTAAGTTTAGTTTCAGGAGCCAGCCTTGGCTTGTTAAAACTTTCTTTCCACCCCACATATTTTGATCTAAACAACGTCTGACATTTGCATAAACCTGTCTTATGATTTATTAGTGTAAGAGCAACAGTGTTATAAATTGGCCCCAAAAAAGGGACATTCTTTCCCAACTCTTCACATATAGAAACAAAAGCACAAGTTGTATGTGTGGCCACTAGCTGACTAACTGGAGTAGGTGACAGATTTAAAAAATCCTATATAATGTGTTGTTACGTTCCGAGGTTTATTAACATAATAATATAATAAGTCATCATTTTGTCTATACAGAGCATACAAACATTGTGCTATGTTTAGCAATATACAACATGCTGTGGTTAAGCTTCTTGCAAGATGGCCATTTTTGCTGCACAAGAGGCGGTGAACTAGAAAGGAACGCAAATTCCGTGTACATGCTGCATTCTTATTAGAGCATGAAGCACGTTATATGTAGGCCTAAAGATGTTTATACATAACAATTTAACATATAAATTCAACATATAAATACATAACAATTAAAATTTCTGTGTGTTTTGTGTTTTATTTTCTGGACTTGAGGATAGTTTTGCACTCTAAAGTTAAATAATTTCAGGCAGATATAATCTAGAGGAAGAGGGAATGTGGAGGTGCTATCTAAGTTAGCTCACAGAGCCCCTCACAGGCCACTGCATGGTGGGACTGTTATGCAATTGCTTTGCTAACTGTGGTGTACGTGGGCTTAAGGTCATGCATGGGGATGTGAGCTGCTGATCTAGCACATGGTTGGACTGCACACAGACAAAAGCTCACACGCGCAGAGCTACCATGCACAGTGATAGCTGGCTTCAAAATATACAGTTGACACACACACACAGAATGAGCATGTTGCATGACCACAGTGTTTTTAAGGACATTTTTAAGGCTGGTTGTTTGTAGTCCAAGTATTTTTGTAGCTGTTTTTATTTTTATTTCTAGTGTAAACAGTTCCACCACTACTTTTTCTATGATGTGTCAGTTAAGTGTGTGTGTTCGTCACTGAACCCCCGGTCAACTTTCTATGTAAATGTTATAGAGAAGAGACAGCAGCACGCTTTAATTTTTAATGTATACACTAGGTTATTATTGATTATAGACCAATCGATTCTGACAATAGACAGAAAACGAATCGCAAACTGTTTCAATAATCGTTTAAATTATTTATCAAGCACACTTGCCTGCTGGTTTCAGGTTCTCTAATGTGGGGATTTGTTGATTTCCCCCTTCTATTTTCTGCTCTTATAAAATGAAGACTGAATCCTTTTGGAATTTGGACTGTGGTCAGACAAAACGAAGCATTTAAAGGCATCATCTTGGAAAATTGCAATGGATTTTTTTTTAATTTGCTGACATATTATACACTAAACAAATACCTGGTTTTCAAAGAACAACAGATTAGTCGACAATTAAAATCCTTATTAGTTGGATCCTGGACCCACTATACGTTTATTACTACTATGCGTATATTATAATTTAAGTTATGTAAGTTTTGTTACCCAGGTCCAGCTGTCATTGGGGCTGTCGTCCTCACTGTGGCTGCTGAAGTCTTGCTCTTCCTCTTCTAAGTGGCTCATGGTTCCATGTCGCACAATTCACAGTCCTGAGCTGCTGTATGGACTCTTCAGAAATATACTGTTTAGAATCTCAGAATACGGCAGTATATCTGAAGGAATCCTCTTTGAGTGGTCCATGCAGAAATATTCCGCAACTGCAAATGTCACGCTGGACAAACGAGCTGCTTGGTCCTCTGAGATGTGTGATGTCAAAAATATGAATTTGATGTTGACTCTTTCCAGTTCAGCTTTCTCTAAAAGTTCATCTTTGTCTGTTTAAAACAGTTCAACAACACTTGTTGACGGGTGCAAATTGCTGCTTGAACTCTGAAGATCCTACTCTACTAATTCTGATTACATCTCTCCTAAGTGATTCTGGAAATCTGAGGGACTGTTTCAGTGAGTTGCTGCTGTTTGTGCTACAAGCAGTGAGCATTTTAGACTAAATTTATCAAGTGTGTTCTGGGAATGGTTTACTTGGAGGAAATCTGAGAGGGTCCAGAGTTGCTGGGCACACACAGATACACACATGTCATGGAAGGGTAATGTTTGCCACTTGACTCTCTCCCCTTGTGATTCTTCATCTAATAGCCATTTGGACTTTGGAGGCTCTGTTTGCAGTCTCAAATATCTCCTGAACACTGACTGGCATTGAAGAACAGAGCTGCCTGATGGGGGACAATATCCTTGTTGAGCACTTTAGTCACATAAGGTTACACAAACTATACTCTGCAGTACAAGGTATTCTAGTAAGAACGGTCTCAACAGCCATAAATATTTTATTTGGAAACTTTGTGCCCTGTTATTCATTTGAAGTGACAGACAGTAACATCAAGTGTGCAAACAGCCATTTGTCAAACCAACCCTGGCCTTTAGGATGCAAGCCTCCAAGTATTTTAACAATTCTTCATGTGGGTATTGTGAAGTTCAGAAGCATCAGTTAAAGTCTGTTCAGTTCGGTGTCTGAAAGTCTGAAGGAACAATGCAAACACACACACACACACACACACATGAAAGCTATTTAAAATGTCTGTACATTTATACAATTAAAGACATACAAAAAAGTGTACATCATGAAACGCTACCAACACACAGTGGATATGTGTTTCTTCAGCAGTTACAAATTAAATCAACATCTACGGAGCATTAAGCATAACAAACGTTCTACATCCAAACAGAACACTTTTCTTGTACACAGAGATAATAAGGACTTTTTTTTATCTTTATTTATTTATTTTTTCCATACACAGCAAATCTGACAAAATATATCATATGTAAAAACACCAAATTCGGCTACCATTGCACACAGATGATTGTGTCTACCCTCTTTTAAAGCTTCTTATATTATGTGCGCCTACCTCCTTCAAATATACTGTATGGATCTATCAAGAGGTGTTTTTACAAGATGAATCATTTAATCTTTTATCACCACAAAACTCTGCAATGGGTATTTTTATTTTAGGAAAAAAACTTTGTAGTAGATAACTAAATAAATTACAGTGAGTGTAGGACTGGCACATAAACCACAGTAACTGTAAACAACACAACTTCTTTACCAGAAAAGCCCCCAGAACAATCTTTTGCTAACTCACAGGATTACCACCAATCAATAAAAGCCACCTAAAAAATATATTTAGCAAAATGATTTTCTCTCTCAAAGATTACATCCTTTACAAGATGAATGTGTCTGTCATGATGTTGGCAGCCTAGAATTGGACCTCACCTCCAAAGGTCCTTTTTGTGTGTCCGCAGTGATGTGTGGTAATGATCATTGTTTCATGTTCCATCGATGTTTCCAGAGGGTCTCACAGGTCTGGGTAATATGCATTGTCTACTGTCTTTTGCATATCTTGCATTGTCAATTCAGAAGCTGATGTTAGTGTGTACTGGCATGCTATAAAAACACACATTTATTCTTACTGGCAATTAAAGTGATTTCCATCTTGACTTTGACTCTCTGTGTTCCAGTCATATATGTTTTCCAGTCAGAAAGAAGAGCGGCCGGTCTTCCTTGGCGTTGGCAGTCTGGAATTCGTCGCTAAGTCTGAACCTCCACTCTTCTTCGAGCTCCAACCTGCCCACCGTCTGCCTCAAGGAGCTACGATCTGCACTGATGACACACAGAGTCGCACCTACAGGAAGGCAGACAGGAGTGAGAAGGATAGAGACTTAAACTTTGACACGGAAATCTAAATTACTTTAGGATGCCATCCTCACCATAAAAAAAATTAGATCACAGTTTCACTGTTTGTGTTTATTTAAAGATTCTTTGGTTCACATTTTTCTGTTTCATTCCACTATCTATAAAAATGACAGGTGTTGAAATCCTATTCTTGTTTTATGCCATAATGGAATTGTCCTTTGTGCTGTAAAGAAATTAAACAAATGTCTTGTCCAGCGTGTTGCTGTTGGAGGTGGCCAACCTCTTGGTCTGGGTGACTGCTTTGTCAATTAGTAACAATGCTAATATGTTAAAAGGAGAATGGTAATTTTTTGTTACTAAACTGCTACATGTAGTACATTCAAGGAATCAGAATGAGATCTAAGATGTCATGCATAGCTTGCTTTGTATAGTACTGTTTAGGGCTGACCCCCAATAGTCGAAGATTCGATAATTCGATGGGCGGAGCCTGATTCAACTGTCAATCTCACAGTCGAAGCTTCGCAGCAAAACAACGATCACGCCATTTTGGCGATATGGGGGTGCTCAACGTATGATTTTACATAGAACTACCAGTTTTCTCCCAATAAGTTAATATACAGCCTATTACAATTCATTTCAACGTTTAATGCTGTAAATAAACATTTAAAAAGAATAAAACTTCCAATAAATGTTTTTAAACTTTCGGATAGTTAATCACCGTTGATGAACCACACAAAGAATATTTTATCGTTTTTAAATAGCTGGCTACTTGAAATAGACCTGCGAGGAACCGCGACATGCATGCAGTTGTCGGTAGCAGTAATGCACGTAAAATTCTGCACAAGACCTCAGTGTAGATGGAAATTTACAGTGTAAGTTGAATGAATAGAGACTACAGCTCTGCAGCTTCTCAAGATTAAAGCGGAGCTACCATGTGTAACCCCCCCCCCCCGCTCGCAATCACTGCACACAAAAAAACTCAACTATAGGCAGGACTTGACGATTCTGATTCGACTCTGTAAATCCTTAGTCGGGGACAGCCCTAGTACTGTTACTCAAAAATACATCATTGCATGTCTGCATTTGGTCTGCCTTTGTACCTTTGAGGAAGGTGAACTTCTTGAGGAACCCAGGAGTCACGAAGGAGTCGGCGAAACAGAGGAGAAGGCCACTGAACAGCAGCCCCGTGGTGCCTATGTTGACAGAGTGAGGTCTGGAACTCACAAAACACACCGTCACCTGCAGGACACAAGAAGACTTTTATATGCTATATGTTGGAATTTATGGATATATGAACCTAGATACTGTTCAAAGGTTAATAGTCGATATTGAGGTTTCTGTCCCTCTACATGCTTGTGTGTGTGTATGTGTGCTGTATACCTCAGGTCCCAGATTGAGATAACAGTCCACAGACAGCACAGGGTGTGTGTAGTTCTTGGTGCTGAGTGGAAACAGCTTCTGGCTGGTGTGCTGGAGGTATTTTTCCAGGAGGAGCTGAGCTGGTGTAGCCAAGAAAAGGTGCTTGCTGTCTGGGGCACAGATGTACTGCGAGGGCCCCACTGAGGTAGGGACATCTGTCATCTGGAGAAATGTCAAACTTTTTTTAATAACCTTTGTTACCATAAACTTTTGTAAATAAAATGTCTTTCATTAGCTGTTACATGCATATTTAAGCAGAATTAAGAAACAGATTTGAAATGTTAATTCTGCTCTGTGAGTAATATGTGGTTATATTTTCATTTGTCTTCAGCATCTACCTTGGTCTTGATAATAAATGTCCTGTATCCTCCTATGGCGATCTGCTTCTTCATGACGCTGAAACTGTTAAAACGGCAGATGAGCAGTCCAGCACTGTGTAGCCTCAGGGTGAAATCAACATCATGACAGGTGAAGCGGTTCTGGTCGTACTGGACGTTCTGACTCCGGTCGACATTGAGGAGGAGGAAGTCATGAAGGTGGCCTCTGAAGAAGGGCTCCCTCTGTTTATTACCTGGAGGTAACAAAATAAATTGCAACTTTAAATTTATTTTAATCATATACCGGACAAGTTTATTTTTCATTCCGCTTTATTAGAAAAATAATTGACATGTTTCTCATTCTGATTCATAAAGTAGCAAAAAATTATCAAAGTTGCCTTTTAATGTCCCCTCAAATATATGATTTAAACACAGATTCGGTAAGCCTAAGCTTTACATCTTGTATTCTAAGGCAGTAACTGTGGCTAATGAGGGTTTGTTTAAAGATGTGAGCTATAGCTTGGAGCCAGACATTCAGTAAATATGTTTAAACACAAAAATACCACTCTGTATAGGTTGAGATATGATATGTACAACAAGTACAATCTACCCGCAATGTTTCAAGTATCCTGTGCATTCCAATACAGCCTTGCAAATTGTTTGACCTTAGTGAAGCTCATAACAATACATTTTTATTCAGACTGTGCGTGTGTATGTGATTCCACTGTATGGTCATTTTTGAGCTTATGGCTTAGAGAAAAATATATCATCTGTTAATTTGTTTAGTATTGACAAAACTGAAATAGTTTTCTGATAAATATAGTTTTCTGATAAGGTTTCTGATATCATGACCCCTGACCTGTGAGTCCACGACTGCTCCACTTCCTGATGCCACACAGTCCATAGTGGGCCAGGTCTGGACAGGCCTCCATGTGCTGTAAGACCTGCTTAAGTGACACGGCATGCTCCACTGGACCACTAATGACAGCAAAATGCAGCAAACAGTAGCTTTGTTAAAACCGACTCCTAAAATGAATAAACATATTCTTACTTTAAATACAAGCAACAGCTATTTTGTACTACACACTTATTCCTATAAATAAGGCATCTGTATGTACTTGTGTGCGTCGAGGTCCACTGCATTCCACATAACACACGAGTCGTCAGACAGGATGATGAAGGGCCAGACGTCATCTGCAGGGCCCCCTCCCTCCAAACGCCGACTGCGCTCCAGCTCCAAGTTGTGATATGAAAGCTCTTTAATCAGGAAGTGAGCAGCACCTGCAAGACAATGGGAATGGTATGATCGTGCTGTATGTGTCAGTGTAACTGCTAAACAGGCCTGCGTTAAAGATCTATGGAATTATGGAATCCCTACATATCTAACCCTAGTAGCAGTAACAAACCTATTCCAGCTCCATTGAAGACAGTGGGCAGTACCAGCATTATGTGGTTGGGCCAGTACTTCTTATATACAGCCATCTCGTACTCCTTGACCACCAGAATATGTAGGTGTGAGGCTCCATCCATAGCATGATACAGGTTAAACAGACCATGCTCATGACGGCCAGTGGTTGGGGTGAAGATTGGACTCTTGATGCAGTCTGGGCTCTGAGGAAGTGGACAAAAAAAATCAAACCGAATTCATACTTTAAAGTGTGGCTCATGACAAAATGATGCAAAATATTAATAACTTTATTGCAGACACAGGTCCATATAACACATCATACAGTACACAATACAAGGAAATACATAAATATAAAAAGTACAAAACAATACATACATACATTTAGATGTTTCAACACAATCTCCAAAAGGTAGAAGGGAAGAAAAAAGTAATGAACCACTGTCATCAATGGCAACAGACTTTTACATTACTAAATTTTGATTACAAAAGGCTGTCCTAATTTCAATATAAGCCATAATCCAGCCTGTAGCGCCACCTAGTGGAGCTCAAAGGTGTTGCACTGTGGTCATCCCTGCAAATCACCACTTTAATAAATTGGTAATGTGCAGAGGGATATGAGTCTGTACCTACGAGGGATTGTCTGTAAGGGTTCTCAGTCATCTAGGTCTTAGTTATCCAAGGAAGGTTAAAATCAAGGGCAACTGGACTAGTTTCAAGATACGCTAAAATGTTTCACCTCTCATCTGAGAGGGGTTAAGAGTAGATGTGTTTTCGTTAAGGAGGGATTAACTAAAACATATAATGTGACAACAGGAAATGAATATTTCATAATATCAGTGTTCATGTGAAACTTGGCTCAATGGGTGATGCAGATCACCTTCTAATTAAAATGTTTGTTTTTATTAATTTTGATCATTTATATACCTGTGAGATTGGCAGTAACATAAACATTTCGGCACATTTACTATCAAGGGTGACATGACCGATGTTCACAAAATGATACCCTCACTAACGGCTGTGATCTTCAGCATAAGGTGTCAATAGACTCCACCAGAAGTACTGGATAGTCAAACAGACTAAGACCCCCCACCCCAATTTGAGATAATTAAATCAGGGTTCACTAAGAAAAAAACATACCCAATCTGAGGTGAGAGGCAGCCGCATGCTCTCCAGCTGGCCTCCTGGTTGGCTGAAGCTGAAGTAGTGTTCTTTAGACTTTGGGATGATGAAGTAGAGCTGGATATCTTCCCCAAGCAGTAGATGAGTGAATGTGAAGGCATGCAGTGTTGACTCATACACCTGAATATAAGATTAGAGAGGGCATCCAGCATTACCTGTGGCATTTACACTTCAAAAGCAGTGTGTGTCATTTATCAGATTATAGGTTTGTTCTGCTAACCTGGTATCTTGGGTTGAAGCCCAGATACTGATGACACTGTTCACAGTGATGGTAGGTGTTGTAGGCTGCATATTTAGACAGCTTGATCCTAGATGTCCGCCTACGTAGGTACACATCCTCCTGGCGCATAGGGTTTCCTTGGAAAGACAACGGAGACAAAAACAAATTAGGACATTTTAGTACAGACAAATATTGATGTAGGTGTGTGCTACTGACCTGACTTTTGTACGTGTTTTTCTGACAGTGCCTACCTTCAGTGCTTGGTATATCTCCAGGGCTATAGACAGAGCTGATGTCGTCATATTTGGGGTCATGGAGGGCGTAGTCAAAGGGCATTGTCCTTATAATGTCTGGGTTGGGCCAGGGAGCATTGGGTGGGTGGTACTGCAGCCCTTCTGCCTGGGCACCTAAACACACAACATATTAAGTGTATGCATTACCCATGAGTTTATAACAGGGTGAATATTGAAGATTAGAATCTATTCTTGACACATCCTGACAAAATCCTAATCCTCACTGCAATAACAGCAAAACAAACAAAAAGAAAAGGGCTAGGGAAACAGTAGACATATAGGAAATGAATAGGAGTAAGGTCTTTAGAAAGCCTAGTCTCTGTAATTTACATAATGTAGGTGACTACTGCTGCAAATATACTGACTGTAGTTGATGTCTTCTTCATCGTAGATATCCACCTCCATCAGCCTGATCAGCATCCGAGACAGAATACCCAGGAAGTGTAAGTACGCTCCTGTCTTACCCACCTGACGGTGGAAAGAAAAAAAGTGAAATTAGTTTAAATATTAAGCATAGCACAAGCCTGAGTTTGAATAAAATCAAATATTTAGACAGAAAGTACCTGTGGGGGTCCACTGAGCAGCAGCCTGCGAGGGTGAAAGTTGTCACTTCGTCCTTCAGTGCGATTGCTGCTGTCCATGTGGTAAGAGCGGGGGACTGTCCACTGGCGATAGTACAATGACTGCTCTGTACATGTCATCATCTTACTCAGCAAGGGCCTGCACACAAAAGACATAGATCATACTGTAAGTACATTTCTCCCAGTGAGACTTCCAGCATCTAATCTTTCCAGGACACACTGAAAACTACAGTCCCCTCCAAAAGTATTGGAATGGTAAGGCAAATTCCTTTGTTTTTATTGTTCACTGAAGACATTTGGGTTTAAGATCAAAAGATGAGTATGAGACAAGTTAGGACATATCACCGTTTGTATTAGACCTCAGCATTCTTAGGTGAGCAAAAGTAATGGAACAAATAATCTTAAAGTAAATAAGATTTAATATTTGGTGGCTTAACCCTTGCTTGCAATAACTGCCTCAAGCCTGCGACACATTGACATCACCAAACTGTTGCATTCTTCATTTGTGATGCTATTCCAGGCTTTTACCGCAGCTTCTTTCAGTTCTTGTTTGTTTCGGGGTGTTTCTCCCTTCAGTCTCCTCTTAAGGAGGTGAAATGCATGCTCTCTGGGTTAAGGCCAGGTCATTGACTTGGCCAGTCTACACTTTTTCCCCCTGATGAAGTCCTTTGTTTTGTTGGCAGTGTGCTTTGGCTCATTGTCCTGCTGCATGATAAACTTCCTCCCGATTAGTTTCAATGCATTTCTCCGTAAATTGGCAGACAAAATGTTTCTGTCCACTTCTGAATTCATTCTGCTGCTACCATCATCAGTTACATCATCAATAAATATTAACGAGCCTGTTCCAGAAGCAGCCATGCACGCCCAAGCCATGACATCACCTCCTACATGCTTCACAGATGACCTTGTATGCTTCGGATCATAAGCAGTTCCTTTCTTTCTCCACACTTTGTTAGAAATTAATCTTGGTCTCATCAGTCCAATAGATTGTGTTGCAGACCTTTTGCAGCTCATCTCTGTACTTCTTTGCAAATTTCAATCTGGCCTTCCGATTCTTCCTGCTGATGAGTGGTTTGCATCTTGTGGTGTGGCCTCTATATTTCTGCTCTCTGAGTCTTCTTCCAACAGAGGATTGTGACACCTTCACCCCTGCACTGTGGAGGTCACCGGTGAAATCACTTACTGATGTTTTTGGGGTTTTCTTCACAGCTCTCGCAATATTTCTGTCATCAACTACTGTTGTTTTCCTTGGCCGACCTGTTGGATGTCTGTTGCTCAGTACACCAGTAGTTTCTTTCTTTTTCAGGACATTCCAAATTGTTGTGCTTGCTTTGCCCAATGTTTGTCCAATGGCTCTGGTCGATTTTCCTTCTTGTCTCACTTTGACAATGACTTGCTTTTCTCCCATAGACAGCTCTCTGGTCTCCATGTTGGTTTATCCTCTTTAACAGGAAATGCAGTCTTTATAGGTTTGAACCAAGGAGGAAAACTTAGACTAGTCATGCAGAGCTATTTAATGTTTGGACAATCAACCTAAAAGGCAACAACTGGGCAACAAGAAACATCTGTCAGTCACATGTTCCAATAGTTTTGCTCACTTGAAAAATGGGTGGGTTCAAACAAAGGGTGGTATGTCCTGAGTTGTTTAACATATCTAGATGTGAATACAAGGAAATGAGAGCTGAAATTCTGAACTCTCATACTCATCTTTTGATCTTAAACCCAAATGTCTTCAGAGAACAACTAAAACAAAGTAATTTGCCTTACCGTTCCAATACTTTTGGAGGGGACTGTACATGACAGAACAATACTACATACTGTGTGTTCTGATTTTTATAGAATAATGGAGTGCCTCACAGAAAAGACAGGATTAACTAATTCAGCCCCTAAGTCTTCTGTCCAGAGTTTGATTCCCGTGATACTATACTCATTGAACCCTCATGACCTTTCAGTTCAAAACATTAATGCCCACTGAGCCAATCCACAACTTAAACAGTTAGATTAAACCTTTGGTGGTCTGTCTACATTAATGCAAATTACCATACCCTTGCAATGAAAGGTACAGTAGGGAGACCATCAGACCACCACATTGTTTTAGGTTTCAGCTGTATACACTGGACGTTCTGTGAGAAAAGGACCACAATAATAAAAAATGTATCAAATCTATCGATATACAGTATATTTTGCTGTATGTGTAAAAATACCTTTTCATCATAATAACAGTTCACGAAAGTTCTAGATAGTGTTATATCTATAATATCATACTATAGGTTCAGTTTTACCTGAAGCTGCTTGCCCATGCGACAGACATGTGTGGCAGGAATGAAGTACATCGTGGAAGCCCGCTGCTGTCACCGGCTGTGATAACATCATAGAGGGCACGGGGGAGGAGCACAGAAGGCGGGCGACTCACTCCCCTTGCCCAGGAGCAGCTCAGATGGGGAGAGGAGGCTTGAGGGGACAAGGAGCCAGAGGAGGTGGATTTGGAGTGTTGGCGATGAGACTGGGCAGGGGGCGGTTGAGGCTGGGGTATTTGCATCTGGGAGAGGGACTGGTGCTGAGGAGGCATTTGAGTGTAAGGCTGGGAACTTGTTTGAGATAATGGCTGATTTTGACTCTGAATTTGGGATTGTGGCTGCAGCTGAGAGACTGGTTGGGTTTGGTGCTGTAGTGCAGATTGAGGATGAGGAAAAGATTGAGACGGTGTTGGAAGTTGAGTCTGTGATTGTGAGGGAGATTGTATGGTGTCCATGGTCCCTTTCTGAACATTTGGAGAGGTGGTGCTTTGGGCAGGGAAGGGATCTAAAGTGCCAGTGTCTGGGCATGACTGGAGCTGCTGGCTGGATGACAGAGGGGAGTCCCCTGGAAATGGAAGGAGGAAAAAAAAAGTAAGAAGAAAACAATAAATTAGCCACCAAATCAGATGAGCTATCCCTTCAAACAGCAAATGAACATTTCACAAATATTAAAATCTCAATACTTTATGTGCATCTCATCTCACCGTTCTCCTGTCCCTCCTCCTCCTCATTGTCAGTACTGCTGAGTTTCTCTGCGTCACTCTCCAGCACGTCACTTCCTGGTCCAGGGTTGTGTGGGGGTCGTGACTCAGCCCTCACTAGATAAGCCGCCAGCCCTAGCTCTTGCTCAAGTGTGGTTCGCTGAAGGTAGGAGCAGCTTATCACTCTAAGATCACAGTACTTCACTGACCTGTGGGCAGAATTAGTTCACTGTTTAAACTCCAGATTACATTTACTATAACTTCTGTGGCTTTCCTGCAAGACACTATGGTTTACAATTTTTACCAAGTAGTGGAGACTTGATCATTCTTGACAGTGTGTGTACCTGGGCAATGATTCTCCCAGTGGCTCAGCTCCTGACAGGATAAGGATGCAGGGAAGAGCCTCCAGCTCCAGGTAGGTCTGAGGAACCCAGTCAGCATCCTGGATCTTCAGCCATGTCTGCAGGACATACACACACAAACACATACTTATTTCTCTACTCGTGAGCTCTAACCATATTAATGGTAAGGATTCCCACCCTGTATTTCATAATATTATGAACTACTAGCCCACCTTGATCTGGTCAGTGAAGCTCTGTCCAATATTCAGAGCTTGGTTTGGATTCCCCAGTATGATTTCAAAACTCTCCTCCAGACCCAGCTGCCTCCTCACTCTGGATAGCCGTCGGTGGGCCCATGCTGCCAGAGCCAAAGAGGGGATCCTCAGCAGGACCATGTGACCATGGTGGGCGGGACATTGCTGGGCAGCAGTGAGCAGTGATTGTACAATCTCCAGCGTCTCCACAGAGGTGTGTTTGTGGAGATTGTGGGAGCTGCAGATTCTGCCAGATGCAGCCATCAGAGCTACGCAGTAGTGCTGGATCAAAATTGTAGTCCGGATCACGGCACTGTGCAGCTTAGGGAACCTGGGAGAGACAGAGAGATTGTGAGGGCCTTTTGCTCTATTTTATGTGTAGGCCTGCAAGTAATTCAAACTTTTTTATGAAGTGTTTGTGATTAAGCATGTGTTCGATTGTGCTACCTTTCCTCCAGGGCAGATGCCATGCTTTCAAAGGAGGAATCATAACGCATCAGAGGCAGGCTGCTTCCTGAACGGGTCGACTCTAAAAGCTCTGACACACCAAAATAACGAGTCCTCTCGTGATACAGGTCAACATCCTACACACACAAGCAAAGAATGTTATGGATGCCCGCACACTCACAAGTGTAAACTCCCAATCAATCATGTCTGTTAACTTCTAGATATGTGCCACTTGTGCATTTGGTACACACTCTATATTTAACAGACACAGACTTTCGTCTTACATTACTGAATGCAGAGGGCCAGTGGATCTCGTTGTAGGGGCTGATACGAGTATACTGTGTCTGCAGAGCAAAGGGGAAGGAGGTGACGTGGAGAATTAGGATGTTCGGAGCATCTCTGACCTGACGGGAGTTTAACAGCTGGTCCACCAGACCCAAACCACTGTCTGAGCTACTGCAGGATGCACTGAACGAGCGGGAGACACAAAGACAGAGACTCAGAGAAAGAGAAAACACACTTGATTGCTTTTTGATTGATTTGTTGATGCTCTCGTTGTGCCTGGCTGTTGCATTGATGGAACAATAAGAATTGAACACGGTAATCATTCTGCATCACTTCTGATCTCACACACACACACACACACACACACACACACACACACACACCTGTTGATGTCCCAGTGAGCATGGTCATGGACAAGGATGTAGAGTGTGTAGGAGTTGCTGTGTGCTTCCTGGATGAGGCCGTCAATTCGTGCCTGAGCGCTCTGATCCATCTTGACCACATAATGCTCAGAATCCCGTTGAGACACACACTCCTGTTCTAAACCCCCAAGCTCCTGAAGGACACCTGAGATACACAGACAAAGAGAAAGAGGGTGGTACAGGTCAACATAAAAACACATCATGTTACAAAATAAAATGATGATTCTTTTCTCTCCTTTCAAAGACAAGAATGAATAAAGGCAACTGCTGACAAAGAAAGAGCCATGTAACAAACCAGAGCTCCAGAGGTGGAGAACGGTCTGCTGAAATGTGACCTCGGAGGGTGGGACCAGGATAAGGAAGCTGACCCTGTCAAAGGAACCCAGGTCCAGGTTCTGTGTGCTGGAGTCTGCTATGGCACAAACATGGGACAGCAGCTTTCTGGCCACTGCCAGCTGGATGGGACGTACCTCACGCCACTCTACAGAGTACTCTATAAATGAAATGGAAGAGTTGCATCAGCAAGTAGTCAAAAGGCAAATCGAAGACAAATACAAAATAAGTAACAAATGGAGTGTTATAAACTGAAACTTATGATAATAGCTAATATGTGAAGCTTAAGACTATGAAATAGTATGGATTAATACTGTGGGAAAGCTGTGGGAGAACAGTAAATCATCTCATCTAAGCACTCTTTCAAATAGCATTTTCACACTGTGGTGAGACACAGAAATGTGCAGTGTCCACCTCAACTTGTCTGTGTCTTACCTGAACAGGTGTCTTTGGGACTTGAAGCTCCCCCTTTAGGGCTGGGTGAGTCTTTTGAACACTGTCTGTGTGAATTCTTTGGACTGTGTGTGTCTTTGGGACTGTGTGTGGTTTTGAGACTCCTCTCTTCAGCTGATTCCTGACTACTGGATAAGGGAGATTGCTCATTGCTGTCCACAGTGGCACTATCCAGCAGGGAATCCAAATCGCCATCTGAGGAACAGAGAGGCACACCTCATGTTGGTCAATTATGAAAACACACATTAATATCCCTGTACTGTACCCACAAATGCAATGTAGCGCGTAAAAAAAGGTGGACACACCTTGTCCGAGGGAATTGCAGTAGTGGATGAGTTCCTGGGCAACACCAGTGGAGAGCTGGTGGTTGATTTCTTTCAGACCCTCATTTGGAGAATACATACTCTCTGCCAAGGCACGACACTGGTGTTTACCTGTAACACACACAAAAATACACTGAATTGAAATCTGCTTTAGTCTTTTTGTTTAATTTTAAGGATAGCTTTACATCAGTCATACATACACATGCATACAAAAACACAGCTCCCACCTGTGACTACCACACAGGACTGTGTTTCCTGTCCCGGCGCAGTGACAATAATGACCACATAGTTTGTGTTTTCAAGCCGTCCTTCCATTAACCTGCTGAACGTTTGCTGCATGCCTTGAGCTAAAGATCCGATCTGCTCCCCTAACACCACCACGCCCTCTCCACAGGACGACGCAGCCAGCTGGGCGAGCCAGGGGAGCTGGCTGGGGATCAGCGGTTGTTGGCTCTGGGGAGGTAAGGAGAAATGCTGGGGGAGCCCCGGCAAGGTGGATGGCGTCTGGAGACAGAGAAGAATTCATTTATTCTCATTCTGTCTTCTGGACAGCATGTTAAGCCTGACGTGACAGAATAATGTTTTCTGTGGTGTTAAAACAGCGGGAGCCTTACATAAATCATAAACATCTTTAAGGTCTCCCAAATGCCTAGACGATAAATTTTACTTGTAAATATTCTAGCATATTTGAATGCTTAATTGTCTGTATTTAGTCATTTTTCCTCAAACGTAACATTTCACAATAGGACACTTCTCTGACACACCATCTCACCTCTATGCCATAGTGCCTCCCTTGCGTGGCAGGTGTTTGGGGCTGCTGATACTGTCTGATCTCGCTGAGGTGGGACTCCCTCCATGACCTCATGAATATCTGCTCCAAGTCCTCTATCAGTGGTACCTGGTCAGGGCCTTGGAGGAATATAGGTTGGAGACAAAGAAAATAGTAAGTGTGGTGAAGACAAATTAGTCGTTTTATAGAATATGTTTTATTAATAGATTAATTAAGTGTTATGCTGTCTTCCTCCTAGTGGCCATTATGAGGCACAGCAATGATATCATAAAAGATCAACCACTTGCCTCCTCTCTGAGGCCCTACTGAACTGTGTATGATTACAGTCTTTATTCTGGAAGAAGGTTTCACACTGACCTAGCTGAACAAGGTAGTAGACTGTAAGTAGAATCTGCATCTCAGTTGACAATGGCTGAATGGGTGATGGTCCATAGTGCTGGTAGACTCTGGGGAGTGTCTGAGAGCTCATGTAACAACTCTGGAGTAGAGAACTGACAAGCACTTCACTGACATTGCCAGTCAGCTGAGGGAGTGGGCCATGACCTGTGTCAATGACAGGAAGACAGATCAAATACATGAACACAGTGACGTGGCGATCAGGCTCAAAAAGTAGCACTCCAAACTGAAACCCTGTCATCTGCTGTTTTTATGTTATGAGAAGAACATATTTGATCATGACCTATGTAAGAGTTTATTTTGTTGTTCACAGGTGAATTGTGTTGGGTCGGTCACTATGACACAAATGACAAGAAAGATTGGTTGGGTAATGGCAAGATGATGAATTAGAACAAAACAGAAAGAAAAAGAGAATTAGGAAGTAGTTGAGGGCATATAATATGCATAGGGAAGGTGGATGAGTTGACAGGTGATACAAAGGGGTGAAAAGGGTGGAGGGGGAGGGATGAGGGGAAGGCAAAAACGCTGAGAAACAGCCTCGGGTGTTGGCTGACCTCTAACCTGTGAGGAGAGGCGAGCTAAAATGGCCATCTGTTGAGCGGTTACTGAAAACCTCACATTTTCACCTGCTTGAGAAAGTCCAGTACTGACAGCTGGGTGGAAAATGATCAGCAAACTAGTCAATAATGACTTTGAATGATACAAATACTCTAAACTGTAGTCTATGACAGCATTTACTGTAGATGTGGCAGTGTATGTGTGTTTGTGTGGCCGCTGAAGAAAAACAAAGAAAGTGTGTTCTATCATAATAAATCACTGATATAATTGGTCATCTGACCTTTAAAGATGACAGGTTGCAGTCTGCAGGTGTGTAGCAGCTGATCAGGGATTGTTACAGACTGCCCTGGGGCAGAAAGCAGGGTTAAGGACCCCTGCGATGAACTCAGCGGGGCTGCAGACTCTGGAGAAAGTACAGAAATACATTTACATTTGCACACAGACAAAGAAACACTTCAAGCAACAGATACAGCACTGAATAAATGTCTCCAACCACATCATTTTCTCTAATGTTTCTCCCTTTATCTTCTCTGACTGTCTCTTCTCCTCTTTTTACCTGATCTGGCTCCATTTGTGTTGCCAGAGGACACAGATAATGTTGATAAGGCTGATGAAGACGGCGGTGTCTTCACAGTGCTCTCTGGCAGATTGTTAGCAGATGACTCTGGCGACCAGCCCTTGTGCCTCTTTTTTGGGGGTCCAGCATTTGCATGGGGCCCTGCAGGATAAAATATAGGATCACATAGAGTAAAAGCTTACAAGTTTGTAGTTTATACTTTAAAATACTACTAATACTACTAATAATAATTAATAACTGAGCTTGCCCCTGATATAATTTTTCTCCCATTTTTCCTTTTTTAAGAATATAAATATATTTCAAATATTTTATTCGATACATTAATAAAAATGTTTTTCTCCTATTTAACAATTTTTCAGTTTTTCCCCCAGCTATGGGATGTTCATAAACATTTTATCCTGTTCTAATATGGGGCATTGCAATTTCATTTGTTGAGTTAATTTTTTTCTTTTGTTATTGTCACATTTTTCCACATTTCAGTTTGCTTTATGGTGCTTTCAGACCAAAAGCGAAGCGAGCGTTCGGGGCGGTGAGTTTACATATAAAGTCAATGCAAAGACGCGTAGAGCCACGATTTCCTGTCGGGCGGCGCGAAGGGGGCGGGGCCGGCGAAGCAAAGGCAACGTGAAGGAATTCGTGTGAGTTGAATATTTTCAACTCACAGGGAGCAGCGCTGCAACCACTGGACAAATAAACACCCGTAGTCGGTCGGATTCTGCTCTGACAACTACGGCGTTTACTTGCGGGAGGAGCTCGGAGTTAACTGCTTTTATTAAATTAGCTTTTCACTTTAGTTTTTGGGGTTTCAACGTTGATTTATCTTCACTGGAGCTTCTCAGCAGCTAGTTTCCGTGCACAGTGATCCATTCCGTGATCCAGTGTTGTTGTTAGCGTCGTTAGCTCTGTCGGACTACAACTTCATATTTAGATAAAAAACGGACAAAACTGGATATTACTTGGAGAAAAGAAAGCGAGGAGGTTGAACTACCTGGTGAGTTCAGAAAACATGTGTCTGTAACTTTATTCCAGCTATCACTGTACTTTACTGTGACCCATAGCCCTGATCGATCCAAACTCCATTCAGAAAACAAACATTTTAGAAGTTGTTGTCCTGCTGTCTTCCTGACAGACCTGACAAAGCACGAATTCATATGTTTAACAAATCTGCATCATGTTGTAGTTATTTCGCCATCAGTTTAATCTGTGTATTGCTATTTAATCACAGCAAAATGTTTACTTTGGGTTCATACATTGTTGTAGTAATGGCGAGTTGTGTTTATTCATGTTATCGTGTTAAAATCGCCTTCTCGCGTTGTGTGTGAAGCAGCGAATGTACTCACGCAGGGAAAGCGTTGCAAGGCGAAAATTCGCGGTTGGTCTGAAAGCACCATTTGGAATGATTGCCTTCATAGCAGAATGGTGATTTTTCTAATTCGAATAACCCACAAATCAACAAAACATATGCAAATAAACATAAGTTAAAGCTGCAAGCAGTGTTGAGTGGGCCCTCGCCCCCATGCGTGCCTCGGGTGCAGCGACAGCTGGGCCTTTTCATTGCACGCCAGCTAACACAGTTCTGGAGTTAACAATGCACAAATCACACAGGTGACATGTTGAAACTATCTCACAAAGTTTGGTTGAGGTGTCGATTATTTATTATATTTAAAGTGGCTGGTTTAGGGTATAGCTCTCAAAAACAGCTTCCTGTTTTGTTGCGAATAATTACTCACCAAGGCAACAGCATTTGACAAGAACTTTGAAATGGGTTTGGTCAACCTGCTATGAGGAGCACATATGCTTCACTATGGACATTTTGTTCCTATGGTGCTATGTGGTGTAAAAATATAAATGAAGAAATGAAGTTTGAAACATGTTCTTTCCGGATGCCACTATATGGCACTCTCAATATGACAGGATATTGACATGTAAGTCTCTAAGAGGTTTACTTGTGAATTTTGGGACAGATCTGACCATGTCTAGTCCATTTACATGCTACTTCCTTTTTCATGGTAAAACACACACCACGCTATGGACATGCCGTTTGAGTAATCCAAAAAAGCTTCGCAATTTAACATGGCAAGACTCTTAAGATTGAGCTCCCCACATCTGAAGTCGATTGGGTTAAAGCTCTAAGAGGAGTTTGTTAAAGTACAGAGAGTGTAAACGGGATAAAATTTAGAAAATAATTCAAAATGGCCGACTTCCTGTTGGGTTTAGGGCCCCTAGAGACTTATTTTTAAGTCTAGAGATGATACATCAGTCTCTTGCATTTTGTACAGCAAGGTAAAATGTACGGCAGGGCTGCTTCGTTGAAATTTTGTAGGGGGCGCTATTGAGCCAGTTTTTGACAACCACGCCCCCAAACCATATCAACCAATACAAAATAACCCCTCTGAGGAGCATGAGGATTTGACTATCCCTAGCCACATGACAGCTTAAAAGCTATAGAGGCAACGTGCAACCCTCAATCTTAAAAATTACATAAAATCTAAACACTACCTAAAAAAAAAACTAGTTTTGTGGCTCTTTGAGCATCCTAAAGGCCTCAAATATCTGTTTAAAAATTGAAATTGACGCAGGAAATGCAACATGGCTGACTTCCTGTTAAGCAAAATCTCATAGAAGAAACATAAATGTGTTCTTTGTAATAACAGCAATAATCCCACCAAATCTCATGACTATCAAAGAAACTTTGTCCAAAACATAGTGTTTGTTTAGGGGTGCTATTGAGTCCCCTGGCCATAACTGACCTCAATCACTGCAGAAAATGCCCCACCAGACCTGAGGTCTGTGCAAATTTTCATGAGGAATCGAGTATCTAAGACTATGAGTTTCTGGGGAGAAAAAAAAAATCTGATCTGAGCTAAAACAATAGCTTCCTTGCACTTTTGTGCTCAGGCCCTAATAATGTTTCAGGATGGACCTCTGTTGATACAGTAATGGACGGTTGCTTTCTAGTCATTCATTAACATGTCACTTCCTCAGCAGTAACAGCGAGACACATAAAAGGTCCACTTGCTAAAAGGGCCATGAAAAAAAAAACCTACTTCAACAGGAAGGAAGCTTTTCATTCAGCGAGAAAGCAGGAAAAAAAAGACGAGACAGAGAGGGAATTTTACAACCATGGTTAACAGAGGTGCCAGACAGAAGGAGAGGGAGGGAGAGAGTCAGAAAGACAAAGGACAACCCCCAACACACAATGCAGCTGGCTGTGTCCTGTATAGCAGGGGTGTTATGCACACACATGCACACACAAACACACACAGGTCTGCTGGTGGTAGGAGCTCTCCCTTTCAGGGATGTGAAGAAACCCAGGAGAGGGGCTTAATGACAACAAACACAAACTGACTATGTTTACATGCACACAAGAAACCAGATAATCCATACATTAGATGAGCAGCAACACGTTACATAAAGTCTGCTAACTTTAAACACCAATTTACATGAAAGGGGCTTGGGTTTCTCATTTAAACAATGTTTCAGCAAGCAGGATACTCCACAAAGCCAGGAATAATATGACTGCAGATGCGTGTAAATGCAGTGAATGATTCCTCCTTTCACTCTCTCTGCAGGTATATGGGGCTTTATTTTTTTTATTTCAGCCAGTGGCGTTAAGAAACGTTAGGCCTAGGCTATATGCTTTGTAACAACCACACTCCTTGCTGCTGTTATGAATATGATGTTAGTTAAAAAGTTGTGAGAGAGGCTTTGTTTGGGGGTGAAGGGGGCTGGTAGTGAAAGCAGTGTTTCCCATAATTAGCCTATAATTTGGATAATTATCAACGCGGACCACCACATATTGATTTAATTTATTTTACTAGGTGCATTTAAAATCATTTATAGTAATAGTAGTAATATAGTAACGTAACTAGTTACTTTTATCACCAGTAATTAGTAAAGTAATATCATTACTTTTTAAAGGAGTAATAAGTAACTAGTAATATATTCGATTTCTGAGTAACTTGCCCAACACTGGTATTTAACCTAAAACATCACAGAAACACTAAAATACAGTGATTAACATAGGTGGATAACATTCTGATAAATCAAAAAAATGGTCAACAACAATCCCTCCAAAGATGAGTTCAACTGTCACGTAAACAACTTCATCTTTTCTCATTCACTTCTCACTCACGTTGTAATTACAATTAAGCATAACTTGAATAACATAAAGAAACCAAATGTGCCAGTCTTTCAAATTCCATGTTATACATACACGTCCTGGATATTAACTGGATTATAGAGATGAAGTCTCCAGCGACAGTACCTGAAGCTGAGGGTCTCCCAGGCCCTGACTGATTTACAGGTGGCTGAGCGGTGGAGGGAACAGCATGGTTGCCATTTGTCAACGAATGAGGGGTGTCAGTTATTTGTGGCAGGCCAACTGAGTCCACATGTGATCCAGCTGTTTACAGATGACAGAAATGATTTCATTGAAAAATATTTCTGTGACTTACTACTTATTGCCTTCTCTCTCCGTTACCACTGGTTCAAGAAAGATACAGGTGGCTGTCAACAACTGTTTGCACTGCTATTAATGTTTAAACTAGAGTAAAAAATACTTCTTTGGGCCTCAGAATGTGAAGAAATAACCAAGACAACAGAACATTTTTCAACAAGAACCCAGGTATTAATGTGGTATTTTTCCAGTGTGTCTACATTTCTGTGTGTTACCAGTTTAGCTTTTGGTGTGTGTTACCTGTGTAGCTGCCAGGTGTGTGTGATGGTTGAGTCAGTGCCATGTTTGATGGCTGTTCATCGGATGTCACATGGCCTTCTGAGAGGCTGGACCCCATCTGTCTCATCCTGCCATCTGAAAGACACAGACAAACTAAATATTTTGATATCCAGGGAGACAGTAACTTGCGGGGCAATCATATGTGAGAGAGCTGGAGTAACAACAGAGGCTGTTGCAAGAAGAGCGTTTACTAACCTGTTAACTGAGTAAACTGAGTAAAGCCTGGAACCTATTCAGATTTAGAGCCATCATCTGATGTAAAAAGATCTGTTGAGCAAATCCATTTAAATAACTCAGTATAGCTGCTTCTTGAAAAAGGCTGGAATTAAAAATACTACACAACTCTGGGGTGTGAGCCGTAAATCAGATGGCTCTGCAGCCAGGAGGGGAGGAGAAACAAGGGAAAGTGAATGACTGGAATGGGAGGGATTTTAAAAATGACTGCATGTGGAAAATGGCTACTGTTACTGTTTCAATCTGCAGGAAACACAGTGTATGCCTCTCCTTTTGTCCTACTTCATACCTCTCTCATACCAAAGCAAAGATCCAATCAATCAAAATAGGTTATCCCACCTATGCCACTGATGGTGACCCTGCACTGGATTTAACTCAGCTCTGACACTGCTCGGCTTTTGGTTTAGTTTCATTAGTTTCTTTGATAACTGATGAAATGTGGATTGCTATATGGTTACTACAGTTTAGCATTTAGTAGACAGAGTTTGCACATCGTTGCTGCATGGCAACATACCCTTTTCGAGGATAGGGGCTGAATCTGACCAAACATACTGCATATTCCAGAAAACTTCAAAACAGCTTTAAAAAAGACGATCTAAAGAGATTACCTGACAGGTAGTATAATTTACATTTATTGTAACAAAACATGACTAGACATTATATTAAAACCCAAGCTCTTACTCATTTTACACAAAACCCTTAAGCTTCACTCTTTCCACAGAATTACAGTATTAAGAACCAAGCGGAAACAACAGGATAAGGTTAGAAACACTGAGAGAACACAATATCTACAGGGTTAGTGTCCTTTCCCACAGACCTTTTCACCAGGTGGTGTCCTCCAGCCTATGGCCTCTGTGTACACTATGTAGTCTCACCTTTCACCTGTTCCTAAGGCTTTAGTACCTATCCATCTGGTCAGACCCGTACACTCACAGCTTTCCGGTCAATACAAGTCAGAGTTTTAGACTTTTAAAGATAAAGGTCTCTATCCCAGCGCATGAACGGTTCATGTGAACTGTTGAGAGTAAACCCATATACCTCTCATATAAACCATTTTATTCGTGTTTTGTTTCACATTCATTACACATTCTTCTACAATGACTACATCTACATTAATTATTCAGAACAACATTGTTATATTCCAATTATGGCAATAAGGACAAAAAGGCAGAGTGTGATTAAGACCTGACTCTTCCCAGCACGCATGTACGTATGAAGGCCATTTCTATAGTCATCTGAAAGTGGCAATGTTTTTCATCTGCAGTCCGACCTAGTGCAACGTCAAAAAGTGATGCAAACACACACACACACACACACACACACACACACACACACACACACACACACACCACATACAAAGAGGTTGCCTTCATTAAATTAAAGACACACAGCACTGCTTTTAAAGTGCATGTGATTGGCCATAATTTTAAACAACCCCTGATAACATATGATAATCAATTTTTCCTTATCCCACCCTGTTTCTATATGTTCCCCAGGTGATGCATCTCTAGCCAAAATACACGAACAATTTAGTGTGCCCAGTACATGTTTTACTGTGTTGGTCCACCACAGCATAAAATAGGCCCACCACATTTTTGATAAGAAAAATGCACAGGCACAATGCTGTTGATCACATGCCTGTACAGTGTCCTCCAAATCCCCCAAAATTAGTGTTTGTACATCATTTTACATGAGTGACTAATAAGCTGCCAAAATACAACACATGTATCCATCTCTTACCGTGTCCCCTCCAGCAGATGGGAGCTCCTTTGACCAGCACGCCCTGATTGTTTCGGTACAGATGGTACTTCAAGTGCTTCTGTTTCTTAGGCTGGGTGCTGAGCTTCAGGTTAATGTGGTTGGAAAACTCTGTGAAATAGCGAAAGCCTTTCTCGCCACAGGCCATACAGTTCCCTGAGAAGCCTGGAGGAGCATGCATACAGCAAATGTATGATTACAACAGGCTGTGTTTTATGTATTCCTACAGTCATACGTAAAAATGTCACAAATGCGTTGGCATCAAGTATAAGGAGTGATAATATTTGCAGAGAGCTGGGGTTGCTTTTCTTTTTGTCTCCATTATAAATGCTAAGCTAGGCTTAACACGTACCATCTCCTCTGTACTTAATATGCTGACATTAGATACATTTTTTCATCTCAATCTTGGAAAGAAAGCTAATATTTCCCAAAATGGTGAACTATTCCTTCAAAAACCCACACTGTAAAAATTATCAAGGTGGTTCAACTTAAAAACTTAGGTTCAATTGCTGCCTTAAAAATGTGAGTAAACTCAACTTTAAGAAAAGCTTCCTTCTCTTGCTCCCATCCCTGCACTCTTGCCTCTTTTTTCAACTTACAACATAACATGTTCAATTCGCAAGTTCAATCAACACAACAAAAGTCTCAAATAGTCAACACAATGAATTAATGCAAGTTTAACTTTCTAAAACTCATACAGTTGAGTTCAAAATCCAAAACTTGTCAGAGCTGTCTGAGTTAAAAAGAAGAAGTAAGCTGACATAACTATATAGGTCTATGATTTTTTTCAAGGTGACATTTTGAATAGTTTTTCACTTTTCAACAAACAGTGATTATATTTTCATGTCTTCCCCGTGAGTCTCCTGCCTCACCCAGCAGTGCGTTGTGACCCCGTTCGTCCGGCAGGAAGCGGCGGTCCACTGCGCATACCAGCAGGGTCTCAGCGAGGGAGGGTGACTTCACCCCGACCAACATGAAACCAGGGGGCACATCCAAGGGATCTGATGCCAGCGAGGACAGACGCAGGTCCCTGCCTGCCTGACAGAAACCTGTGGTGAGGAAAAAACAGGACTGTTATTTTCACAAAATGAAGTGATAGCTTTTTTTACGTCATTTTTCAATTACTTTGTCTTATTCTAGCATAAATATGAATAATAGTAATTTACAGTGTGCAGACAGCAGGACCTGGATACCTTTCTGGTGCTTATTCACTCATATCTGTTGTTACTGAAGTTTCTAGGACAGGAAAATGACATGTTCTCTTCCCAACAACACAAAACCAACCACACTCACAAAACCACAGAACTAACCCTTGCAATTTATGTGATTACACATCCAGCAGAATGCACCACCAACCAAATTCCTCATATCTCTCCTTCATGTCTGTGTACAAACCATCTGTGGTGCAGCTTCCCTCAGGGGGGGGCTTCATCTGATAGGGTATTGGGCTGTTAGACTCCGAGCCATCTTCATCGTCCTCGTCATCATTCTCTGTATGGCCTGAACAAGAGTAACAAGCAGATACAGATGCAATAGAGATGTTAGGATTTACTATGGAGGAAATTAACTCACTATCACACCTTCTCTTTAGCATCTATGCAACCCACCATCATGTACCAAAGGCTGCTCTGTCTCGAGGTATAGTTGTGAGAAGACAGGTCGAGGCACTACGGTATTCGACCTCAGTGATGCCTCAATAGAGTTATGGAGGACCTCCTCAAAGCGTGTGGTCCGCAGCTGGCCCGCATAGGAGTTCCCCATTGGTGTCCTGCAAAAACACAACAGAAAGATATTTGGAAGCTGACATTTATTTATTTTTGTTTCCATTAACCATTCACAAAAACCCCAATGAGTTTTGTCTCCAGTTTTATCTTTACTACACTGAAGGTGTTGTGCTTTGTTGCTTTCAGGTGCTGAAAATACAAATTTACAAGCCGATCCATTATACTGTAAGATTTAGTGGGAAAGTCGTGTCCGTTTCAGCTTCAAAAAGAAACAAGAAAAACAGAATATATCCCATATAATAATATCTGACCAATTGGAGAAAGAAATGGAGTAGAAAAAAAACCATGAGAAAAACCAACAGGACTACGTATGTGATAAAAGGCTATAAAAGAATACATCTGCTGTTTACACCAGTTGAAATCAGAATAAATGCACTGCTTAATATTGTCCAAGCCACACACACACACACACACACACACACACACACACACACACACACACATACACATAAACAGTGGTTCATAGTGGATGGCATCTGTTCAACAGCATCAGCTGCACTGACAAAGTCAGGGCACCCTGACCTAGACGCTACTCCCTCCCTCTGTTTTTCTACTTTCTCTCTCTCTGCATCTCTCTCTCTCTGGTTTCCTCTCTAGTTCACCTCTCTCATCTGCTACTGAACAGATGACAAACATCCCAAGAAAGCTTAACATGCCCTTTTCTAAAATGTGCACAGAATATTGTTGTTGTATATAGTTACTGTATTCATGTTTTTATTTTATAGACATATTGTTCTTAAAGTGTGATGAAGAACAATAGAAAATCTAAACATTTTTGAACAATGCACTTTAAAGGAGTGCTGTATCATTTGTTTATGTGCACTCATGCAGGACACCTCACTAGTGATGATGAGATTTTCATAATGTCTGTGGAGTAATGCCTGTAACTGCTGCCATCCTCATTTTCAGAATTAGAACCATTGCTTGAACATGAATACAATGCTGAATGAATAAGGTTTCAGGGTAGAAGAAGACCACAACATGTGTTGTACTGCAAAGAAAAAGAAATGGGCCAGTGAGGAGGGAAATAACATGGTTGGATTGTAAACACAAAATAATTTCCCCTCCTCTAAACCTTTGACTGCCCATATGCTGGCTGCTATACACTTCAGGTTGTGTCTTACAGGTTAGCAGGACTACAACTCCCATCGGATTAAGGTGTTGTAACCAGTAGCATCCAGGCTAAGTCAAAGGCAATATTACAGCAGCACTTTGATTAGACTTTTTAAATATAAAACCACATACATGAATAAAAACAGCACTTTCTCTGTCTCCAAAGTGATGCATTATATCTCTAAAATAATTTAATTTGAAAGTTAATGGAAAACCTTTTTGCATCACCCTTCAGCAGGAAACATCTAAACATTAACCAATAATAATCTGCCTCACCAAAAATGAATCTCCATTTTCTAAGTGGCTTCTCAATTGTGCTGTACCCAGGCTATGTTCCACATGGAGTGCTTGCTTTTAATGTTTATCTGCCAATGCTTTTGATGAATGGGTTAAGACTGAATTATGTTGTAAAGCCCTGTGAAGTAGGTACACTGGCAAAAACTACAAAAAAAGACCAATATTGTGAAAACAAGATGATTTAATTTGTTTCACAGTTATACTGACACCACCCTGAGCTGCTCATCCAACCATAGGCTATTAGCAGAGCACATTAGAACTGAACAAGATTAAAGTGTAAACCTGCTCTACATGAAACGTGACCTGAGATAAATTCTGTTATGATTTGCATCCATTCTGCTAAGCAAAAGTATTCCCCTTTGTGATCTTGCAAAGTTGAGTTGAACATGACGCACACAGAACTTTGGATATTAATAGTTGTGGAATGTATTTACTTTTCTGACCCTTAGGGAATGTGCCTTGATCTCTATCTGCCAAAAAAAACTGAAAGCACAGCATCAGCTGCAGATTGTACCCGCTACACTGGTTGAGACTTTCTCTAGACGTCTGCCCTCTTATCAAATAAAAGTTCCACATGATGATGTAAACAGACCAAGCCCATTCTCCTCTTGAAATTCATGTTGGAGCCGAACACACGCACACAAACACTCTCTTCTCTCACTCCTCACCTCACCAGCCACCTTCTGCTTCTACACTTTCATATGTAAAGAAGCAGTGCAGACTTTTAAGGCTTTGCACCACTTTGTAGAGAGACAGGATGGAAGACAAAAAGCCCTGTCATAACACAGCCGGCAGTGAGAGGAAGTAATCACACCTTCTACCAAAGGGTGGACTGATCTTTTACAACCAGAGAGAAGAGACAGGGAGGGAAACAGGGAGAGAAGAGATGAAAGCAGAGAGGTGTATTCCACCTTTTATTGAATCCTGACCAAAATCCGAAACTGGTAACCAACTGGTAACCAAATAACCAAGTACTGAAGCTATTTCATATGTTTTTTTTGAGTGGTTACTAATGCTCTGGGAAAACACCTTATCTGCAAAATATTAGGCCAAAAAAAATGTGCAGTAAAATCTAAGGGCTGTCAGGAAGCACACAAAGGAACCTACTAGTGCTGTGATTTGTACTGTTCAGTCAAAATGTCCATTTTAATCTCTAGCTGCACACAAACTCTTGCAGTGCTACACAGATCCCACATTTATTTGTAAAGAGTCTGTGATCAACCCAAAGGACCTGCAGCACATAATAGAAGACATGTAGCAGAGATGCCAGAAATAAGCAGTAAAAAGTGTAAAACTCTTAAAGAGGCTTTGTTGATCTCTTCTCCTCCCATCTCCCCCTCCTTCCTCTCTCCCTCACTTGGAAGTGGGAGATCCTTTCATCTGCCCCCCCCCCCCCCTTCTTCTCTGTCTCTGTCTTTCTTTGACCCTGGGGAGAGAGACACTATTGTGGTGTTTTATGACCCCTTGGACCCCATTCCCACCACCACCACTATCAAACACACAACCTCACACACACACACACACACACACACACACACACACACACACACACACACACACACACACACACACACAAACTTGTAGTTAGGATCCCTTTAACTTCTGAGTCCCATGCAATAGCTGATGTACAAAAACGAACTAAAACAACACATTCATTTTAACCTACTATGATGAAGTAAAATTATTTGTAAGTGTCGTGTTATATTTTGTATTAAAGTCATATTCATATACTGATTAATGCCCCTACAAACACACATTACGTCCTGCTCCTTGCTAATATATGCAAACCCACATAAACACTCTCTGCTTTCAGGGCAAAGATGTATTACTTTGAGGGGTATCTCATGACTGCAAAGTCAAAGGTGAGTCCAGATAACAATGTTTCAGTAAGACTTTGATGTGGCCTATACCTCTAATACACACGCACACAAACATATGCGGATGCACACACACGCATTTGCACCTACACACATGCTCTCCCATGGGCTCAGGCTCAGTGGACACAAAGGGCTTGTCTTAAGGGGTGAAAGGTCATCCTGGGAGAGGTCAGATAAGAACCCCAGGCTCTTTCTCTGTTGGCCAGGCCCACATACCAGTCATACACACTCACAAACACATGCAGCATCCCTGCTATTCTTTTTTTTCTGTTCAGTCTGACAAGGGGGATTGCAATCTTCAGCCTCCACCGCACCCCACATTCAGTAGCTGATCATATTACACAGTCACACACATAGACGCACACACACACACACACACACACACACATGCAGACATGCACAGTTAAATGAATGCATGCATACAAATATGAGTAGTGATGTTTGTGTTTGTGGATGTGTGTGTGTGTGTGTGTGTGTGTGTGTGTGTGTGAGAGAGAGAGAGAGAGAGAGAGAGAGAGATGAGGCAGAGAAATGTCGAGTAGCGTCAGCTTGTCAGTGCAGCACCTCTTTCAGCCCTGAACATTAGAATTAAAAGAGAAAAACTTCAGGCTTTGCAGATGCTGAGTGATCACTGACCCACAGCAACATATGTAAAGGGATGTCAGTTGTACACACACACACACACACACACACCCTGTGGACCCTCAGATGGGCTCATCACTGACCAGTGACCCACATCAAATGCTCTCATTCACAGTATGCTCAACAGATACTGGATCAATGGCCAGCCAGCCAACTGGCCAACTGCTCAGGCAACCCCTCAGTCAGCCGTTCAACTACACATCCACACACTCGTCCACACATATAGACCTGGCCAGTCACTCAGATAACCTGTCAGCTCTGCCAAAACACAGAATTTCCAACTTCTTTCCTGTTTGCAACCTCCAACTAATAATTTACAAATAATGATTTTTCTTCTTATATGTAATATATACTAGGCCCTAAGTTTGCCATGTCAGTTTATCCAGCATGCGATAACAACACATGGAAAACATACAAACTACAGTGAGACAATGCAGGCAAATGCACAGACATGCTGTCAGTGTGTCTACATACTGCAGAGTTACTATCTTCTAGAGTTAGTGTTAAGAAATGGCTGGAAGGCCCTACAAAGCTGACTGAATATTCAGTGTCTGCTCTGCCTGTTGGTTCACTATCATGTTTAACGTCCTTGAGCAGTTTTTTTTCCTTCTGTTCTGTCTATCTTGCATAACTCCAGGGGAACATGTGTTGTCTACAGGCATGTGAATCTGGCTGGAAGTGTACCTGGTTTTAAGCCTTTCAGCTGCAGGAGGTGTCACAAACTTAAAGATCCACATTGTCACAAGTTACATCAAGCCATATTTGTGTCATTTAAGATGTTTTAAAACAGATATTAGCCACGGGAGATGTGGAAAGTTTACACATGCTACTAGGTATCAAATGTTATGAGCAGTTGACACAGACTTCCAGGTACACACAAGTGGGGCGACTGTGGCTAAGGAGGTAGAGTGGGTTGCCCGTTAATCGGATGGTTCAATCGGATGGTTCAGGCTGCATGTCAAAGTGTCCTTGGGCAAGATACTGAACCCCGAATTGCCCCTGGTGGCTGTTCCAGTGTATGAATGTGTGTGAATGGTGAATGCACAAGTAGTGTAAAAGCGCTATGAGTGGTCGAAAAGACTAGAAAGGCGCTATACAAATACGGAGCATTTACATTTACATGCACAAACTGTATCGATACACATATACAAACTGCACTAACTGTGTAAACACCATGGCCAATAAAACATGTTAATAAAACAATATTAAATGTATTATCTAGTTTAGAAATGTATTTACATTTAAATATCGTTTAATATCATATTTCTCTGTTGCACAGAGACACACAGTCCCCTATTCTGGTAGGCTACATCTTGTACTTCAGAGTTGTTAATAACACAGTGCAGCAAGACGTTTACCCAAAAATCATAAACCTTGTTACATAAAGGCAACAGGCACTGTAACATCTGTTAACATTTCTGTTAAAAGTTTTTAGTGGCAGCCATAACTGCTTGGCCCAAATATATTTTTTTCTGAATACGAAATTAATTTAGGAGCTGCAATTGGAATATTATTCAGTCCATATCTAAAATGTTTATATTACAAAATAACTACTAGACTAGACTAGGCACAGAAAAAAAGACCAGTGTACAGCATGGCATGGAGGAAACATCTATTGTTACTGGAAAAGTCACACATTGTAGCAATGGTACCCATAGGACAAGTTAAAAAGCGCTTGAGAAAATTAGAAAGGAATACAGGGGGGCATTTTGTGGATATAACGGGTTTACCACTAGATCCCCAAACTGCTCATGACATAGACAACTGCCCTTTAAAGTGTAATGAGTGTGACGATAAACATGAACAAAGTGTGAAAAGCGCATTTATAGCTACCACTATTTTTTCCAGCAAAATCACAGCACCACAGGTTAAACCCCTTCCTGTTTCCTAACAACATCAGCAACAACTGCTTCGCATCACCAAGAAGACAGGGAAGGTATCTTGATGTGCTCTACCTGCAGAAAGTAGGCTTCTACGGTAAAACCAAAAATGCGAAAACAACCGCTGAAAGGACTTACTTCTACAATCCAGAGGGGGAAGCCAAATAATTAGTCTTCATGAAGAGCCTGCAAGTTGAACCAACAACACGCTGTCACCATGTCTCCAGCGCGAGACCTACGGCGGGACTGGGTGTCGTTCGTGTCATCACCTCTGATCCTCTGCGACGAAAGGTCCCTCCCTCTTCCTCCACAAAAATGGTATGGTCCGATCTCACTCTTTTTTTCTCCACGTCCAACCCCCCCCCCCCCCAGCTTTTTTTTTTACCACCTAATGTAACCGGTTGTAACCCTACTCATTTCTCTTTTTAAATGTGATGTATTATATTTGTATATATGATGAACAGAACAGGCAACAAGTGAAAGGTGTCAAAGGCGTAAAAGTTTAGATACATCAGCTATTTATGCAAAATCAGACATCGCCTCGGAAAATAGCCAACATAACAAATAGTCAGCTGTAGTCGACGTGGTCTGGGGTGTTGTTGAAGAGCAAACGTTTTTCTTCCTCCCATGAACCATTGTTGTGGTAAGTGGTTAATTGAGGATTCATGGACCAAACCAGAGCCTTTAAATTAAATAAGACTAATGAGCATGTCAGTGTGAGTGCTCTTGTGTTAGTAAACACAGGCCCATTTGAAAAACAGAGTTTTTATTTGACATACTTGCATTGCAGGATATCAGATCTGCTCTTCATAAGACCCTGGGAACATGCAACGTCCACCCGTGAAGGTGTTTTTTTGTTTGTTTTTAGGTTGTTGTTGTTTGTTTTTAGGTAGTTGTTGCTGAGAACCAGAATACCATTATATGACACATATCCAGGATCGGTAATCAATTAATTTCTTACTTAAATACTTTTACGTAGCTCCTAAAATTAAGTATTTCGATGCATTCCTTTTTTAATGATATGGGTAATAGGCTACCGGTATACAGAAAATCAAGTGAATTAGATTAATAGCCGAAGAGTAGGCTACTGCGTATTTATAATCTGCACATCATTGGACATCAGTTCAGATCACGAAGAACTCCACAAAACACCTTTAACGTGTAGTAGTTGTAGTAGCAAACCATCTTCCCTCAAAGAACACATTATTGGGAAACGTAACAAAGTTAACTGTGAGTTTTATCAGTTTAGTCAAGTTAAACGTTTCTGGTCATTCATAGACATCTGTCGCCCTCTATTGGACAAAACGTGGCCTTACAGTGTATAAGCAGGAGAGGAGATGCAACCTCCCAATAAAATATCGCACAAATGGATGAACTGAACAGTATTTCATATTTTATATTAACTAAATATTAATGTTTATGTTTTCTAATAAATATTTTTTTACTGAATTGCAGTGTCCCTGTGGCGACAACAGACCAACAGACAGACAGGTGAGTACATAACCAACAGACAGACACGTGGGCATGTAAGTGGGATTATAGCTCTCCATGTCACATTGGCAGAAACGATTTCTGGTTTTCTATTCACCTTACATCACTGCAGACGTTTGTGCAAAGTGTTTGATATGGAGTCTTATGCATTAAATTGCATATTTCATATTTTCTAAATTGTGTGCCTACATATACACATCCCATAATTCCCTTACAGTATTCTTATCTGCCACAAACCAAATGATAGTGAGGTCACCAATCAGCTATTTATTAGATATGTGTGGAAACCCTGACTCTGCTGAGCCATGTCACCTGGCACAAATGTAATATTTTTGAACTGTATATTTAACAAGAGAACAGGAGATTCCTTTTGTTTTTTTTAACAATCTCACAAAACCACAATTTCTGTGATTTATGGCATGGTGGGTTATGGCAACTCTGCTAGACACAGCGTTGCAGTTTAGACTTTTAGGGCAAGCAACATGAGCATTCAGACGTGTAAATGAGTTGTAAACAAATCCTCTGTGTAATCAAATGAGCTACAACACTTATTTGGAAGACAAAAAGTAGCTGAAAAAGGCTGACAATTGAGATAAGTAGTGAGATTTTAAGCTTAACTATGAAATATCAAAGTTAAAGGAAAACTATAAATACTTTACTAATGTTAAATTATAAAATTGTACATCATGACTAAAAGATAAATGTCTTTAGTTAGAAATTTAAAATTAGTTGACATCCTAACTTTAGTTATGTAACTTATTTATTTAAAGTGTTTTACTCACTATATTAAATGTATGTAACAGCAACCAAAATGATTTATCCATCTGCTAAAATAATAATGTATTTTAAATCATGATTAATTTCATTAATTTATTGGTTGCTAAGCCACTTTATGACTTTTATTCCAAAGTGATAGCTAAATCATAAAATCCAGAGGATATTTATAAAAGGCATGACCGTTTTCCACTGCGGTCCTCCCTCCTAATTACAGCTTACATTTTGTCACTGGGAATCTCATACTTCATCCTTTCCGCTGCCCCAACTGGGCAGTGCCAATCTGTACAGTGGCATAGCCATGCCACGCCAACACAACATCCCCTGATGGGAGAACAGGTGTTGGACAGGGTCCAGTGGAGCAGAGCAGAGCGGGCTGCCATGATATATCAGATGAACTGGCCAGTACCGACTCCTCTGGCCCGAGGGAGGGGGACCCAGTCATTTATTAAGTGTGTGTGTGTGTGTGTGTGTGTGTGTGTGTACACGCGCACAGAGGTTCTGTGAGGGCAGCAGCAGTACAACAATGAACCCCAACAAAACTGATTGGGACCCAAAGACCCAACAGGGAAGCAGACTAATCTGGGAAATCCCTGAACAAAGACTATATATTTCAGCTCAAAGCAGTTCAACATTTTACAACCCACAAAGGGCAAAGTGTTTTCACATTTTGTACCATGATATGAGACAAAGAGATGTCAAATTAAAATACTGCTAATGTTTTGTTCAGGTCTTTTTATATTTTAGATGACTCTTCTCTGTCAGCATTGCATAAACAAAGCAGGAGTCGTATTGACAACCTATTCAGCATCTATACAAAAAGAATACGGTTTATTTGCATTATACCTAAACATATTTTTCCTAAACTTTGGGTGGCCTTAAAACAGCTCCCCATGACCCATTTCTGTTTCCTGACTCAGACCTTAAGAAACTGCTTTATTAGGTTTTTGAGATCAGTTTCTCAAGTCCCTTTACTGCTAATTTTACAGCCAAAATGACACTGGGTATGATGATTTGCTCAGTCGCTGTGGAGCCATATTGGCCGAGGCAAGGCTTGCAGTTCCTGTTAATGGGTTGAATATAATATTTTATGTCCCGTTGCTATAGCCACGCTGCTTAACTTGATGTAAACGTGATGTAAAAATAGTCAGGCCCATTCATTTTAGTATAAATACTTCACTTCGCTTCAAGACACAGAACTGAGCTGTGTGTAAAACATGTCTATTTGAATGTGCCCCGCAAACGGAAAAGGTATTGCTACTTTACACATAATGACGGCCCAGGTCGTTTGGCTGAGAATAATGGCGGTTTCGCTGTAAAGCATATCACTCTCATTAGGTCTTTACACACTGGTCGTGCCTAACTGGAGATGCACTTGCCTGGACACACATGCATGCATTCACACACAGAGTGCACCCACACGCACACAAGCACACATGCACACACACACATATCCATCTCCAAAGTCATTAAATCCCTTTGAAAAGAGGCCTCATTTGAGAGGAGCAATAAAATTTTTAATCATTTTATTACCAAAAGAGTATTTAACAAGTGGGTAATGAAACGCCAAAGGCAGGTTAGCTGAGTTTAACCTTCATAGAGGAAGCCATGTATCACATGCTGCCCCGAGGCATGGTGGGACAGAAATGTCATCCTCCATTATCCACCATACCTGAAGTGTGGCGTTGGCAGGCAGGCGTCTCGCTCTGCAAGGCGAGGCTGACGGGAAATTAGGGGGAATTCAATTAATGGACGTTTTTTACGCACCAGGGATAGGGCACAGCTGCACACACGCACCTTAATGCGTGATACACACACATTGTAATAAAAGTAACACACTTGTGAAAGCACGCGCGCATACCTCAAAGCATATCCTACACATCACCCAGTGTGAGGGGCTAATGACAGGACAGGAGAGTGAGAAGAACACATGTTCTTTACAATCACTCTGTCTCTCTCTTTAGCTCTCTTCACTGTTTCTCTCTTTTGATAACTCTGCTACTTAACTTTCTGTCTTCCTCACTCTGCTAGTAGAGTTGGTTCTGTTGAATCCCCTTCGTTCTCTGTCTCTCTTTCCCCGAGGTGATAGTATAGTGGGGTCGCTCCACTGCTTTCCCTCAGCAGGTCAATTAAGGAGAAAATGAGGCAGAGGGGGACACTCTCAGTCTGTCACCATGAAAGAACCCTACCTACCAACCTACCCGCCAATTGCTCATATGATATACCGCTAAACTGCCCTGCAGTGTAAGTGCAAGTCTGACTGTGTGTGCGCATAAAAAGGAAAGTATGGTAGAAAAGCACAAAGGGAGGGGTTGAATCATATAGGTACCTGTTAGGGAATGAAAAAAGTGTTTTTTCCAGAAAAGCTATCGCCAAGTCCTTAAGGGAGGGGAAATACACCGGCCACCTCTGGAAGCACCAAATACAGGCCCATACATTACATATTTCAATTTCTTTTGACACAGGAATAATTTATGGCTGATAACAAAAATACTCTATTTTCAATAACAAGCTTCCGCGGTACTTAGAGGGACTGGCCCCCAAAGTTAATTGAAAAGTGTCCTGGCTCTCATTTGCATAAGAAACACATTTAAAGGTGAAAAATTATAAATAAATATGCAGCCACCTGTGAAATATGGCTTTTGGCCTGCTGGTCATTTATAACTTTGCCTTTAATTACGTGACAGGCTGGGGTTCTGCAGCTGTAATGAGAGGCTGGAGTGATGGAGAGGAGTGTGTGAGAGACAGAGGGCTATAGGTCATTTAGTGTCTGAACAGGCAAACATGCATGCAGACGCACACAGATGGACGGACACACACGCAGGTGGAAAAGATATTGTAAATGTACGGACACACACACACATACACACAAATAGACTGACACCCATGTGGACTTAAACACACACACACACACACACACACACACACACACACACACACACACACACACACACACATAAGTGGATCCACATGGTCATACACACTAAGATGGACCAG